ATTTTTACAGGCGTTGCCTTATCATTAAATGATGACCTGACCTCGACACCTTGGCACCAGCTGTTCTGACAGGATTATTTCAAAGTGGTTGAGTACTTTCAAAATTATTAAAGTAGTGAGTTGTTAAAATTGCCGCCGGCCTAAAATAATTTCCCTGACAATTGTTAATTGCGTTCCTTTCGCAAATTTAGTTCACCAACGGCCATTGTAATGAAGTTTGCACGTGTTCAAATCGGCTTTAACTTTGTGTCTCAAAAATGGCCCTACAATTGTAGGAATAACAAAAGTGAGAGAGTATTAAACCTCGTCCAGACTTAAACCGCTCCGCGGTTGTAGTGTTTTAGATAATAAAAAGAAGACTAGCATAAAGGGAAAACGCTGTTTCATTAAACTATTTTATCGACGTACAGCATCATTTGGGTCATGTGTAGAAGGCATCTAGACTCGAGTTATAACAAGAAAGATAAGAGTGAGATCAGATTTTGTGTAGTGTTGATTTCTGAATTTTTTAATTATAAAGTCATTTTTAAAGTCATCATAATACTAGGTATAATAATATGGATTTCATAGATATTAATTACCGGTCACCTTTGGCTTTTCATCTGAGACGGATTATTGAGTGTGCATTATCTAATGCAATTTCGAGATCTTAAAAGTAGTTGTATGATCTGGTGCTTGTTAAAATAATGCATCGCAAAATTTTTACTTAGTTACGAAACATGGTAAATATTTTTTTTATATTTGCACATTTATTTTATGCATCAGCGTTTTTTTTACAATCTTCTGATCCTCTGACTGATTGTTACTGATTAATAATAAATAATAATTATTCAATTTTCACTTAAACCTTAACTTAAACAATTAATTTGTTATATGTATTTATTCTCTGGTTTATTCACAATATTTACTTTTCTTTATTGAAGGTTATAGTTTAAATGATAACTGCTGTATTTGACCCTAGCTCGATAATCTGCAATAGTTGAAAGTTGAAACTGCACTCTTTGGCAATTAACCGAAGTTATAATAGTAGGAAGGTTCTAAAAGAACAAAAGCTTACATTAAAAAAGAATAATATCTAGTTATTTTGTTTTCAACATACTTGTGCAATGTTATTCACTGCACATTTTTGTCTACTACGTTGGTTTTCTGTAAGTGTAAGTATTTTGTAGGATTTCCTGGAACAAGGAGCTTATTAGTTCTTCACATGGTGAAGACTGCTGTGAATGTTAATTTATGCATTTTTTAGCACACATTATACAGTTTTTATTTTGTTACATTGGTGGCTCTGTTAGTAAATATTACTCAGCGAATGGAGTTCACCATCTACGTCTTATGGGAATCTAACCAAAGATAAATAAATGCAATGTTTAGGAAAAAGACGTCTCAATCACCGTATAAACACTATAAAATTGTGATAACGTTTAACCTAATATTGCTTACAGTAGTACAGTATAAGACAAATATTGGAGTTTCTGGGTTCTGCATGGGAAATATTTTGATGCAAATTCTGAATACACAAATTAATTGATTTCAAAAAGTTGTATTTTGGGTTGCAAAATAATTAGTAATCACTAATTACAATGCTTTGTTAGAATGCGTACCGATTTCGATGACGTAATCTGGTTTCGGGTCTTGTGGATACGTGCTGAGGGCATGGACGGGGCAAGGGAACCGAAAGAAGGAGGACTAATCGGGAACTCGAGGGCGTCATTCTGAGATTTGTGGTCTTACGAGAGAAACAATTGTAATAATCGGAAATAAATACCTTTCTTTCAGAATTCTTTAGTTTGATTTCGAATAGTCTAAAGGGTGATTTAACAGCTTATTGTTTATTCTGTAAAGATTTTTTAGATTCTTTAGTTATGAAATAACAAATAACTTTCCGGTTCAGGTTCATCATCATTAGTCAGTATGAAACTGGATTACTGCTAAAATTTCACTTTTTCGTGACATATTTTACAAAAACACAAAACCTCTCTAAAAATTTTGTGTATTTTTTTATCATGTTTACATTTTTTTATTAAATTGTTTTTTCAATAAATCCTGAATAAAAATTATATTTTTTGCATTATAATTATTTAAAATATCAGTTTTGGAGTCGTATAGTAACCTGCAATTTTATACAAAGTAAATATTCGGCTATTAAAAAATATGTTCACTACCGCTCCTTATTTTGTAAATTTTCAATCATTCAAAACCGTTTTGGTGGTTCCTATGGGGAATCAAAATATCATGGTAAGTGATGCACCTTCACCCAAATATAATAAAAAAAACAACAAAATTTAAAGTCTTCGTTTTTAAATAATTGAAAATACGGCTTTACCAAATAGGCTGTTGTATGACATTTTTGAAAAGAAAAGCGCTTGTTTTATAAGCTTTCCAACGATGTATCACAAGTAGGGTCGTGCCATTAAAATTTTTCAACTTGGGATGGTTGTGGAGGGTGGAGGTGCCTCACTTACCATGTCATTTTGATTCCTTTTAGTAACCACCAAAACTGTTTTGAGTGATTCAATAACTTTTTCAGTTCTAGAGGTATTGCCTATTACAAGTTTTAAAATTGACACTCTGTATAATTGCGTGTATAGGTATGTATGTATATATATTTTTTTTATTTTTTATTGAAAAAAAATGTTTTTACCCGTTCATGGAAACGCAAATTATCGAAGCTTGGATACCTAAAACTTTATCACAACAGGCGAAAATATTTTGTAGTAGAAAAAAAGAATGCTAAAGAATGAGCACCCGACGACTTTTTGTCTGCGCCCTGATTATTATTGTTGGTTAGAGTAGAGCCACATTTACTTCCGGCATTCAATTTGCTTGATAATTATAATGCAGTAGATTAACAAGTTGTTTTTTACGCTGATTGTATGCATCAAGGTTGTATGGTCGAAGTTCGAAGAGCCCGGAAACCAGAGAAATTGATATTATTATTATTATCAGTGTTATTATACCGTAAATAAAAAGTGAAGCTTCATTGAGCACAGACATATTGCTTGTATTAGATTGCATATTATTTCTAAAAATTTTCCTTACTTTTGGCAACGGCATGCAACGTTTTTATTTTCCATTTTTTATAGATCAAAACGCACGTTTGTCTCAGTATCAAGAAAACCATAAACCCATGTTCAAAGAGTGTCAGAAGTACAATCCTGTTGTAAAAGAAGAACATTTGTTATAAGAGTAATGGAGTAGCAAAAGATTACATAGTTTTTTTTGATCTCAGAATTTTTAAGGTTCAAGCTGTTGATGAAGATCCTCCAGATAGAGAAGGTGGACGAATCACGTACACTATTGAAGAACCACCAGGGACTCGACCTTTTTTTAGAATAAATAGCACAACAGGAGAAATAACGACTGCAATACCGTTCGACAGAGACGAACCWAGTAGACAAAAAGAAATTTATTTAACAGTTCGTGCTGAAGATGATGGGCGACCTGAATTGGCTGATAGATGCACAATTAAAGTCACAGTAAAAGATATTAATGATAATTCACCAAGTTTTGATCAACACGTATGTAATTTTGGGGATTTTTATCTTAATCTTAATTATACTACATTATACAATTCAATTTGAAATGCATTTTAGGATTACTCCAGCAATCTTTCTGAAGATCTTCCCGAAAATAGTGACGTTTTAAGGGTGGTTGCTTATGACTTGGACACACTTGAAAATGCCAAATTGACATACAGATTTATCAATACTAGAAATAACCATTTTAAGGATTATTTTAGAATTGATCCTAACACTGGTGTCATTTATTTAAAAAAGCAATTACTTGGGGTTAGTTGTTTATTATTTTCCAATACACTTTTACTTTTATTCTTTTTTAGAAACAGGGCAAAAGATTTACGTCAACCGTTAAGGTTTCAGATAATGGAAAAAAAAGAACACAGCAAGAGCTGATGTTGTATTTACAATTGTCGATTCAAATAAGAGACCGCCAACAATAGAAGTAGTAGGTGGTAACAAAGTAATAAAATTGAAAGAAGACCAACAAGACTTTGAGACACCTATAGTCTCACTTAGAGCACAGTGAATATTTGTTTTTTATAGGCATTACGCATTGCTTTATTTCATTTTTAATTATTCTAGATCGAATATAAAAGATCCAAGTGTTGTCTTCGAGTTAGTCAAAGGAAAAACTACTCAAACGAACAAGGATCAGACATTTATTTTAAGTCCATCGGATTCAACATCAGCAATAATCACACTGGCACGACCTTTAGACTATGAAACCGTTGAAGAATATCAACTTACAGTTCGTGCTCAAAATAAGGATTTATTATATGCATCTGTGACAATAAATGTGAAAGTCGAGGATGTCAATGATGAAATTCCAACATTTATCGAACTGTTAAGAGGAAGTATCGTAGAAAATGATAAAGTTGGCGCTCAAGCAATGACAGTTAGGGCAATTGACAAAGATGGAACTTTTCCCAATAACCTTGTCGTTTATGAATTGCTCGATCATAAGGATTTATTCGAAATTGATAGTAGTTCAGGTGTAATTACTGCAAAAGTCCCTGTTGATAGAGAAAAAGAAAAGCTTTATCACGTGACTGTGCAAGCACGTGATTCTGCACCCAATGCTCTCTTCGCTTCAAAAAATAAGCCTAACGAAGCTAATCAGAAGTTCCAAATAAGTATCGAAGATCAAAATGACAATATACCGAGGTTTACTAAAACTTTATATCAAGTGTATAACATATCGGAAAACGCTGATTCCCAGAAAGATGTTACTGAAGTAAAAGCTTTAGATGCAGATACAGGTTCTCGTATAGAATATAGCATAATAGAGGGTAATATAAACGATGCTTTTCTCATCGAACCTACGACTGGAAGAATTAAAGTCAAAAATAAGCTCGATTATGAGAAAATTGAAAACTACAGTTTAACGGTGCAAGCTCATGATGGGATATATAAAGATACAGCAAAAGTTTTTATTCATATTTCAAATGATAACCACATAAGTAAATAATTTAAGAATTATTTTTTTTAAATTTAGAATGGAAAGGCCAAAAGATACGGTCAATTCTTTTGGCTTTGTTAGATTTCTCTTTATTAAATAATTTTGCGATATTGTAATAGTTTTGGGACCAGTTATATAATAACCGAATTTAATGTGTAACTATTTCATAAAACAATAATATTTTTTACATTTGATATAATTAACTATTTGTTATCAAAAAGTCTAACACAAATGTAAATCATAGTCTATAATTTAATTTTAATTTAATAATAGTAAATATAAGTAACAATCCTGATATCATCTAGTTTTACTATGCATATTGTGAAGGTATTGAGGTGGTTTGAAAGCCTCACTTACTAGCTGGACTACCACAGTTTTCTAGATGTAGGGCACGCGAGTGGAAGCTGGATACAGCAAAAAAGTTATAATTACATCACAATATTTGGCTATTATTATGAAAAGGAAGGTGAAATTTAAATTGAAAAAAATTACAAATCAAAGAATTACTCTTACTGTAACGCTACAGTTAACATTTACAATTATTAAAAAAAAAAACGGAAAAAATGATATTCTTAAAAAACATCAATTTATCTACTAAAATTTCAACGACATTAATTTGAAACTTTATACTATAAGCCTTTTTCAGCCAACGAATAATTTTATTATTTGAAGAAAATTTTTGGAAATGTATACTTTATTAATTATGTTGCTGTTTTGCAGTTGCAGTTGCAGTTTTAAAATTAAATATGAGTAGTGCAAGATATAGATTTTTACGAAAATTACAACAGAAAAATATTGATAATAAAAAAAACAAAATCTTTATTAAATGAACACAAAATAGGTATGTATATCTAATAGATAATCTTGAATTTTCAATAAATTATAATCTAAAGATAACCATGGAGTTACCTCTCGTACATCTAAGCTAAAAGTACCTATTGTTTTTAAAAGTATGAAATAAATTAGATAGGTATTTTATTTTTTGTAAGTTAGATGAAAAATTAACACTGGTTACGTCAATTCTAAACATCAGCAATCAATTCACTTTTACGTGCAAGATTTACGTTTAAAATTTTAGGCATAAATCAGATGATTGTTCTGTGGCGCTTCTGGTCTAATTTATATGCATATGTTTGATTACTTATTAAAAACAAACAACTTTCAACCGTAGGTATTTTGTAAAAATCTTTCATTAAAAAAAAGTTTGAAAAAAAAAATAGGTGAACACAATTTTAACTAGAAACTTTGTATAGCAATAGCAAATTAATAGTATGTTATATTTTTTCAATAACGATGATAGTAACGAAAAAGCTGGTCATAATCTAACACATTGTAAAATTTTGCCTATTATTAGACTTAAAATCACTTTGTAGAACAAAATTGATTTTTCTTATATATGCTTATACTATTTTTTAAATTACTTGACACTGTTAATGCTAATGCTAATTTTGTTTCATATTATTGCCGTGAAATGTCAGTGTTGTAATCTGAAAATTTGGTTACAAAAATATTATGGAGTTAATTTAACGCTAAGAAGATAGACACATGTTTTAATATAATGCATTATTTGGAATAAAAGTAAAAAGTACGTAAACAATTTGTAATTGTTAGTCAACGAGTAAAAGACATTATCGTGTAACCTTAATTGTCATTCATTCCTTGAACAATTTTGTGTGCAATATAAAAAGTGTTTTGTTAAATAATATAATATAGCCCAAAATTGCTTTAATACATTTATATATAATTTCAAATTCCTTCCAACAACTTCATTAATTAGTAAGTGTTATTGTTATTACTGTCTTAATAATAAGGTAAATTTACTTTGTTTATTGTTATTTTTTATTAATAATTGTTTTTATAGGGAAAATAATGATTCTAAATAAATACATTTGATGCCCAAAGCACATTTCTGAAAGGAAAGTGGCTTTGTGTACACTCTCTGAGACACCTTTGAATATCATATGTCTAAGTGATAATAAAATTATTATGGCATCCCAGGAAAATAATGTATATTTGGCAAATCTCGTTGGTAGGCGTTTAATTTTTTTGATGATGTTTTTTAGATTATTTTAGACTCAGGAGAGAAGTTGTCTCAACAGCAAGAAATATCTGATTTAAAGCTACAGCTAAATGCATCGCAACAAACTATAGCTAGCTTAGAATTAAAAGTGAGACAAAAAGAAGAGATTATCATAAAAACTCAAGCAGACTCAATAAAGCAAACTCAAGCGCTGAAGTCTGAATCAAAAATTATAGAAAACAGTTCTACATCAAAATTACAAGAGGCTCTTAAAGCAGCCGAAGAAAAGGCTGCGAAAGCTTTAAATGATCTCCATGACAGAACTGAAAAGGATTAGAAAATGAAGTAATATAAAATTATTGCATTTCTATGTAGTGTAAATAATTCTGCAATATTTTTAGTCAAAGGAGAACGCACACTTTATATGGGTTTCTAAAGACTACTCAAATGTGGATATTTTTAAACCAATCGACGCGTCTTCAGGTAAGAAATATTGTTACCATTGCGCCAAAACGCTAACTTTATAAATAAAGCGGTTATTTGTAAAACAGAATTAAAATGCTGTCATTTACTTTGCATTACTTGGAAAGAGAGAGGTAGATCTCGCTTTAAGAGGGGTAGAGCTCACTCTTAAGGACGCGTCGATTGATGTAAAAATATCCACATTTGAGTGGTCTTTAGAAACACATATAAAGTGTGCGTTCTCCTTTTGGAAGAATATGAAAAAACATTGCAAGTCATGATACTAAATACAAAAAACTGAACGACCTACATGAAACTGTTAAGGATAATTTGGCAACTTTAGAAATGGCATCCCATGACATTATTCAGTTGGTTTTTTTTATGTTTCACCCATAAACAACATTAAAACTTTTATTTTCAGGAAATATGAACGGGCCAAAGCTGTTATTGAGGGTTTTAAAGCAAATGAAGAGGTCTTTAAAGATAATATTGAAAGAATGGAAAAGAATCTTAAAATGAAAGCCCAAAGATACGAATCTCTCAAGGCTCACGCCTCAAAACAAATAGAAAAGTATGACATAAAACAAACGAATTTATTATTTATTTGTTTTTATTTTAGAGCAAATAAAGAAAAATTTTCTTAAAGAGTCAGTTTGAAGCGTTAGAACTGAAACAAAATGCAATTATTAAAAGGTTGGAAATTAAAACTGAACCGCTGGAGAATTCTTTAGAACAAAAAATAAAGGAGTCTGGAACTGGCAGCGTTATGTGATGAAGTAACAGGCAAAAAAGTGTAAAAAGCAATTAAAAACTACTAATGATTTATTGATCTCATTATTTATTATTGTAATTTTTCCATTATTTTATTATCACTAATAATGTGATGTTTAATTTACTTAAGCATATTAAAGATCTATTTTAATTGGTAATTTTTGTAAACATTTTACTGCTTTTTTGAAATAGACATGAAAAACATGTGTATTTTTGATTTCCTTGCCCCCTAATCATTCCCCAGCGTTTCGAATAGCCTCAGTCTCTATTAAAGGAACACGTGTTAACGCTAACTACTGTAATTTAATATTACTCTTGTATTCCAATACAACAAGAGATCAAAATTTTTATAGACCTCACCTTTGCATATATAAGAAATTTTAGTTTTTTTTTAATGATTTTACGGAAGACTGTTATAATTTTGTGATCAAAATCAAGAGCTATTTTATCCATGTGAAGTAAGCGTAATTCAGAATTTTAAACTTTTCTGAAGTAATGTTTCTATATAATTTTACAACACAAGTATTTTCATGTATTCTTGTTGTAATGTTGGCTGCATACGTTACATCGAGTTTTAAATTTAAATGCCAGGGCAGGGCCAATATGGCGGCATAAGTTATTTCCTGTTTTAAATTTTTGAATTAATTTATTTGTATTCCCCGAAGTACTGACTTTTTATCGATTTTAAATACGTAGTTTAGTGTAATTTTGGTGTTTCATTTTAATTTTTGAAGGCATTTTTGCATTAGAAAGTGCAAAAGCTGGTGATTCACACACCGCATGCGCTCAAATCGTCGCTTTATTGGTTGTGATTCATAATGGTTTTATCTATTATGATTTTGTTCCTTCTGTTGAATATATCCGTGTAGAAGGTGGTTGATCCTGTTTTCATTTGTGAAACTGAAAATGCAAAGTATACAATGTAAAAAGTGTTGGTGAAGTACCAGGAGAAATCGTCTGTGATTTATTTGTAAAGTACCAATCGAATAACCGGCTTGGAATGTGAAGAAATCAACAAGATCAGCGTTAGATGCCGTTACACTCGTGTAAAGGAATGGAACAGTGCACGAGTGCGAGTTCTTTGTGTCTTTAAAGAAAAAATTCGTGATGAGAAGTGCCTTCATGAAACGATAATGATAAAAAGTGCAATTTATAAATCCTATTTTGTTGTGTTTACGTGTTCATATAATCGAGATAATCAACGAATCGTTACTAGAAGTTAAAGTGTGATAATTCGGTAAAATGGGCCGTTTTAGGCTGTTGTTATGGTGGTGTCTCTTTTATTTACCACTCGATCTGCAATGTACTGTTAGTGCTCAAGAAAATAATACCCCATCATTTACACAAAGTGGTAAGTTCAACTTATGTCAACAGAAGTCACGCCTTAATCCTCCCTCCTGCAATCTGTTGAATACAACTTGTTGCCCTTATTCTGGTCTGAAGTGTGATTTATCAAGGGCGTTAACTGGACTGAGATTATTAATTCAAATCAGTTTTATTTACACTAAGTTGTGCCCATTTTCTTAGTCACTCTCTTGCTCAATTTTTGTCTGCCACCCTTTTAATTACCGTTTTTTCATAACCGATAAATGATAACATTGATAACTGATAGTAGCAACCAGAATTATTACAAATCGAATTTTTTCATGATGCAGTCAATGACTCACTTAAAATAGCACGATAACATTTAAATTTTAACCGACTGAATCACTAAATACCGTCAACCACGGATAAATACTATTTTCCGTTTGTCGCCCTTTGTGATTTCTTGGAAAATTTGAATTTGACTGAAGAAAGTTAATTATCAAACACTTCATTACTTTACGGCAAGATAATGTCAACTATTTACAAAATTACTTTCGCATGAATCATCGATAATTCTGAATAGGGGATCAGTTCCTAGAGACATGATTCAGAATTTTTTTTTGGACACGAATAATTGAGTAAACATTTTTATCAATGAATTAACGTAAGAATTGTTGTAAACGTTGTAAGCATTGTGGTTCGCCCATTTCGGTTCAGCCATTACGTGAGGGTCCACTCATTTAAAACTTTGGGTTAATTCAAAAATTTTAATGAAGTTGGTGATTGGCTCATTTCAAGTCGGCCATTATAATAATGAGAGAAACCAATCACGTTAAACTTTAGATTAATTAAAAAATGCAATTGATTAATTTAGATTTGCATTCTGATTACTTTCATTTAAATTTTGAATGAAAATTATAAAATTAACGTTTTGAAAGGAAAATTGGTAATTGTTAATTATTTAAATAGGTTTTAAGCGTCTACACTTTTTATGGGCTTGTACAGCATATTTGTTGAAATGGTGAGGCGTCTTTTTTGTTCACTTGAACGTTGTCAATGTGCTTGATTGAATATAAAATACCTAGCAAGTTACTGAGATCTAAACATTCCAAATATGATTTGTTTCTCATTATGAAGTCACTTGAGATGCATTTTCTCAAGTAGAGTATTAAATGTGTCCAAAAATTTATTTTACAAAATGTATTCGCTCCAAATCACACATTTCGATGAACACGAAATCAACCAAAATTTTGACTATAAATTGCTTGTGAATAACGAAAGTGAGAGAGTATTAAGCCTCGTTTAGACTTAAACCGCTCCGCGGTTGTAGTGATTTAGGTAATAAAATAAACTAAGATAAAGGGAAAAAGCTGTTTCATTAAACTATTTTACTGACGTACAGCATCATTTGGGTCATGTGGAGAAACAGTGGGATCAGATTTTGTCTAGTGTTGATTTCTGATTTTTTTTAATTATAAAGTCCTTTTTAAAGTCATCATAATACTAGGTGAATAATATGGATTTCATAGATATTGATTACCGGTCACCTTTGGCTTTCATCTGAGACGGATTATTGAGTGTGCAATTACGAGATCTTAAAAGTAGTTGTATGATCTGGTGCTTGTTAAAATGCAAAGCAGAATTTTTACTTAGTTACGAAACATGGTAAATAAAAAAAATGTTTTTATATTTGCACATTTATTTTATGCATCAGCGTTTTTGTTTACAATCTTCTGATACCCTGACTGATTACTGATTAATAATAATAATTATTCAATTTTCACTTAAACAATTAAATTGTTATATGTATTTATTCTCTGCTTTATTCACAATATTTACTTTTCTTTATTGAAGGTTATAGTTTAAATTATAACTGATGTATTTGACCCTAGCTCGATAATCTGCAATATTTGAAAATTGAAACTGCACTCATTGGCAATTAACCGAAGTTATAATAGTAGGAAGGTTCTAAAAGAACAAAAGCTTACATTAAAAAAGAATAATATCTAGTTTTATTGTTTTCAACATACTTGTGCAAAGTTATTCACTGTACATTTTTGTCTACTATGTTGGTTTTCTGTAAGTGTAAGTATTTTATAGGATTTCCTGGAACAAGGAGCTTAGTTCTTCACATGGTGAAGACTGCTGTGAATGTTAATTTATGCATTTTTTAGCACACATTATACAGTTTTTATTTTGTTTCATTGTTGGCTCTATTAGTAAATATTACTCAGCGAATGAAATTCACTATCAACGTCTTATGGGAATCTCACCGAAGATAAATAAATGCAGTGTTTAGGAAAAAGACGTGTCAATCACCGTATAAACACTATAAAATTGTGATAACATTTAACCTCAATACTGCTACAATAGTACAGTATAGACAAATATTGGAGTTTCTGGATTCCGCATGGGAAATATTTTGATGCAAATTGTGAATACACAAATTGACTGATTTCAAAAAGTTGTATTTTGGGTTGCAATATAATTAGTAATTACAATGCTTATTGTTTATTCTGTAAAGATTTTTTAGATTCTTTAGTTATGAAATAACAAATAACTTTCCGGTTCAGGTCCATTATCATTAGTCATTTAGAGTATGAAACTAGATTACTGCTAAAAATTCACTTTTTTGTGATATATATCTTTCTAAAAATTTTGTGTTTTTAATGATGTTTACATTTTTTATATTAAATTGTTTTTTCAATAAATCCTGAATGAAAGTTATATTTTTTGTATTACATTTAAATATCAGTTTTGGAACCAGCAATTTTTTAGAAAGTAAATATTCGGCTATAAAAAAATATGCTCACTACCGCGCCTTATTTTGTAAAATTTCCTGTGACTAACTAAGTAAAATAAGGAAAATAACACTTCCATAGCTATGCAATTGTGCATTGAACAGAGAATGAGTAATAATAAAATTGTAAACGTTTATACAATTATAATTATAATTATACAATATAAAATCCTTTTTTTTAATCTTCACATTTTTCATTGATATTTGTGTGAGAAATAGGACATTAGATTTGTCAATTTGAAACTTTAATTCGAATGAGTTTTGTATCTCAATCTAGGGTCTTGATCAAAATCTCACGCTATATTAATACAAAAATAAGTATTACTTCAATAATCTGGTAATAATAATTTTTTATTTTTGCACTACGATATTTTTAATGATTGTGTAAATCTGTAAATAAGATAAATGGACCTGTTATCAATTCACACTTTATTCAGAGATAACTGATACTAGGGAATAAATGATACAATAAAAGATGTTTAAATGAAAGTAATAAATATAATACCCGATGCAGAAAAAGTACGGATTTTTTGAGAATAGCTTTTGTCGTTTTTGTTTCTGAGTTGTATATTTTTCCTCTCATCTCATAACAAACACAAAACCTGTGTAAAACTTTACTAACGCATTAACAGTTCAGAACTTCAATTAATTATTAAAATTATTAACTACTATAACGAATAAAGTACAGTAAAAAGAAATTAAACCAAACTTAGAAGTCAATGAAGTTAATAAAAGCGTAGTATTTTTTATATACAGTGTCAATTTTAAAACTTGCAATCGGCAATATATTTCAACTGAAAAAGTTTAAAATATTTAAAAATGGGAAGTGATTCACCTTCAGCCACTCTTGAATATAATAAAAAAAATGAAAATTTAAAGTCTTCGTTTTTGAATAATTGGAAAAGCGGCTTTACCACATAGGCTGTTGTATGACATTTTTGTAAAGCGGTTGTTTTATAAGCTTTCCAACGATGTATCACAAGTAGGATCGTGTCATTTAAAATTTTCAACTTGGGATGGAGGTGCCTCATGTCATTTTGATTCCCCTTAGGAACCACCGAAACGGTTTTCAGTGATTCTCAATAACTTTTCCAGTTCTAGAGATATTGCCGATTACAAGTTTTAAAATTGACACTCTGTATAATTGCCTGTATAGCTATGTATGTACAGTCGAACAAAATGAAAATGACGTCTCAATAAACCAGCCCCTGCTGGATGCCGACCCTTCTAACCGCAAGCAGACAGGGTCGTAAATTATCGGATTGCAGTTTCAACATAAATTCCTCTTGGAGCCGGTTTACAGAAAGCCAAATTAAAATTTAATTCAGAATTAAACTAATTAATTTGCCATTTACTTTGCATTGACAAACGTCAAATTAATTAAATGAAAATATTGAATTTTTTTAATAAAAATTTAACATACCAGTTCTTAAAGAAAATTATGCATTAATAATGACATCGACGAAAAAACAAATCATTATTAACTTAATATTTTTTTAACTGTTTTTTCAAACTAGAATTAATTAACATAATTTTTGAACGAAATAGGTTTTCTCTATTTTAAACTACATTTTATGTAAAACAACAAATGAATTAAACTATTGTTTATTTGCGAGAAGAAAAATTAATTCCACGTGTGCCTTAACCACGAGTGGTTGTAATTCTGTGAGTAGAAGCGAAATGAAAATTTAATTCATAATTAGGTAAACTAATTCGAATTAAGTTGCCATTTATTTTGCATTGACAAACGTCAAGTTTAAAATTTAATTGCGATTAACACGTTTTGTAAACCGGCCGTAAGTTTTCTATTAGTTTTGCAATTGTCATTGAAAACGAATCAAAATTATTTATTTAATTAAACCAGGAAAAAAACGGCAAAATTATTTCAAATATTTTAGTTCTGCTTTTATTTTTTGATAATTGTATTACTTTTAAATTAAATAAAAACGTTTAGTTTTATAACAACACAATTTAACAAAAACCAGTTCTTAAAGAAAATTATGCATTAATAATAAAATTGAATTAAGTAACATAATTTTTGTACGAAATAGTCTTTCTCTATTTTAAACTTGATTTTATATAAAATAAATATTTTATAAAATAATGCATAATTTTCTTCAAGAAATAGTTTGTTAAATTTTTCATTAAAAAAAAATTACATTTTCATTTAACTTGACTTTTGTCAATGCAAAATAAATGGCGAATTAATTCGAATTAGTTTAATAATTGTGAACTAAATTTTCATTTCGCTTTCTGTAAACCGGCTCCTAAAGGAATTTATCTTGAAACTACGTCAAGTTTGCAATCCGATAATTTACGATCCTGCCTGCTTGCGGTTAGCAGGGTTGGCATCCACAGCAGGGGCTGGTTTATTGAAGCGTCATTTTCACTTTGTTCGACTGTACATATATTTTTTTTTTATTGAAAAAAGAATGTTTTTACCCGTTCATGGAAACGCATATTATCGGAGCTTGAATAACCAAAACTTTATCATAACAACATACAAAAATATTTTGTAGTAGAAAAAAAGAATGCTAAAGAATGAGCACCCGACGACTTTTTGTCCGCGCCCTGATTATTATTGTTGGTTAGAGTAGAGCTGCATTTACTTCCGGCATTCAATTTGCTTGATAATTATAATGCAGTAGATTAACAAGTTGTTTTTAACGCTGATTGTATGCATCAAGGTTGTATGGTCGAAGTTCGAAGAGCCCGGAAACCAGAGAAATTGATATTATTATCAGTGTTATTATACCGTAAATAAAAAGTGAAGCTTTATTGAGCACATACATATTATTATTTATTATTTTATTTTTATTTATTTATTATTTTATTTTATTTTTGGCAACGGCATGCAATGTTTTTATTTTCCATTTTTTCCAGGCATAATAATGGACAATAATATAGATCAAAACGCACGTTTGTCTCAGTATCAAGAAAACCATAAACCCATGTTCAAAGACTGTCAGAAGTACAATCCTGTTGTAAAAGAAGAACAACTGAGTCAAACATTTGTTATAAGAGTAATGGAGTAGCAAAAGATAACATAGTTTTTTTGATGTCAGAATTTTTAAGGTTCAAGCTGTTGATGAAGATCCTCCAGATAGAGAAGGTGGACGAATCACGTACACTATTGAAGAACCACCAGGGACTCGACCTTTTTTTAGAATAAATAGCACAACAGGAGAAATAACGACTGCAATACCGTTCGACAGAGACGAACCAAGTAGACAAAAAGAAATTTATTTAACAGTCCGTGCTGAAGATGATGGGCGACCTGAATTGGCTGATATATGCACAATTAAAGTCACAGTAYAAGATATTAATGATAATTCACCAAGTTTTGATCAACACGTATGTAATTTTGGGGATTTTTATCTTAATCTTAATTATACTACATTATACAATTCAATTTGAAATGCATTTTAGGATTACTCCAGCAATSTTTCTGAAGATCTTCCCGAAAATAGTGAAGTTTTAAGGGTGTTTGCTTATGACTTGGACACACTTGAAAATGCCAAATTGACATACAGATTTATTAATACTGGAAATGACCATTTTGAAGATTATTTTAGAATTGATCCTYACACTGGTGTCATTTATTTAAAACAGCAATTACTTGGGGTTAGTTGTTTATTATTTTCCAATACACTTTTACTTTTATTCTCTTTTAGAAACAGGGCAAAAGATTTACGTCAACCGTTGAGGTCTCAGATAATGGAAAAGAAAAGAACACAGCAAGAGCTGATGTTGTATTTACAGTTGTCGATTCAAATAAGAGGCCGCCAACAATAGAAGTAGTAGGTGGTAACAAAGTAATAAAATTGAAAGAAGATCAACAAGACTTTGAGACACCTATAGTCTCACTTAGAGTACAGTGAGTATTTGTTTTTTATAGGCATTACGCATTGCTTTATTTCATTTTTAATTATTCTAGATCGAATATAAATGATCCAAGTGTTGTCTTCGAGTTAGTCAAAGGAAAAACTACTCAAACGAACAAGGATCAGACATTTATTTTAAGTCCATCGGATTCAACATCAGCAATAATCACACTGGCACGACCTTTAGACTATGAAACCGTTGAAGAATATCAACTTACAGTTCGTGCTCAAAATAAGGATTTATTATATGCATCTGTGACAATAAATGTGAAAGTCGAGGATGTCAATGATGAAATTCCGACATTTATCGAACTGTTAAGAGGAAGTATCGTAGAAAATGATAAAGTTGGCGCTCAAGCAATGACAGTTAGAGCAATTGACAAAGATGGAACTTCTCCCAATAATCTTGTCGTTTATGAATTGCTCGATCATAAGGATTTATTCGAAATTGACAGTAGTTCAGGTGTAATTACTGCAAAAGTCCCTTTTGATAGAGAAAAAGAAAAGCTTTATCACGTGACTGTGCAAGCACGTGATTCTGCACCCAGTGCTCTCTTCGCTTCAAAAAATAAGCCTAACGAAGCTAATCAGAAGTTCCAAATAAGTATCGAAGATCAAAATGACAATCAACCGAGGTTTACTAAAACTTTATATCAAGTGTATAACATATCGGAAAACGCTGATTCCCAGAAAGATGTTACTGAAGTAAAAGCTTTAGATGCAGATACAGCTTCTCGTATAGAATATAGCATAATAGAGGGTAATATAAATGATGCTTTTCTCATCGAACCTACGACAGGAAGAATTAAAGTCAAGAATAAGCTCGATTATGAGACAATTGAAAACTACAATTTAACGGTGCAAGCCAATGATGGAATATATAAAGATACAGCAAAAGTATTTATTCAGATTTCAAATGAGAACGATGAAATTCCAGTTTTTAATAAATATAACAAAGACATTGAATTTGAAGAGGAACAAGTTAGTTCAGATTGTATCGTCACTTTGACTGCCTATGATCCCGACATAAAAGATAGAAATGCAGATCAGAGAATTGTTTATCGAGTAGACAAGTCATTTGTCTCTGTTGGAAAAAATGGCTGCGTAAGAGTTGTCAAAGTAGGTTTTTTTTAAACTTAACAGTGTTTTAATTGTTATTACTTTTTAGCCACTCGATCGTGATCCTCCAAATGGCTCAACTAGTCGTCAAGCATACATATATGCATATGACTATGATGGAGGACCTAATTCTTTATCTAATCACGCTGAAATCAACCTCATTCTTATAGATATTAATGATAACGCTCCATATTTAGAACAAGTATAACAATCTTGTTTTTTTTTATTATATTTTACTCACACTTTATTACAGACGGAAGTTGTGTGGTACGAAAATCAAGTTCCAGATGATGTAACTCCGATTATAAGTTTGACTGCTAAGGATAACGATGGTCCTAGTAACGGTGAACCTTTTAAGTTTGAAATATTTTCTGACGAAATGAAAGAGAAATTTGAAATTAGAAATCAGAAATTGTTTGCGAAAGAAATCTTTGATAGAGAGCAGCAAAAATATTACAACGTTCCTATTAAAATTACAGACAGCGGTGAACCTCCACAGTCTGACACTAGTATTTTGAAAGTTATTATTGGGGATGTTAACGATAATGCGGCTCAAGATGGTTCTAGTGAAATATTTGTGTACAAATATGAGGTAGTAGTTTTAAAAATGTATAGTATAGTATGAAAATAACTTTTTTATTTTAGGGTATTAAAGTAGATACTGAAATCGGAAGGGTATATGTAACGGATCCAGATGATTGGGATTTACCCGACAAGATATTTGAACCTGATGGTTACTTGGATAGTAACTTTATTGTTAACTCAATCGGGGGAATGATTACGATGAAGAAAGATATAGTTCCTAACGTCTATAAACTAAATTTCGTAGTAAGGGAAGAGATAAATCATACTATCAATACAGTGCATGCAGATGTGACAGTTACTGTTAAGGAAATACCAGAAGAAGCTGTTCGTAAGTCGGGTTCAATACGACTTAAAGGAATTACATCAGAAGAATTTATTTCAAGAAATGATATGGTAAATTCCTTCTCAATTGTAGTACAATTTGTAACTCGTTTTTTTTACAGACTCCAAGTAAAAAAGACTTGCTTCAAAAACGCCTTTCTGAAATTTTTAATACTTCTATTGACAACGTAGATGTTTTTACCGTGATGCCATCGCGCAACTCCAGTTTTATAGACGTCCGTTTTTCCGCTCATGGTTCACCATACTATCCACTTGAGAAGTTAAACAATAAAGTGACTGCAGAACAAGAAATGGTAATTTGACGTCTTTTTAAGTATAAACTTTATAAATGTAATTTCAGTTGGAACGAGAACTTGGAGGCGAATTTGTCATGATCAGCATAAACGAATGTTTACAACCTGATGTTTGTTTGAATGGTTCATGTACAAATATTTTACAAATTAAAGATGAACCCGCTGTTGTTTTTACAAACAAGACATCTTTTGTTGGCGTTAAAGCTGTGGCTGAAGCCGTCTGCGAATGTAGAAAACATATGACGAACGAGTGTTTCAATGGCGGAACGCCAATTGAACATGGAATTTGTAATTGTCCTGAAGGATTTACTGGACCGAATTGTGAAAGTTTGGGGATTAGTTTCGCCGGAGATGGATGGGCGATGTACCCGACGTTTGATTCTTGTAATAACACTGTTATTTCATTCAATGTTCTTCCACAAATAGACGATGGACTTATCTTTTATGTGGGGCCTCTCAGTAAACGACAAGCAGAATTTAATAAAGGTAAACTAAACTTGCATTTTTGGAGAACAAACCAATCGTCATCTTGTAAATTTTCTAGATTTTATGTCTGTCGAAATGCGAGGTGGTTTTGTTGTGCTTAAAGTGGATTTTGGCGACTACACGGAGGAGTTTATTTCAGACTACAAAAAAATTAACGATGGTGGAAGCCATAAAATCAAAATTAATTACACAAATGTGGTATGTAACTTATCATAATGGCTCAATTGTTGTAAGTGTTGTAATATTCCTGTAGGAAGTACAAATTGAAGTGGATGAGTGTCCCAGTGATTGCATAAAATGGGCAAGCTTCAAAAAAGGTGGCTTATTGAAAACAAATGGGCCTTTGCAAATTGGTGGCCGATCCAATATATTTACAGAAGAAGAGTCGAAAATGGTCTGGTCGAACCCACCGTCCTCTGTAGGCTTTAGAGGCTGTATAACAAACTTTACATATAACTCGTACGTTTATAATCTTGGTGCTCCTTCTGATAAGTACCATGCTCACGAAGGAACGTGTGATTATGGTATGTTTCAAGCTGCAAAGTTCGGTATCGATTCGAATTTTTTGGTCGCCATTTTGGTCTGCTTAGCGATTTTGTTGAGTAAGGTTTTTTTTAGATTTTCTAGATTTGTTTTTAATTTAATTTTTGTTTTAGTTCTTTTACTGGCGGTAGTCGTACATAAGAGGAAACAAGACAATTTCAATGAAAAAGATTTGGACGATACTAGAGAAAATATAATCAATTATGAAGATGAAGGTGGCGGCGAATGTGACACCAACTTTGATTTGTCTGTGTTGCGAGATAATATTGACGAAAAACCACCAATGACCGACAATATATATAAGGCTGAAGTGCCTGCTGACATTGGTAGTTTCTTAGATGATAAAAAACGTGCTTGTGATAAAGACACTTTGCCTTGTGATGATGTGCGCCATTATGGCTACGAGGGAGACGGCAATAGTTCAGGGTCACTTTCCTCACTTGCTTCTTGTACAGACGAGGGTGACTTGAAATTTAACTATTTGTCGAGTTTCGGACCTCGTTTTCGTAAACTGGCCGACATGTATGGAGACGATGCTAGCGAGGAAGGAAGCCAAAATGGAGCAGAAGAATCGTGGTGCTGAGTTTTTAATTTTAAGGAGAAAGTTTAATTTTTAAATCTATTGTATTTTGCTCTGTTTTCCAAGCACTCGTAGTTTCTGGTGTTCATAGTCAAGTAAAAAAACTACTGACTGTGCGGCAGCTAATTTTTCTTTTGTTTGATTGATTCACCTGGAACTATGGCGTAATTTGTACTTAAATAATGTTTGACCAAAGAGAAGCATATATTTTTGGATGAAAATTACTTTGTAAACCATAGAATCACTTTAACGTTGTGAGTTGTGGTAGCTGGGACGTTTTGTTATATTGTTTTAATAACAAATACGAAGTAGGTTTAGTGTTTATAATGTGATTTAATCAATAGTGTGCTATTTGTTTGTTTAAAATTTCCAAATTTTGAGGTTTAATTTCTTAGTATATATTTATTTTACAATTTTGATAAAAGTAATTAGACTGTAGGAATAATAAATATGTGCATTTACTGAAGTGTACATGCAGCTTTTTTATTTATGATCATTTCAGTGATAAAGAATGAACAAGTAGGCTAACAATAATTTTTTTGTAGCATAGTTGGTTTTAATATAGTTATAATTTTTATGATGGCACAAGGATACAGAATTTAATTAAGTGACTTCTAATGGCCTATAAAAGTGTGCCTTCATAGAGTTATAGAAATGAGTGTTACTATTTTTTTATTTAGAGTTTTTTTTTATGAATTCCACTTTACTTCCAATGTGTGTAAATGATAACGCAGTGTTTAAATAATAGCAACAAATTTAGTACTTAATACAATGTGACCAAAGATAATCAATTTGGACGGAACTGCAGCGAATAAGATGACTGAGATTTGTATTAGTTTGCATTTAAATTGCCATCAGTATGTTAAAACGCATTTATATAGTGTTAATATTTTATTATTCGCATATTACATGAAATTATAAATTTTATTAGATTTTTAGGTAGTCTCTTTCTTATTCAACATTCATACCATTCTGTGCCACATACGTGTATTTTTTTGCAGCATAACTTTAGGTGTTATTAAATTATGTATTAAGTTAATTTAATTCACTTCAGAAGACATTCCTTTTTTGTGATTATGATAGTGAACAGTTCATATATACGTTTTTTGTAAGACGATCTCGTTTGGTGTCTGTTAGTATTTTCAAAAGAGAAAAGAAATTATTTAAAGTATTATATTGTATTCTAAACATAGTTTTTATTCATCATTGTCTTTTCTAAATAATTATTATAAAGTTGTGCCTATGTTATTTATATTTTTATGACCTATTGTTTTTGTACCTAAACAATTATAAAAGAATGTTGCTCACTGCCGACTTTATTGTAACAGTAACGCTATCTTGTAATAAATAAAGGCTATTTAAGTAGTCTATTATGTGTAACTTTTTAACTCAGATTATTATGCCTAGTTTTCTTAAATCATTTTCCTATTTTCTATGCATTATTTTGAACAAAAATCCATAAAAACAACGTTGAATTTGACTTTTTACCCTAATTTTTTATCTTTTTTTTCTGACTCAGATTTTCCTAAAAACATCAATTTTTTAGAAAAATGAGTCGATTTTCAAGTTTTAGTCGTTGAATTTTGAAAAAGAGACCATTGAGGTCTGTTCAAAAACACAAAAAATTGTGAGATTATATATAGAAGTACTGGTTCCTGCGGGGTCATTTTAGAGTAGAGCTTCTTTTTTCTTAATTATTAAAATAATAAAATTCAATAAAAAATTTGAATCTAGCGAATTCTAACGGAATCTACCGCAAATCCCGAACCATTTTGCCAACCCCTCGGTTGGACAGCTGTAATAACGAAAACTAAATCCACTGGAGAACGAGAATTAATTGTAAAATATAAAAGATGGAGAAGAATATTTCCTTGCAGAAATTGTCAATCAGTGAAACATTATATTTCTAAATCACCTTAAAGATATTATTATTATTATATTATAATTTTTGAATTATTTAAACCCCAACACGTCGCTTTGAAAACAGAGGTATTGATGGTACTTGGTAAATAGATATTTTTGTTTTTTATAGACCAAAAGGAAAAACAGAAGATCCAAGCTATACTTTAAGAACAAAAAACAAAAAAGTCAAAAACGAATGATTTTAATAAATTTAAAAGAATTAACAAAGAATTAATCTATATTCTAGTTGCTGAAGACACATTTTTTAAATTTGTATGGGTAGAACCTTTAAAAACTAAATCAGGATTAGAAATAGCAAATGTATTTTTAAAAACGATAAAACAAACAATTAAAGACAAACACAATCTACCTAAAAAGTTACATGCAGGAAAAGGAAAAGAGTTTTATATAATAAAGATATGAGAGTTGTTTTAAATAATCACAAATAAATACAATAGTAATATAATGACTACATCTGATAAAGATGGATTAGTAAATTATTTTTTTTAATGATTACTCAATTTTTTATGGAATTCGATTTTAAAAATTTCCACACTAGTCTAGTCTTCTATTTTTATTATTCAATGCTAGATATTTCTTTATTTGTGTGATGTAGACTTGAAAAACTAATTGATTTTCAATTTTAGTAGTCTATAATATGTAACTTTTTAAGTCAAATTATTATGCCTAGTTTTCTTAGTCATTTTCTTATTTTCTATGCATTTTTTTTCAACAAAAACCACAGATTTAGTTGTTACGTCTGGCTCATATTTTTTTAGAAAACATAAAAAAGGATAGTTTTCCTTATTTTTGGCATAAAAATCTGGCTTACATTAAAAAAAAAAAAATAAAAAAATAGGATAGTCTCCATAAAAAAATTGATGTTTGAATAGATAAAATGGGCTTAAAAACAGGTCATTAGTTAACGTGGGAGCGTTGACAACTCTATTTTTAAAAAATTATTTTATTTCACTCAAAATTATTATTACACTTAATTTATTATTATAACTTCACTTTTACAATTATTTCACTAACTTCACAATTAATTTACTCTTACAATAATGAATGGCTTAAATTCTTATTTTCAAACTACTAACTTAAACCAGATAATATTCAGACTAAAACGCGTATTTCCTATTCTGAATTTATAATATAAATTAGTGCAACGGTTGCAAGGTTTTTGATGATGGTAAAGCGCGTGATGTTTACGTCTCCTTATGGAAGCTTCTATGCTGATCCATAGGCACGTGGATGTAGATAACATCACAAATTTTTACAATTTTTTGTGTTTTTAAATAGACCTCAATAAACTCAACAATAAACTTTAACGACTAAAACTTAAAAATTGACTCATTTTTCTAAAAGATTGATATTTTTAGGAAAATCCGAGTTAGAACAAAGGATTAAAATAATAGGTTAAAAAGTTAAATTCAACGTTATTTTTTGATGTTTTAGTTGAAATACGGTTTTTGTTAAAAAATAATACATGGAAAATAGGAAAATTACTAAGAAAACTAGGCATAATAATCTGAGTTAAAAAGTTACACATATTAGTTACTTATTTAGGATACGATGTGTTTGTTAATTGAATTCATAAAAACACCACCTTTAAAATTCATTGTAGACATTCATAAATTCTGTGAAATTTAAAAAATGCGTAACACGCGGGCCCCACGGTGGCGATTGCAGCGCCAGCTGTTGTGTAGAAACCTAACTGATTTGTCAATAGGTTGTCACTTTTCTCCGAAATATTTGTTGGTTTTGATTTGTGTCAAAAATTGTTGCAATGGCATCAAATGAGCAAAAAGCACAGCAGTTAATTGCCGAAGCTGAAAAGAAAGTTTCTGCAAAAGGATTCTTTGGATCTCTGTTTGGGTAGTTATTTTTTAGCAAAATTTAGGCTAGCTTCTTGTTGCGTACATTTGTTAAAATGAATTGTTTTCCAGAGGCAACAGCAGAATTGAAGATGCAGTCGAGTGCTACCAAAGAGCAGCTAATCTCTTTAAAATGGCCAAAAATTGGACACAGGCTGGAAGTGCATTTTGCGAAGCTGCAAACCTAAATTCACGAAGTGGGGCTCGACACGAAGCTGCCACCAACTATGTAGATGCTGCCAATTGTTATAAAAAATCAGATATTAATGGTAAGAACAAGACCGACGTGTAAAGTGTGAGATTTTGAGAGTGGGAGTGATTCATTGGTCGACTGCGTTAAAATATCAATTGTTGCGGTTAAAGAGCTAAAATTTAAGCAACAGTGAGTTTCTGGACCGAAAATTCTACATTATATTAATTGAACCTGCTTTATGGGTATACAAACAGTAAAGTTGAAGATTTTTGTCAACATATTTAATCCCTCAATAACCATTTGCTAGTTTATGCTTTTTCTAAACATCATTATAGCTTTCTGTGTAATTCCACTAATATGAAAAACTAAACGATAAGCAACATTAGTATTATGACAAAATTGTAATCAAACAATAAATCATTGACAACTAATAACTCAAGGTTGCCAAATTAAAGTTTATATCGATCATTTTTGTATTATTTCACAGTGGTAAACTGCCCACCAATGCTTTTTTATATTTTTAATAATTGTCAACAAGAAAGCCATAAAAACAAATCAATAGTCAAGACGATTTGTGATTTCTTGGGCTATATGTAGTTTAATAAGATTACGAGCCTGACCACCTTTTAGCAACATGCAATCAATTGAAAATTTTATTATAATACTTAGAGTTGAAATTGTTATTCAAAGCACAATTTTTATATTTTAATTGAAACATGAAGTGTTCACGCTCGTCGCTAGCCTGTATGTCTTCTAATTTAACTTGGTATTTGCAGAGGCGGTAAACTGCCTGCTAAAAGCAATAGAAATTTATACGGACATGGGTCGTTTCACAATGGCCGCCAAACACCACCAAAGTATTGCTGAGATGTACGAATCCGACGCAGTAGATTTAGAACGAGCCGTGCAACACTATGAACAAGCGGCCGATTATTTTCGAGGTGAAGAGAGCAACGCCTCCGCTAACAAATGTTTGTTGAAAGTGGCTCAGTACGCTGCCCAACTCGAAAATTATGAAAAAGCAATACAAATTTATCAACAAGTAGCCTCATCAGCTTTAGAAAGTTCGCTTTTGAAATATAGCGCTAAAGAATATCTATTTCGTGCTGCCTTGTGTCATCTTTGTGTTGATGTGTTAAATGCACAACATGCCATGGAGCGGTATGTACAAATGTATCCCGCTTTCCAGGATTCCAGAGAGTATAAATTAGTTAAAACACTGATTGAGCATATTGAAGAACAAAATATTGAAGGATTTACCGATGCTGTCCAAGAATATGACTCCATTTCACGTCTTGATCAGTGGTACACCACTATATTGTTGCGCATCAAGAAACAACTTAATGAAAACCCAGATTTGCGCTAAGTCATTTTATATTTATTTATTGGTGAAAAATCATATTTATTTTTATGTTTTGTTGGTTATTCTTTATCAGTTACTTGTAATTATAGTATATAGTAAATAAACTTTCCTTGAAATTACTCGTTATATAATTAGGTATAATTTATATAAATAATGTTTTGTCTACGACATTGTTTTGAAATATATAAATATTTATATCTATTTTAATGTGATCCATGTTTTTTAGTATAAGGTGGTAAATTACATTTGCTTCACTGAATATCACACAATGTAAAACATGGCACCCTGCACTCAGGGTTTTGTCGTTTTTCTTTTGTTATAACACATTTAAATAACATTCCTATTAAAACAGTATATTTAGATAACAATTTCGAGTAAAATGGCGCACCCTAATATATAGTGTCTTAAATTTAACATACAGGCGTGGGATATACATGTCGTTCAAAAGTGTTCATGCTTTACTAATTTTATTTAAAATTTGCTTATCTAAGTATACATGTGATACGAAAGTAATAATGCGTTGTTCCATATGAAATGATATTGTTGGAATTTATTGCCGGTTAATAGCACTTTGACAAATTAAAACATAAATGAGGTCAAACCCTGACACATCATGTATATAGGATTCCAAAAGTAAAATTACTTTAAACACTGCTGTTTAGCTGAGTTATTGCAACGATGGGTAACATAGAATTCTTGTATCAATTTATTTGGAGTACTAATTATATTTTATTAATTCGTAGTGATGAGAGTTTATACAGTTTATTTTATATATATGACATTGATATTTCAATGTTGTTACGTGAATACTTTGTGTATACTTTTTAATACTTACGCCATTTTTATATAGTTAGTGTTGTATGATTAAACGACGTAGGTACTATTATGAAATATGTGTGGTCTTTGTAGCACTTTCATAGCAAACTGTAAAATCCCATTTATTCGCTAAATAGTAATATAATTTAACCATACATAGCGCTCATCCGTTTCTGTATACATTATATGTGACATAATAAATAGATTTCACAAGTAAATTATGGGTCAATATAATAAATAACTACAAGAATACATATTTATTGATACATTTAACAGCCAGAAATTAGTAAGAATCTTATAAATAAATACGCAAAGTTTTCAACGTCTTGTTTTACTTTGAGGTGAGAGCTAGTCTTGCTTGCCCCTGTCCCAATCACATTTTTACCAAATAAGTCTTTGGGGACATTCGAAATTCTCCCATTCTATTGTCTTCGTGAAAAATATATAAAGTGTACAAGCATTAAGTACGCAGTAAGTTATGAATTCGTAGAAAACAAATCGAACATCCACATTTTTTAAATGTGTTCTAAAGAGAACATACGGAATGAAAAAATATCGGAATTCCAAAAGTTTTTGTGTTACTAAAACTAGTACTGTGCATGGTATGAAAAAGAGAAGGAACCTGACATCTCTTTTATCCCACAGTTTCTTAATTATGACAAACCATCCAAATAAATACACAGGAACAATTACATAGCGGAACCAAAAATATTTACCGTAAAATCGGTTCCAAATGTAAAAAAAGTAATGCCTGTTATCAGCCAATACATAGGGATGAACCAAAGTATTAAAGTGAACAATAGTTACACTTAACAACAAAGCACCTAAGCTAACAATTTTATGACACTTTACAAATTTAAAGAAACTAAAAATTTCTGTAATGAAATGAGGCCAAGCAAAAACCAGACAAAAAAGTGAAAAATAAAATAACTGAGGCAAATGGATTGTGGCTTCATGGGCTGTTTTGTCACCTACGACAATACTGCCATTTATATAAACAAACAACACGAAAAATATCAACAATGAGCCGTAGCAAGTGACATTTAACCAAAAATGGAATGGTATTTTTCTTATCGTAATCAATAAATCTCCTCTAGCGAGCTTTGATAACTGTACCAACTCCTGAAAATTCTCAAGATGAGCTTCAAATTTTTCAAGTGGTTTCACCAACCTTTGCAGTAACACAGTCAATTCTCCTAGTCTTCTGATAAATGTTATTTATTTCCTTCAAGGCATAATAACCCAAAGCCATCACAACCCATATTATATTGGTTTGCCGACATAAAACCGCAAACAACCCTGGATAAGTAAGAAATATTTTTAATCACTCGTTTTTAATTTTCAATTGATCGGAATTATTTTTACGAAATCCACCAACACTGTAATAAAATCATTTTTTGAAAAAACAGAAGCAAACAAAATTTATCAAAAAAAAAAGGTTACATTGCTCCCAAATCTAAGAAAAGGAAACATTTTATCAAGAAATAAGTTCAAGTACTTCAAAAAAAATAATTAAGTTTAAAATCTCATTACTCAAACTAAATAAATACGTTTCTATATGTTCCCACACAGTGAAAGATGGATTTCAAAAAAGAATTTTAGTTTTACAGAAAAAAATTAAGTTTGCGTTTAAGAGAAACATACCAAAAATTGACGCAAAATAATGGTAATTTCTTTGTGCCAATAAAAAAAGCATTGAAACCATCGTGAGAGAAACAACATCTGTATAGTAGAGATGTCCAAAAAAGTACAGTGGTGGTAGTATCGATAAATTAGCTGCTGAAATAGCATTTTGCCACCTTTGCTAAAAACAAAAAACTTCATTTACAGCTTGACACTTCAGTAAAATTTACTTGTTCATTATTTAGGTTTAGTAAGCAATAAAAAAGAATTAAATTCACGAATGAAGAAAATAATGAAGTCAGTCTTAGCCAATAAGTTGAACACAAATCAAAAGGCCCCAGTAATAAGTTACTGAATAGATAGAGGCCCGGAAATGTTGTTACTTTTGGATGCCACTAAAAACATTATTAACAGCTTTATAACATTTATTTTCAGGTAAACTACCTTGTCAAATTCGTATCTGCAATAAGCTTCTCCAAGTTGAAAATGAAATTCTTCATCAATAATAAGTTTTGCGGTTTGATATATTTTGTTGAATATAAATTTTGAAACTATGGCATATATCGTTAACAAAGTACACAGCAAAATCGTGGAATATTTAATTTGCAACATTTTAACAGAAATTGTGTGTTCTATGAAATAAGCCAGTCGGCAATTTGACGTTTGAGGTTAGGAGAAAATTTTGGGCTCATTGCGCCGACGAGAATACCGAATCGCGAGACTGCTTCTACTATTCTACAATTGGGTTATTCTCGTGAGTGTTTATTCTCACGAATTTACATTCTCGTAAATAATCATGTGACATGTACTTGAAGATGTAAATAATATTTTATGTGTAATTAAATTAATAAAATTAATTATAAGAAAAAATGAAATTTAAATAATTATTACTCCTGAATTGTCACTATGAATGCTTTATTATTATTAATTTTGACCAATAAAAAAATTCGTCCAATGAAATGTCAAAAACACTTTCCCGTGTTATGTCACCTGTGACATATTATATGGATTGAGTAAAATTGTTGCTTTCACAATGTTTTCAGCTAACAAAAACTGTTTTTGTTAAGTTTCATTGTTTTAAATGGAAAAACTATTAGTTTTGTGATTATTACGGTGTTGAAAATCATGTATTAGGCACGTTTTTCATACATCTTACTGGGATGAAGCAATATGATTTAACTTTCCAATTGTTGAAAGAATCAGGATATAATTACTACAATGGCAACACAAAACTCAAATCAAACACAAAACCAGTTTGGAAATATCACATTTCGTGAAATTCATAAAAACGCCTGGTTAAAAAAAGTTACATCAAATGTTAAAAAGGTAAGATGTTGAATTGTTATTATAGATGTCATAAGTAGCTTCTTTTAGAAACGAGAAGCCCTCTGGGTTGTTTTTTGTGTACACGATGACAGCGATGCATTTCTTGAAATGTATCTCAACAATAAAATCGCAGTGCTTCATAAACCAGACTGGTTCGTTTATTTGAATGATGTGCAGCATGTCTCACCCACAATCTGCCCAAATGAGCAGGAATATGAATTTGTATTAACGTTAAAAACGGAAGTTGTGAGACTAACTGCTCCTACTTGGGAACAGATGCGAGATTGGGTATCTAGTATTCAGACAAAATTGCAAGAGCTAAGAATAATAAGTCCAAAAGATAACGTTTATTCAAAGTTACCAGAAGTTGGCCGGGGGCCTGTTTTATCTACCCGATCTACAAGAGACCCCAATTCGCCGTTACCGCCTCCACCTACAAGCGAGTTGGAAGTGTTACCAGGGATAGAAATTGAAATTAGTAGTGCAGATTCAAGAAGACCCCTAATACGACATTGGTAAGAGTTGCATGACTAAAATGTTTTACTTATTTGTATTTTTAGGAATAGATCGTTATCCCAGAACAACTCTTCTGGTGAAGAAACACCTAGGTTGAGAAGAGAAAGCACATCAGAGCCAGAAGTGTTTAGATTTGATAATTTGTTCAATGCAGTTCAACAAATAAACACGGAATCAACAGCTTGTCATTATGAGCGTTTATTTCAAGGTGATCCAGGTACATTTGTTCAAAATCATTTGACTTGTAGCAGATACTACTTTTTTTTTGAAGGTCCGTCCAGACAACTAGAAAGATCGTCAAGTACCCTCCAACAACCGCCCTTATCATATAAGACATTTAGAGAGCAGCAAGTCCTACAGTTACAAAGAGAAATGGCACATTCCGGTGGTGTTAGATTACAGTTGAGAAAAAAAGATTGTATGAATTCAGTAGCCTTAGTTGACGCGTTTGATTCCGTTTGGTACGTCGATTTGACTACATTGTAATCACATTTGTCAACAATTTTTTAGGGTTTGTGGCTGGAAGCAAAGAGAACAACCAATGTTATATAATGTTCTTCACATCGGTGATAAAATTCTAAGTATAGCTGGTATTCCGGTCAAATCGACAGTTGAAGCATATAGGATACTAGAGTCCCATTATTGTGGCCTATATGTAAGTCTGTAATTAAAATTGCTTTCTCTTTTTCATAAGCGTATTTTATAGGTCGATATTGTTATTAAACGAGTGCCCCATGGGCAGGTGTTTTTGATACAACGTGAAACTGAAGGCCAGTCGTTAGGTATAGTTCAGGAAAATAACACAGCTGTTATAGAATTGGTGGAAGAAGATAGCTTAGCTGCACGGCAAGGATTAACTGCGAAAACGAAAACCTGTGACGGTTTATCGTTAACAAACTGGGTATTAACTGAAGTTAACGGAAGACCATTGAATTTATTTTTTAAGAAGAATCAAGTGAGAGATCGTCTTAATTCGGTGGGGCGAGACATATCGATTTTAGTCCAACCTTTAGATTTAATAAAACAACTTAAAAAAGAGTTAAAAGCACTAAGAAACTATAAAGAATATATTTTACAATAATTTAATGTAGTAAATCACATGTTTTTTCGTATTTGAGAACATGGACTGAAGTCTATACTGTGATTTATATTTTATACCGATATAAACGAATAAAAATATTTTATTTATCTCTTGATTGGTTTTCATGGGGGGACGCTGACTTTTCCCGCAAACACAATACTTTTGGTTGGTTTATTTACAATAAAGTACAAAAAGGGTTTGTTGGCTACAAATTTTGGAGGTGGAGCCTTATTCACAATGGATGCGCCTGGAATTATTGCACTGTAGTTTAAGTTATTAAATTTTGTTTAACTAACCAGAAGCAGCAGATGCTACGGTTCCTTCTTCATTTACTTGTATTTCGGCTCTTTGAAGTAATCGAGAGATATATAAGTAGTGAGGGAACATGCCAAGCAGATTTGCTTGACTGGCATCAAAAACATCAGGCATTCCCATCTATAACAACGAAAAAATTAAAATTAAATTTTTTATTTATTCAGAAAATTTACGATTTTTACCTTTTCAAGTACAGTGTTGAGTATCAAGTCTGACTTGACAGTGAATCGAGGCAAATACACTTTAACATCTTCACCCTCAAAATCTTCTTTGGCTTTGTTAAGCCTATCAATTATTTTACTAAAAGGGTTCTCAGCCATTGAATTGAGCATATTCGTTAGCGTCTGATCTTTGTAAGGCAAAATTACAATCATAGACATTTTGTCACCCTACAAAACAAATTTCTATTTTTGGTCATTTATTGAATGAAGATATTCACCTTTCCGTAGGGTAGTTCAATGGCGTAACCTCTAATCCATTCCAGTCTCGAATAAGGAAAGAATCCTGTTTGGGACATCATATCAACTTCTCCTAATTTGTTTTGTTTCTCATCATAAAATGTATCACGGCGGGTTTCAGATCGATTGAAAGGGTTCATCCATGTGCCTTTGAAATACATTGCACTGACAATAAAAATTTCAGCGTCAAGTAGATCATCTAAAAAAATATAGTTATAGTGCAAGGTCATCGAAAGTTGAAATATTTAGTTACCTGGTCGAATGAAATTTCGTATTCTATTTTTTGTTGCGCTAGCCACATACTTGTTGATTCTATCACTAGCGCTTCTGGTGTCCGAAAAGTCTGTAGGTTCTATTTTAACTCCGTAATCTTTTTGGGCAATATCACGGAAGTCGGTTTTTAGTTGCTGAGCTTTTGTTGTAAAGATAGAGTTGTAGATGTCCAAGTTCACCCCTTCATCTTTTTCCTACCAAATAAATAAATTCTACAAGTATTAGACACAGTATGTCGTTTTTTAGACCACTACTAGATACTACAAATACTATATTTACTTACTTGTAGGTATATACTTACAATATATACCTACAAAGGGCAAAAAAAATAAAATTGCAATAATTTTTAGTGTTCTTATACACCATTAACTTTTATGTTAACTTTGTTATTGTAAAATGAAAAGTGCCTCCCACCATGATAGTCATTGTGCATTAGATTAGTGAAAGACAATTGGGGTCTTCACCCCCCCACAAAATGCACAAAGAACATAATTATTTATATTGTATATGCGATTAGATATTTAATTTTTTTGTGAAAAATTAATTTATAGCAACAATAATTTACCTACACAAGCTGTTAATTATTATTGGGAAACTTTAGAACTATTACAAATAATAATAATTATGAAATTACAGAACTCGAAAACAAAAAAATTAAATAAAAAAGCCGTTTTTTGAAGTGGAACTTCCTATCTTCAGTTTCCAGAATATTTTTTTTAGCAGAAAATGCTCGATTAACCTTTTTCCGTGCTTGGTAGCCATGTACATACTTAAAGATAATAATTTTGAAAACTTATTTAAACAATGCATGGATATGTCAAATACACATGTCAAGAATGTCAAATTTGAGGAGTGGTGATGCCCTATTAATTAATTAACGTAAATATTGTAAAAATATAAGCATTGTGATTGGTCCATTGCAGTCGGCCATTATTAATAATGCGAGTAACCATGGAGAAGCCAATCACTTTAGACTTTGGATTGATTCAAAAATGTAATGCAATTGATTCAGTTGGATTTGCATTCATTCATAAAAATATTTTCAATTTTTGCAATTATCAGCCCTAAAATACGTATTATGTGCAAACATAAGTAAGTGTATTATGTATAAAATTTAAATAAACTTTTACATCTTATTTAAATATTAATTTTTATTTTTAAGAATATTTTTCTTGGTATAATTTATACGAAGAAATTGATTTGTAACTTTTATTATAAATTTTAAATTCATAAATGAAATAAAAATTGACCTCAACTAAAACGAAGGCATGGGTGCCGAGACGGGGAAAGAACAACGGAGATTTTTTTATTTTGTTGGTAAAATTTGTTGTTAAAAGTGTATAATATGTACTTATTTGTGATTGAACTCACCGATAACAGGGATGACAAGTTTTTGAAATTGTTTCTAAACATAACTTTGTTGGGAAAACTTGGTATCCTGAGAACGTTTTCCATTTGTTTAGCCGTTTTATCCCTTGCTCCTTCATCAATGATTGAGAGAAGTGTCCACACTGTATATGGAGATAATGCTAAATTTCGTGGACCTCTCGGTTCTCTACTGGTAGCCTGACATGGAAGCCGACAAATCAACATAATTAAGTAAATAACCAAGGTTATTAACTTACCGCTAATAAATCGATGGCAAAAGCATTTGATGAATCACTAATACTTTGGGCCTTAATGCAAAATATCACTGCCGCCCAAATTAGAATTGGCACTAAAATCACGATAAATATTCGACTAAACAAAGGATTTGTATTTGGTTCGCTTCAATAAAATGTTCAAGGTGACAAAAAGAAATGAATACACAATTGAATATGAACTTTATTGCTGTTTCGGCAAAATAACTTACACTTTCTCTTCAAATCCATGCTGGTACATAAACACTAGCTGCTTGCACAAACGTATAGCAAACACTGCATGTAGGTAATTAAAACTCGCGAACAGTACTTTGCGTTCAACTCGTTTTATGAAGAAATTTTGATATCCTCCGACTTAGCGTAGTTGACCTTTGTCTGTTAACAATCCCGTTAATATTTTTTCCTTTTATAGCTGCAAATTTTAGTGTTTATACCAATACTTACGCACGCATACTGCCAGAATGTCACACTAGCAGATTCTATAAAGATATTCATCTGGAAAAACCCAACAACTTGAATCGTGAACAGTTCCTTGCTTTTTTAACTAATACGGATTTATGTCTAAATTTAGTAATTGTTGATATATCAATTAATTAATTCATTGACCAATACGTAAGCCAACTTTTGCGAATAAACCAGTAAGTTCGATACTGTCAAAGTCAAATTCCCACTTATACATCTCCTAAAACCACTAACATCCGCAAATGAAAAATTTTTTATGTCATAGGATATTGTATGGAGATATGCCTTGTCATTCTATCAATTAATTAACAGAATTCAACATTCTGCTTTCAAATAGCAGCACACTAAAAATTACTTTCAATAAATTCACATTGAGTTAAAGATGAAGTATTATAATATAGAGCACTAGAGCAGAGCAAACAATATTAATAGAGGAGTAACTTTTAAATTTTGTACGCAAAAAAACAGCAACTTTGTAGGTTGTAGGTATAAGTTTAATTTTTTTAACAAAACTTCCACGGAAAGTACAGAGCGCTCATTTTATGGTTTTTAGATTTATATCAAAACGCTACGGAGGGATGGAATACGTCAAAATAATTTCAAACGCAAGCTTTTATAATGATCTAATAACCAAATTTTATTTGTATTTCTTCATAATTTTCTAATCTATAAGCTATAAACTTATCAAAAATGCTACGCATACCGTGAACCATAATGTTTACGACATTTATGTTTAGATTTTAACTTTTTTTTGTGTTCTAGAAGTATGACTGATAAAAATAAATTCTAAATAATATGTGTAACCAGCTTGTTTTGTCACTCTACAGTATGTTCCCGGATTGAGTTTACAAAAGGAAAAAAAAATATCTTTGATTTTACGTCAAAACTGCAAAGGAAAAACATTTTTTGCTTTATCCGAAACCAGCACATGTGTAATTAAAACTTGATTATAAAACTAAAAGCTATTCATATTACGAGTATTCTATGTTATTTTTTATGTATGCACACCCGGAAACAAAAGTGTTCACCAGTCTTGAAATCGCTACATTGAGACCACGGCTGGAACATAATTAACACTAACTATTGTTTGAATTGGGCAACAAAAATTTACCTGAAGCCTAGAGATTGGTACATTCATTCTTCTCCGCGTGTATCTACATACCTAAGATAGAACACAACAATTGTTTACAAAAGCGTTTCACTTGAGTCACGAGCTAGTGATAAAAAAATATTAATGTGAATTATGACAAAGTGTTTTGGCCTTTTTAATGCTAAATATAAATAAAGAAAATCATGTAAATTAGCAGACGAAAATAATCATCTTGGTATTCGTATTAATTACTAATCTGTTGGAAATATATAACTTTTTTGTAGAAATAAACAATTTTTTAAATATTTATGCTGAAGTTTTAATAGTTTGTCGTAGTGACATTAAAAACAACTTCATCATCACGGATACTGTTTTCAAGTAATGATGTTAGAAAATTGTTTAACTTATGTGTAAAACAATTCCGTGGCCTTCATCAATGGGTGTCATTGCGTTTCTTGAGAAATTTTGTTAAAATAAGGTTGTTATAAAATTTCACTTTGTCGGACATTTTATAGCAAAGCTTCAACTTGAATTCGTTTTACACTTGAAAGATATATATTTTTGACTCCTTTGCTTTCATTTTTGTTTACTTATAATTTTTGATTATTGTAGGTAGAGTAGACTAGGTACGGTTGAAAGAATTTTGCTTATATCGTGCATATAGCATTACTATTAATAAACTGAGGGATGATGTAGATGTGTTAAATACTAGAACGTGTTTTTATCTGATGATGGGCAATACCATTTGAGGAGCCGGTGTTTTATTTTATTTTATAATATCAAATTTAAAAAAGAATCTGATTTAGGGACCCTGATTTGGGGACGGTTAAAACAGTGACTGGGGTCAATTGAAACACATGCAAATAATGCAAAATAATATTATAGCATGCTTTATATTTATTATTTATTTTAATTTTAAGAATAAGTATGCCACCGCTCCACAATATTAAATCAGTCTCAATGTTTGAAGATTCAACTTAACAATATTTCTAATCAGCCATCAGTGTTTTAGGGTGTACAACTTAAAATATATACAGACTACGCCAGAACTCGCGCCCCAGAGAAAATTTTCAAGTAAGGTAAGGTAAAAAATTTTGACATTTTTATTTTTTGAAATTTGACATTTTTTATGCCTATTTAATAATACTGATGATCTTGTATATGTTTTTTTTACAATTATTTAGTAAAAGTACAAAAATTTTGGCAATAAAAACCACAAATAACATTGAACAGAGTTACAATTTAGGATATATCTTCCTTGTGTCCTCTTTTAATAGCCTATAGTAAAAAAACTTGGAAGATAATTTTTCCAACAGAAATAAATAGTCAAAGTGCAAAACTTAAACCCTCATAACTTCGAAATTTTTATAAATAATTTTTTTTAACATTTTTCCATGTTCCTGGTAAATTACCTTATATGGTATTTTTCTCTGGGGCGGGAGCTTTGAGGCACCCTGTATAATTAGTCGCCTTTGACATTATGAATACTTAATAATTATGTAAGCTTTGTTGTTTATTGGAAAATATAATAATATAATGTTTCAACCGTACCCAGAAAAAATGTTTCAATCGTCCCCAACCCCCCCACATTAGGTATAAAACAATTTATAGCAACGGTGACAATAATTCATTAAAATTAATCACGCTGCCATATTCTACAAGCTTCATTTCAAACACAAAAAAATTCAATACTCTCACTTTAATAAAAGTGCAAAAATTTTCGAACAAAAATACTTACTTTTGCTCAACAAAACACAATATGGCCTTTTATAAAAAAAATTGCAGGGCGCTGTGAGCAACGCAACACTCAAGTTTGTGTTCGGACTTGTTCGCTTCGTTCGGCCCTTGCACCCCTTTCTCACCCCAAACGGTACCAGAAATAGCTCTGTTTCAACCGTCCTCTGTTTCAACCGTACCCGGTCTACCCTACTTGTCACATTTTAGAAGTTTGATAGACTCTAACCAACAATAATTTTATCGCGTGGACAAGTAAGTTTGAGACGTGCTATAAGTGGTTATAGATGTAAAATTTCAGAAATGTTGCGGACCTCTGTTTTACAGGTCATTTAGTTACGCCACTGCTTCACTTTAATGTTTTGCGCAATTAGACTCCGTCCAAGTATGTGCTTATAGATTTTATCTAACTTTAAAAATAACTTATGCAAAGTATGTAATTCATAAATTACATTATAGATATATCGATCACACAATGGCAAAATCAAAATTATTTTTAAATGAAATGTCGCTTTTCATTTTTAAATTTCAACGAGAATGGCAACCACTAATACACGATATCACTGGAAGATATTTTTTAATGTATTTATTCATACTACTTTATTTTACACAAAACTCAAATAATTAAATAAAAACTGAAGTATTGTATTTGTTATGGACTTAGTTTGTTAAAGCTATATTTTATTTTTATAATGATTATTAAAATATACAATTTTTTTTCTGCAACTCATATTGACGTTATATCGATGGAATTAGTATACTGTTTTTTTATATCAACGTGTTTTTGATAGTTTCGATGTTTTCCGTTTGATCGTTCATCCCTACTCGTTCTGCATTTTAGGTAGTAAGTAACAGGTAATATAGCGTAATGGATTTGCAGAAAAACTGGTTCTGTGGGCTGATGCATTGCAATCACTGGGGTAACCCACTCATATCTTCCCAAAACTCATCCCTAAAAAGTGGGGAAATTTTAAAGCGTCAAAAAATTAACAATGCAAATATTTAGACCTTTTTACTATTACCACAAATGATTGTGGAATTATAAAATAATCACATATTATTTACTCATTATTCTACTTTTGATACTGTCCAGTTGTTTGTTCAAAATTTAATAAGAACATTATTAATTAGTGTATATGTAATCATGTACTTAATAATTACTCTTATTATTAATGAATGATTTTCTAGTAATGAACTATTTTAATTTAGACTACTCAACATGCAAGTATTTATGGTAAAGTTCATAGAAACCAAGAAGGATATCGATAGACGGAGCCAATGCGTACTCGGTGTAGTGGGGAAACTTGAGCAGTGGCGTAACACAGAACCATTCTGTGATAAAAAGGGAATTGTAGAGTTGCATTTTTTTTTGTATATTCATTGACGGTGATATTAAATATAAAAAATTCATACGATGCTTCACGATATTTCAGATATACGGTGATATTAATTTCTGTATAAATAAAAGACGAACAAAAAGTAACGAATAGATTTGTTTATTAAAAATATAAACATATTAAAAAACAATATTTGTATCATAATTAATTTTAATTAATTTTTCAAAGTTAACATTTATAAGGTGCCCCTGTTAATAAGTAGGTATATTCAACATTTTTTAGTGATGTTTTGTTTTCATATCTAGTCAATAAGATGTAAGAATTTTAATACACTGGCGGACACGGAAACCTCACTTTCGGTTTTTGCAATTTTTATCCTGACTGCTAGAGAAAAATGACAACAAATCAATAATTTATTGAACCTATATTAAAATACATATTGCTGGCATTATTGTTTCGGAAAATCGATGCCAAAATTTAATTTCAATTAAAACTTTCAAATTTTAGTTTCAAATGTCAATCATAATGACAATAAAGCGTGGCTTACATTGACATTTTTTGAGCTGACACAAATTTGATGTCCTAAATTCCGTGTTCGCCAGTGTAATAATTTTAAACCTTGTTGAACAATTTCTAATAACTTTCTCAAATGGTTACTGAATATTGCAATTTATAAAAGAAAAAATGCCTTAAAAATGTTATTTAGTAATAAAGTAATAAAAACAAAATATTTTCATTACAGTATATGGATTATATGTTTTGTTCAAATAAATAAGTGCGAATACACGCCACTGCTCTCAGCTAATTTCAGAACTCCCCTATATTTACGAATGGATTCGTCCGCGACCAGTCAGCATCCGTTCCATCGATATCCTTCTTGGTTTCTATGACCTCTAATCGTATAAAAAACATTTATTGGTTTGAGATTAGACAACCAAATATACACATAACGAAATCTGAAATTTTGAAATTAGGTTCAAAGAGAAAAATGTCTTGTACTAATCAGTAATTATTATATTTGTTTATTAAACAACTATTTATTAGTGCATTTGTTTATGTTTTAATTCTATCTTCGGTTTCTTTTGCGTTAAGTAGCGGTAGACAAAGACATATGCGGTTTAAATATATTATTTTTGATTTAATAAAAGTAATAATTCTAACATATTTAAATGTATTTTAAAGTAATATTTATTTTTAATACACTTACCCTTTGTTCTTAAAGTTTTTGTTTCTTTAATCTTTGTAATTTCATCTGCTTCACAGTTCACAGTTGTTTATAGTTTTATTATTTTTTGTTGTGGAAAAATGAAATCGTTTAATATGGATTTTTTACGTTCCGACGCCTTCCAATACACAATAGAAAATATTTTATTGAAAAGTTGGTTCTTAGTGTATAGATATTAGACATGCAATTAGTCACGTTGTCTCATCAAGTCATCATCACTTCCTGGTAGTGAAAGTTAATAACATAATAACATCTGATAAGAATACAGAGATTATCATTAGCTACCATCAACACGAAATATTGTTGTACTTAGGAACTTATGTAGTTGGGGAATATTGAAAATTAAAATAAAATGTAATTTAAGTAGCATGTCAGTGGTAGAAAAACAAATTATTTACCACCCGTTTACGCGTGAAATTGTCTTTTAATTTATTTTAAATGTATACTAGAAGCTTCGAGATTTGTAAATAAAAATAAACACTGACGTGAATTTTAAACAAAATAGACGTCAGGTTAATTTTTGGTGTGTGGAATTTAATTCCGGGTTTTGAATACTTAATAATCGGATTTAGAATAAATTATGTGAAATTATGATTTTTATGTGAAAGCACTACAAGTGTGGCATTGTGTAGTGATTTCGATTATATTGACGTAATTACGCCGGCTGGCATAACTTTTGAGAAGTCAATGACCCTCAATTGTTGAGTCAAGGACGAACTGGCGTAAATATTTTTTTTCATAAGGTTTTGTTAAGGGTGTAGATGGATGGAGTGAATAAAAATAAAAAAATGTCTGTTTTATGTTTATTGTGTGTAAATGAATTAGTAATAACGAGAGTTAAAAATGCTTGTTTGAAATTTTAAAAATGGGCGGTTCTAACGCGCTGCGATTGACCAATGGTGTGAGGTAAAAGAATGACGAAGAGAGACGAAGATGCCCGAGAAGTTGTCCAGCAGGTAGCGCCACCAGTTGGAGCACTAGATCGGAAATATGGCTGTAAAATAACCAAAATCTCTTTGTTATAGTTAAAATGTTTTTGTATTAAAGTTGGAGCAAAACGTGGAGAGCTGGTGGTTGGTGGTGAAGGATGTGGAAAAGAGTCCAGTGTGAGTAAGTTTGTGTTAGGGTGTGATATTAGTGGTGTGTGAATGTGGTCGGCTCTCGGTCTAATGGTTGGCCATCAACCTCTGGGCTTGGGGAAATGCGCTAGAGATGTCTAGCGCCGCAGTGGCCAACTCCGTGAAGATGCCGATGTCCCGCACCCAGCTGTTCTCCGTGTCGTCGCACTCGTACCTGCCCGAGGGGGGCTCGCTGCCCCCGCTGAAGCCGGCGACGAAGGAGCAGAGTCCGCCCGCTGGTGCCGCCGCCCCCGGGGGGCTGCCCGAGCTGCAGGTGGTGGGCTCGTGTGCGTTGCAGTGCATGCAGCCGCACATGCTGCGCTCGAAGGGCTCCCCCGGGCCGCCCCCCGAGAAGCACAAAACCATGGTGGCCACCCCCGATCAGGTGATGAAGCTCTACATGAACAAGCTGACGCCCTACGAGCACCACGAAATCTTCAACTTCTCCCAAATCTACTTCATCGGGGCCAACGCGAAGAAACGCCCCGGCATCATCGGCAACCCCAACAACTGCGAGTATGACAACGACCAGGGCTCCTACTTGCACATTCCCCACGACCACGTCGCCTACCGGTACGAGGTGCTCAAGGTGATCGGCAAGGGCTCCTTCGGCCAGGTCGTCAAGGCCTACGACCACAAGAACCACATGCACGTCGCCCTTAAAATGGTACGCAACGAGAAGCGCTTCCATAGACAGGCCCAAGAAGAGGTCCGCATTCTGGAGCACCTCAGGAAGCAAGACAAAGACAATACAATGAATATCATACATATGTTGGATTCCTTCACGTTTCGTAATCACATGTGCATCACTTTCGAACTTTTGTCCATCAATCTATATGAACTTATCAAGAAAAACAAGTTTCAGGGCTTTAGTCTACAGTTAGTACGCAAATTTAGTCACTCGCTACTACAATGCCTTGATGCTCTTAATAAAAACAAAATTATACACTGCGATATGAAGCCAGAAAATGTATTGCTAAAACAACAAGGAAGAAGTGGACTCAAGGTTAGTGCAACCCTTCAAAATTCATTTATTCACCCATTGATATAACAATGGCAAAAAACTCACAAATCCAGTCAATCCGATTACAAGCACCGAAAATCAAATCACGTGTGGGTGGAATACATGCATTTTAATTTCCTAATAAGATCTTACATTTAAATAATGACTCTTTGTTACATTTAAAATGGAAAAGCATCAAAACAACGTTGTTTATGGACCTAATCAAACAATGACCCTATACCTACAGAATTCAGGGTGCAGTCAAAAGCAAACGTATTTTATTGAAAAAAAAAAAAAAAACTGTTAGTCGTCACTCTGAGTTTTCGAAATAATTAAGTATATTATTTTTTTTTGTTGTTTACATGTTGTGTGTATGCAACTCTAAGAAAATTGTGTAAAAAGATAATAGTTTAGAACTATCAGTTTTATCAATAATTGGCAAGTTTTGAAACTGTATTGACACTCAAAATAAAATACAAAAACTTTCTTTCAACTGTGAGTGATTGGCGATTGCATAGGAAAAATACCGCATTCAATATTTAAAAAAATTGATTGAATTTCCCGAGTGCAGATACGAAAAACAATTATCAATACATGATGCTTTTTAAAATTCTTAGTATTTTGTTCTATCAATTATTTCTATTTATTAAGTTTCATATTAACGAATAAATCACATGTCTACTTAAAAATAAATTACTCTTGATTTTGTCTGAATCAAATAAAGCGTAACTTAACATTATCCGTAACTTCAATCGAGTGATTGAAAGAGTATAACTAGTTATTAACAATAAGTCTGACTTCCTGTTTGATCTAGAGGTATTTATTATCCTGTATATGCTTCACATAGACTGGTCACGATATTTGACGCATCGTCGCTTTTTCATTATGGTTGTAGAAATGTTAGTTTTTTGTCACTGGATACAATAGTGAAAACAAAGAAAAAACATGTTCTTACTGAGACAAAATTAAAATTAAACGCCAGAGGAACTGTGCTACAATAAATTTAAACTCGGCGACACTAATCTAAACTTAGCTTTCTAAACAAAACAATGATTTCTTGTTTTGGTTAATTGATCAGATTAGAACGTGATGAATATTCCGATTGTTTTGAATTCGAAGCAAACCACAAGTTTAATAGAATTTTATCATTTTTATTTACAACTTCAATATTTCGAATGCAATATTTCGCAAATATCGATCGGTTTTGACAATAGCAACTTCTACGAATTTCGTAATAACTGATTTTATCTCAACTTGATTTTTATTGCATTGAAAAACTCGTGTCAATTTTGACAGCCATAAATTTGGACTTTATTATTTTAGAAACTGCACTTAAGCATGAACAAGGTATCTTAAATTCAACATAACTATAAAGCACTTAAGTGGAAATAAATTTACAACAGAGTCTTGGACAGGTTTTCGGTTTTATATTATATCCTGTTCTAAATCTTCTAAGTGTTTTATTGGACAAAAATCAACTTACAAATGTCGACTTTGTGGGTATTCCGACCCCTCATAACCCACTTCTGAAATTTGTTATAAATCTCTTTAAAATTATGCCAAGGCAAATATGGCAAATATGGATGCAATCTATTGTGAACTTGTGTTTATTGTTTGCTAAATTCAGCAACTGCAGCTACATAAATATTGTTTCGTAATGTAGGTACAAGATTAAATAAATATGCTCCAAATTTGGGTTTTGATATAAGTATATTAGATAAAATCTATTTCTTATCAATCTCATAATCACAATCAATGTGGAAATATTCCACAAAGAATCGCTTTCGAAGCCTCTAGAAGCGCGAAATGTCATTGTTATTATAGCGTGTCTGCTTTTGACACATTTGCATAATATTGCATGCAACGTTCAAATATGCAAACCACAATTATTATTTTGATGTACCAATATACAGATATAGAAGCTTTTAATGGTTAGGGTTGCAAAAAACTATTGATTTAATTTGTTGTTTTTTTTATAGTCAAGTTTGATACTAATTTTAGATGTATGTATGTACATATATATTTTCACCTATCAAGAAAGAACTTTATAATACGATGCAAAAAATTGCAAATATATAAACCAGCCTTAATTTTTGAATGAAACACTGTGTATAGTTATCAGAGATATAAAAATTAATAAAATCTACTTTGTTTTCAAATTCATACAAAGAAAATAATATGTACTTCATTTTTTAAGACTAAAATAATAAAAACTACTTAAAAATGGGGCTGAAAGTGTTCACTACTGATTTCAATGTGAGTTTCCGCTGCGTTCCATTAAAATTGTTATTTAAATTTATTGTTCTGTTGTGAGTTGTGACTGCTATGGTAGAATAGTAAATGTAATCACAATTTCTATGAAGCTCGTCGCAAAGCTAGTAAATATTTTCTTCGGGCTCATTTATTTTATTTAAAATGTTAAAAATCTAAAGAATTTTATTTTTAGAAATGTTGTTTCACTATTCTCCAAAAAATGCCCTGCCTTTTTATGTTTGTTCGATTAATAATATTATATTATATCACAAGGTAGAGAAGATATTTTTTACAGCCTAGCTGTTTATTACCCGAGATGCGTATCGTCGAGGGAAATAGTAAATGCGAGGCTTTAAAAATCTTCTCTATCGTGTTTTATATAATATACTTATTTTCCACTATACTACCTACTAGCATATTATTACCCAGAAATACAACGGGAATGGGCATCTTGCCTCAGACGTAAATGTCACAACTATTATGTTTGTGAATTTATTATTGCTTACAGTAATTAATTACTTACCTGAGTTATTAACTTAAGTTGGAAGTTTCATTTTATTCTTATCGTAAATGGGGTTATGTATTTTTTTTACTTCTACATCTATTAAAGGAATTTTCTAACTTCATAATATGAAATATTTGTTAAAACAACAAAGAAACTGCAAAGAAGAGAGAAAAAGTGTTAAAATTTGTCCTACATTTGTTGTTTTGACAGTTTTGACATAGACAGAACTGAGAGAAGAAGTAGAGGTGGGGTTATTCTGATGTTTTTTAATGAGGAAGTTTAAGTCTTTTTTATTTGATTTTGCGTTATATTTTTATCTTGAAATACTTCCGTTAGTACTTCTGATGATTAGTACTTCTAATCCATTATTGCCCTTGGTCCATAATGATAATGAGTATTGACCACTAGGAAAGAAAAACAACATTTCCTCCAACTACCTTTTAGTTTTTTTTAGTTCTTCCACAACTTGTAGTGAAAAAGGATCTTTTTTGTGTTCAGAAAACTTCGTATACATATTCGAAATTTTTTAAATATTACTTACTGAAGAAGTAAAGGCATGTATTCTTACAACGTCTGGTTTAGAAGAGGGAAAGGCTTAGTCAACTTTTTGAAAAGTATTTGTCTAGGGAAATTTTTTACTAGGTTTATTTTTAATTTTGATGATTTTGAAACTTAAGAAAATTGAAATGGTTCCAAAAGAATTAATTCTGATGTCAATATTTTAGCACGACGAGAGTTTTTTCTTTTGTTTATCACATAACTTATATTTATTTTTTTTCTGCCATACTTAATAATGTAATGGAAACAAAGTTTGTAACTCATTATAACTTTTTTTCTCTTTTTTTTTCAGGTGATAGATTTTGGTTCCTCCTGTTATGAACAAAACCGCGTCTATACATACATCCAGTCCCGTTTTTACCGCGCCCCGGAGGTGATCCTTGGGGCAAAATACGGCATGCCTATCGACATGTGGTCTCTAGGTTGCATCCTCGCCGAACTCCTGACAGGTTTTCCCCTTTTGCCGGGAGAAGACGAGGCTGACCAACTCGCGTGCATAATGGAACTCCTCGGCATGCCTCCTCAGAAACTCCTCGACCAATCGAAACGCGCCAAAAACTTCATTAGTTCGAAGGGGATCCCCCGATACTGCACCTGCACGACAATGCCCGACGGCAAAGTGATACTCAGCGCTGGGATCAGCCGGCGTGGAAAGCCCCGCGGCCCCCCTGGCTCCAAAGACCTGAAACGCGCACTGAAGGGCTGTGACGATCCCTTGTTCCTCGACTTTATCCAGCGGTGTCTGCAGTGGGACCCCGAGGTGCGCATGACGCCCAGCGCTGCACTACGCCATGCGTGGCTTCGCCGTCGGCTGCCCCGTCCGCCCAATGAGAAGTCCGAGCAGCCGTCAGTCGCCACGCCAACTGGGATGCGCACGCCCAAGAGTAACACGCTTACCAGTAATAAAGTGCGGGTGCAGCTCAGCGAGGAACGGTCGGCGACGCTGCATTCAGGCAAGCTGCCGCCCGTCACGTAGCCCCAAGCCTTTTAGATTAGGTAGAATCATATCGCGAGAGCGGTTTTGTCTTTTGTGATTGCATATGTCAGCAACGCTGCCAATTCGGACTGTGGAATGTGTACATTCCGACGTGTCAATTCCTCCATCTCATCGTTACGTTCGTGTCATGTTATTTATTTATCAACATCAGTGCTCATGCTCCAATTAGACTAATATTATACGTGCAATATACCATTGCCACTGAAGTGGGGGGATGAATAGACCGCCTCCCACTTCTATACTACTTAACAAAGTTAATCAGATTTGAACATCACTCATATTTATTTTACTTTTTGTATTTATTTATTTTATCATGTGATTTATCGATTTTATTAGTTTTATGTTTTTATTGACATCTTTTAGGCCTTTCTTTTTACACTGAAGGGATGTGCATAAAAACAATATATCAAAACTTTTCTATGTAAGTCTTGTGAGAGCATGTACCTAACGAGGATCAAATTTTTTCAACGTGTTTGTAAACTCGCGGTAGAAATGATGTAAGTAGATTCACTTATTTCTCATTTCCGTAAATGGAACGTGCATTCATAGAAAATAGAATTATGTGATGAATCTATTAGCTCTATAACCGCTTAATTTTTAATTTTTTCCTCTATACATGAAAATATAGAGTAATACTTTACAGATATAACGGAACACCCTATCATGACCTAATAATTATAAAACTAGAGGAAAACATTGAAAATTAATTAGGTACTGGATTTTAATAATTTACAGCAAGTGAAATATATTCTATTAATTTTTATTGTGTTTCAATTTTGCTCAATATTATTTGCATTTATCTTGTGAGTCTAATTTGGAAATTGTGACCAAGCAAATCGAGATACAACATCATACAATTGTGAGCATGTGAGATTACTATTTCAGGGTATAACTAGATAGTATGTTTTGTTTTGAGCACAACGATGTTAATGATTTGTCGAAATGGCCTTTGTTTCATTTCTTTATTAGTTAAAAACTGAATCAAGACTAAGAGCTTAATTAATTTTGTTCCGAAAATGTTTGTTGTCTGTACAATGTTGGGTACATTTTAAACCGTCAAGTGATACGTAGATTGTATGAATTTAGACATTTTTGTACCAAAATGTTGTAAAACGCTTGCCTGATTGTTAATTGAATCATGTAAAGTCCTTAAATTGTTGTGATTGGATTTAAGGATTTTTAGAATTAATTATATAAGCTCGGTAATTTAGAAGAAAAAATTCGGTATATGATGTGGCAGGTATTTCATTTTTTAGTGTTTTTTCTTGATTTGAAGAACTTGTCTCATTGTTAACTGATTGTGTACAGATAGTGCCTATAGCAATGATGTAGGATGTCTTAAGTTGCACTTGTAAGTAGATTATTGTAAATATTAATTTTTAAGGATTGACTTTTTTATTCTTTTGACTGGCAGTAAACGCTAAAAAGCAAGTAAAATCCTACAATAAGTTACAAAAAAAATTGCAATCGATCATCTATTAGACACTAATCATTTCTTGATAGTTTTATTATGATTTTCAATTTTTAGATTAGATTATCTATTTAACAATTAGTAATGTTTTTCTTAAAGTTAATAAGACTAAAGAAATGGTTCTGGGGTATAATTTTATTCTATTTAATACACCAAAATCATTTCCTTTGTTTTATTTCAGTTAAACATTTTTTTTTTCTTTATTCATTGTGCAAATTTTTTGAGTAATTTATTGCCTAATCATTATCGCACCATACTTGGGGTAATAAATTCATTAGGCAAATTTTTCGTGTTCATCATATTCAGTCTAAGCTTTTTTAAACGACTCAACATCAAAAAAATCTGCGCAAATGTACGATAATTGTATAAAATAAGAAAGTAATTAAGTTCTTGTTGAAAAGAAGCTTGATATTTTTCCATATTTTTATATCTGACGAAAAATTAAAGCGCACATTTGTATTATAACTAAAGATTGTGATTTATTATTAATTAAAATAGTTTATCGTTGTGTGATATAAATTTTAACTATTATGCTTGACTGATACACCCCAGCTAGGTGTTCGTTGTTGCTTTAAGTCTCAATGTACCAAAAAGATGTGATTTCAAAGAATAAGGAGCAATAAGTATCCTGAATATGGTGGGTCTTATTTACCCAGAAGTTTTTGGTGCGGTAATTCACGATTTAATATAGATTTTTTTAACTTACGATTTTAGTTAAAGTAAATTCCTGAATAGGAGTAGTTAGAGTAAGTTGTTGTAGGGGCCCATTGTGCTCACTTGTACATACAGACATGGCCCCTGACTGCTGCAAAGGGCTTGATCTCTTTTAATGTTACTTATTTTATGTAGAAGCTCGGCGTTAGTTCGTGCTCAGGCCTTATTGAACTGCAACTTGTTCCAATGTAATTAATTGTTCATACTTTGGTGCAAATACGAGCACCCTATTGTGTTCTTTTATTTTAACTACACAAGTCTTGCATTTTAATTTTACTCCTCGAATACACATAACTTATAACTTGCTGACTAACCATTCAATTTAGCAAAGATGTGATTGTATGTAATTTAAGTCATGTTTATATATCATTAACTAATAGGATTTAAATAAATCTTTCTTTATTACAAGCATTTTCCTTATCTCTCCCGTATCATATTTAAAATAAAAAGCCACTCGTTTAATTTCCTCAAACGACACGTTCGCAACTTAGCATCCTTTTGAAGGTTTCTATAATCGCATCAAAAATTGATTTTACAAAGTGAAGGTAATCACAACATAACCTTACATTTTACTTGTATGCTACATGTACAATTTTTCTATTCTGTTAATGTATATTCTGTTAAATATTTTCAGGACTAGGTAAAAACCAAAACTGTTTTGTTGCAACACATTTGTGGGGCTTTTATTTTTTTAATAGGTGCATTTCCGCTTCCTGTACCAAAAAAAATATGTCTTTCAAATATCCAGAAGCACGTAGAGATGAAACCGTTAAAGATAATTATTTTGGAACTGAAGTAATTCCTGAAAAAAATTAAATTTGCTTATTTCCTCCCTAAAATTTATTTCGTAGATTGCTGACCCATATAGGTGGTTAGAAGATCCAGATTCTGAAGAAACCAAAAAATACGTAGATGCCCAAAACGCCATCACTAGACCCTATTTAGATGGTTGTGGTTTCAAAGAAAGCATCAAAAAGAAAATAACCCAACTTTGGAACTACCCGAAATTTTCGACCCCATATCGCCATGGGACTAGATATTATCAATACAGGAACACCGGTATTTTTTCTATTAACTCGCATTAACCTCTCACTAATATATCACCAGGTCTGCAAAACCAAAGCGTCATCTACGTCCAAAAAGACTTGGTCAGCAAAGCTGAAGTTTTCCTGGATCCCAACACCCTGTCCGAAGATGGAACTGTAGCTCTCTCAGGGACTGCTTTTTCCGAAGATGGCAAAACTTTTGCCTATGGCTTGAGCAGTAGCGGTTCTGATTGGTTAGAAATCAAGTTTAAAGACGTGGAAACTGGCAAAGACTACAAAGAGATTTTGAAAAAAGTTAAATTCTCGCCGATGACTTGGATGCACGACAACAAAGGCTTCTTCTATGGGGTTAGTTGCACTTTTTCCTTTCTTTCTCTAAGTTTTCAAACAGGCATATTTGGATCAAATGGGGAAGGCTGACGGTTCAGAAACTAAAACCAACGAAAACCAAAAATTGTACTACCACGAATTGGGCACCGACCAGTCGCAAGACATCGTCGTCGTGGAATTCGATGACCCCCATCTGAGAATGTACGCGTAAACTAGTGGTTTTTAGTCATTGTCTTGATTTTTCAGTGGGGCACATGTGAGCCATTGTGGCAAATATCTTGTAATAACGGGAACCAAGGGGTGCAAAAATAATTTGCTTTATTTTGCTCAATTAGATTCGGGGAAAATTACAGGGAAATTAAAATTGACTGAAGTCGTGGCTGAGTTTGTGGCCGATTTTGAGTACATTACAAATGATAAAAACTTGTTTTATTTTCATACAAATAAAAACGCATCGAATTATCGTATCGTCATTATTGACTTCGATAATCCAAAAGAATCCGAATGGAAAGACTTGATTTCGGAACATCCGAAAGATGTTCTAGACTGGGCTCATGCCATTAATGAAAACATGTTAGTCGTTTGCTACCTCCAGGATGTCAAAGTAGGTGTAAAATTGTGTAAGAAATTCAAATACTATTTTTTTTTAGAACATTATGCAACTATATGACATTAAGAGTAGCAATAAGTTACACGATTTCAAATTAGATGTTGGAACAATTTCGGCTATTTCTGGGAAAAAGTACCACAAAGAAATGTTTTTCAGTTTTTGTTCATTCCTTACCCCCAATATAATCTTTAAAGTTGATTTTGATCAAGATTCAATTAAGGAAACGGTAAGTCATTTCGTTGTTTTCAAAAACGAGTTAATAGATTCTTTAAAGCTTTTCCACGAGACTAAAGTCGGCGATTTTGAATCGTCAAAATACGAAACCAGGCAAGTCTTCTACAAGAGTAAAGACGGGACTGAAATTCCTATGTTTATCATTAACAAAAAGGGACTTGTAAATGATGGTACAAAACCTTGTCTACTTTACGGCTACGGAGGTTTTAACGTCAACCTCACTCCATCGTTCGGAGTTTCTCGTTTGGTTTTTATTGAGAATTTTGATGGAGTTTATGCTTTGGCCAACATTCGAGGAGGGGGGTAATTATGTCAAGTAGAGTAATTATTCTTTATTTAATGTGTTGCCCAGGGAGTATGGCGATAATTGGCATAATGGGGGCCGTTTTGGCAAAAAACAAAACTGCTTCGATGACTTCCAATACGCTGCGAAATATCTCGTTGAAAACAAATATACGAAAGTTGACAAGCTCGTAATTCAAGGAGGCTCAAATGGTGGCTTGTTGGTGGCCGCTTGTATCAACCAAGCACCCGAGTTGTTTGGCGCTGCCATTTGCCAAGTCGGGTAATTAAGTCAGTTTGTGGGGAAAATTTTTCTTAATTCTGGAGTTTGTAGAGTATTGGATATGCTTCGTTTCCATAAATTCACCATTGGTTATGCTTGGAAGTCTGATTATGGTTGTTCCGAAGAGCAGGAACAATTCGAGTATTTGTACAAATACTCGCCATTGCATAATATTAGAGTTCCGCAAAATAGCGGGCAATATCCCGCCACCCTTCTTTTGACTGCTGATCATGATGACCGCGTTGTTCCTCTACATTCTTTGAAATTCATTGCAGAGTTGCAAAACAAAATTGGACGGTTGCCAACTCAGAAAAATCCTTTGATGATCAGGATAGAAACACGTGCCGGGCATGGAGCAGGCAAGCCTACCTCAAAAATTGTAAATTTTCTATTAAAAAATTCTCAATGTTACTATATTTTCCTTGATTTTAGATTGAAGAAGTCACTGATACGTTTTGCTTCATCTCGCGAGCCCTGAATCTTACCTTTTCATCTTAAGTAATGTACCATTATTTTACTTTCTATCCGACTTAAGTTTTTTGCCATGTTATTAACGTGTTGCTTTTTGTACGTAAGTGAAAAGCTTTGTTACCATTATTTTAATTAATGTATTGTTGTTAAAGTGACGTGTCTTCAGCTTTTTGATATCAATAAAACTTCAAAATGTAAATTGAGCTTTTATTAAAAAAATTAGAAAACTTACAATTAACGACAAACGCAAATACAAACACCAAATATATACTCTGACAATTGTTAATATTATTAGGCTAACTATGAGTGAGACTAGATTTTTTGAATGGATTTAAGTAAATCTTTTCAAATCTGCCTCAACCTACTTGATTCAGGACTCTTTGCACAATTGGTTACCAATAAAATTGATAACAAGTACTTAAAACTACATAAATTTAGCAACGAACAAACACTATATCTATAATATACTACACTACAATAATATCAATGAGTTGCAATGAGTAAAGAGACTAGATTTATTGAAAGGATTCTAAATCCTTCAACTCTGCCTCAAACTACTCAGATCAGCGTCGGTTGCCCGATCAGTTATCGATTAAAAATAAAATCGATAGAAACAATTAACAACTAAACACTAAAATTAAAATAAAACTTTTTACAAACAATATGAAAAAACGAAACAAAAGTAATTATCTAGTCGCTTTAGTAAATCAAGACTTAAGTATATGAAACAAGTACAAAACAGGCTTAACCTACTACAGGATGTCAATATAAAACTGGAATGTTAAAATTAAAATATTAGTCGTTATTGCGACTAGTTATCAGGTAAAATCAATAAGACTAGAATTATTGACCGGGTTCATTCACCCCATTTAGACACACATACACAAACTTAAAAGTAAAACAATTGACGTAAAAACTAAAATATTGAGCTGTTAGTACGAGCAAACAGACTAGATTAAGAGTCGTTTAAAGCTTTCATTTCCCCCTCAACATACGCGTTATCATGCACGCGATTTGGATCAATGGCCCTTACCAATTCTTGTCCGTAATTCTTTTCCTTGAAGTCTTTTAATTTCTTCAAAATATAAGGAGTTTCTCCGAGTTTGCGATTTACCTCGAAGATTGGCCAATACTGTTTGAAATTATTTGTCACGTTACGAATTGTTTTGATTGCTTCCGATGAAAAGTTTTTATAAATGTTATTTGGCATAATGATTGGATCTCCTAAGAGAGCCTTGGAGCAAATGGCAAAAGCATAGCTTGTTGTTGTCAAGTTGTATCCTCCTTCCAACGCGAGGATCAATCTTCCTTTAGCCAGACCTTTCAGCATGTGGATGAAGTGACCGAAAGTCTCAGGATTGACCACGTAACCACCCAAAGGATCGTGGATGCCTGCATCAAAACCGGCAGACACAAGAACGACTTGTGGGGCAAAAGAATAAGCTGCCGGCAAAATGATATTGTGGAAAACTGCCAAGTATTCGGTGTCCCCCATCTTGTCCTAAATGGACCAAAAAATTAGCAAACTGTAAATACAAAACAATAATTATTTACATTACTGAAAGGAATATTGATATTAAATCCGCGTCCGCGTCCGTATCCGTCGAATGTGTAGTTCCTGGGAGAATTCGCAGGGAAGAATTTCCCGTTTTCGTCCTTGTGGATGCTGATATACATGACACTGTCGTTTTCGTAAAACATGTTTTGGGTGCCATTCCCATGATGAATATCAAAATCAATAATCAATACTCTAAAATAAAAAGGCCACTTGTAAATTTCTAAAGAAAGTAACGCACCTATCCCCTTCGTATTTTTTAAGAAGGTAGTTTGCTGCCACAGCAATATTGTTGATAAAACAGTAACCCATCGCTTTATTTTGCTCCGCATGGTGTCCCGGAGGGCGTATTATAGCAACTCCAGCTTGTGATGTTCCCTTCATTATCCCGTCTATTAAATTTAGTAATCCAGATACAGCCAACAGAATTGAATCATGAGTGTGTTCATTCACGTAAACGTCTTTAGACTGTTGCATTGTATTGTTGACAGTGCTGAAGTAGTATCGACAATGTGGAGAATATTCGCTGAAGTCACGGCGCACTATAGGAGTTCGACTCATCCTTTCGAGAACTCCGAATTCTTTTAAGACTTCCATGATGGAACTTAACCGTTGTGGACGCTCCGGCCGTTCCACATCGCCTGGTTGTGGGGCGTGTTGAAGCATTTGGTCGTCGTAAACGTAATTTATAGGGAGGCCCAAGACATAACCATAGCCTAGAAAGACAATATAGATATGTCCTATAAAGAAATCAAGAACTTACGTTCACGTAAAGCATCGTTTAGTTTTGTGTAGTATCTGAAGTTTTCTTCGGTGTTCCCCGGGTAGCTCCCTGGCCCGTTGTCAAATGGTGGCTTTCTCTTGTCGCCAAAGTAGCATATTTCAAATCTGTGTTGACTGTATGTTGTGACAGTTTCCGGTGTTTGGAGTTCAACAACATCGAAACATTTCCACCTTTTGTGCAACATACGTCTGACGTTGCAAATGGTATTGATGACAGTTGGATGAACACATTTGATTGGGTCTAACATCGGGCAAGGGCTTCCCAGAAGAGAGTTCAATGTCATACATGCACCTTCCGACAATGTCGGTAAAAAGTATCCTCCCTCGAGTACAACAGCAATTTGGCCTCGTGCTAGTGTTGAGAGAAGACTTATTAAATGGGAGTAAAACCCAGGCGTGACATTCATCTTCCCCTAAAAGAATCCCGATACATACAAAAGATCACACGTGATTGAAACTAAAGTGGGCCAAGCTTTGGTCCATTTCATTTTCAATCTTTGCGATGATAAAAATAAAAGATAGTAACCTTCTCATCTCCCATACATGCATCGTACCCGGCCGATACAATGACAAGATCAGGATTAAACTAGAAAAAGAAATAAAAAGATTATTTACCTCTGGACAGCCAATTGCGGCGTCATATCCAGCAGATATTATAATCAGATCAGGGTTGAACTAATAAAAAAATAAATGAAGTTAGTATCATGCAGTGCAAGTTACAACAAAAATGTTCATGCTGAAATTACCTCATATCCAAGAGGTAATAACAAATTGAAGACGATGGCTAGATAGTCATCGTCACCAAGCAATGTCTCATTTAAAGGCACATTAACGTTAAAGCCCAAACCGTCACCTTTGCCAATATAATTAAAATTACTTTCAAGCAAATTTGGCCAAAAGGTGCCATGCTCGTACCGGTGAATTGAGAAATAAAGAACACTGAAAATCACAATCAACCACATAGCCCAACAATATACAAACTTACTCATCGCGTTCGTAAAACATACGTTGACTCCCTTGGCCGTGGTGGACGTCGACGTCTACAATCATTACTCTTTTTGAGTGACCTTCTCGAATGACGGATTCTGCTGCTATTGCAACATTATTAAAATAACAATAACCGTTGTACTCATTTTCCATGGCGTGGTGACCCGGAGGGCGCACCAAAGCCATACCATTTTGCACGTCGCGTTTTGCAACAGCTGTCACAAGATTTAAAACAGAAGATAAAGAACGACAAGCAGCATCAAAAGTAAACTAAAACCGAAATTTGTTTTTGTGCACCAATCAAATCAATTTCTACCTGATTGAAATAAATTGCGTCATAATCAGAAGCCGCGTCTTCCCTAGCCTTTAAACTCATATTCGAAACCCTTTCCAATTTCTCGTAAAGCTCAGGAGTATGTTTGGAAATGACTTTTTCATACAAATCCGGTCGCATAATGTTTGGGATATTGATGCAGCGCTCAAAAAGGCCCTGACCGGAACATCTTAAACAAAGTGCAAGACATTTGATTTTGATATTTTCGTATCATCAACAAGGTAATTATGACTGTCGACACAAAAATATGTCGTAAAGATTAAAAAAAAAACATTTGTGACAACGCAAGACTCACTTTTCCAAGATAGCCGACAGTCGTTGCGGATTTTCGGGATAATTGTCATCCCAATCACATTTATGCTTTAAAACTTCAGTGTCACAAACGACGCCAGTTTTTCCTCTTGTTATGTAGTTTGAAGCCGTGGAATTTGCGTATGGATCGATCAGAGCATCTGCAGAATCCGGATTATCTGGCATATTCTGCAACATTTCCTTCTTCTTCTGCGCCATAATGGCCTTCAAAGACTAAACATTGTGTTATTTACATCAAAAATTTGCTTTAAAGAGTGCTCACCTCGCGACCTTTCTCCTTCCCCTGTTCGGGGGAGCCTGATGAGGTACTCATACCTTAAACAAAAACAATTTTGTACTAAATTGCAAGCAAGATAACGCTTTTCAAGGCCCCAGATGACTTTGAGAAGAAACTGAGACACCGGCAAAACAATAGACCGATTGTGATAAGCGTACTCGTGTTACCAAACTATTTCAAAACAAAGAGGGATTAGTTAGATGGAAAATTCCACACACCATGGTCATGCCGTTTCTGTTCAGTGCCCGAACCCTTGCCTGGGCCCTGAGCCTTTTTTCAGTGAAAACCGTTAATACATTAGTAATAAGCAGTTAGAATGGGGTTAAAAATTAGCGCCCGGCTAAAAATTTGGCTTTAAAAAGGCGAATTCCAAACATTTACATTAAACAATAAGTGCTATTGCTACTTATTTGTGTAAATAGTAACATGTGCACACATACCTTTTATCAACAGGTGTACTTAGCTCAGCTACTCAGCCGCACGCACTCGCACACCATGTGAACTTCTGCACGGATGCGCAATTGCGCAAAATAAAATGGCCTCTTCTTTGGTTGGTCGCTATTGGCTGACGCAACACCGTAGGGGTTTGAATTTCGCGCCGGTTGTTGAACCACCCCCAGTTGCCTGAAATATTAATCATGATTTAGTTTTTATTAATTGTGCTTACATTTCTGGGCGTCGTTTTAAGAGAATGTGCATAGTCATCTAGAAGAGGTAAACATCTCAGTTATCGAGCTTGATTAAATCGACAAAAACATGGAGTTGGAATAATCCATCATCGGCAACATAATTGATGAAACTGTGAAAGACGTGAAGGCATTCTGAACATGAACGGCGTCGACGCTGTCGGTAGTTACCGAATTGGCGTCGGTAGCGTCCGGGAGTCGACGCTATCCCAGAAGAAAATTGTTGGTGGTTGTACGCACACGCCTGCGGAAACATGGCTCAAAATCCATATTATTTGTTAAATTTTAGTTACTCATTAACTAAACGGTGCTGTAATTATTGATAATTGAATTTGGTTAAAAGTGTGACTAAAGGTGAGTTGTTTTTTCACAGGAATGTTATTAAATAAGCGGACGCTCAATTAATTACTGTATTTGCATTTTAATGCTTTTATTGGATTTTCATTCACAGCTTCATAATCTATTAAACACATTTTTCGATGTCTTTAGTAATAGACCGAGTTTATTTAAAACGTCGTTTCCGGTTTGTTTTTCTTTTAGGTAATTAGCGGGACTATTTGTTTTCCTTTGGAAAATGTTTACATTTTATTTAATCTTTGCTTTATTAAGGTCCCTTGCTCATACAATTCTTTTTTAACCACATTTCATAAACCACCTGTCTTTCACATGGTTGGTTCCGTATTGTTCAGAGAGTTAAATAAAGGCATGTCTGATAGGTATATGGGTAAACAATTAATTTATCTAGGACGATCCATTGATAATAGTCACAAAAGCCTTTTGTGTACCTTCCCTATTATTCGTTTAACACACTTTTGGAAATTTATTTTTTCTGAAAGAGGGGAACAGTTGTAATGGCCAAACATTTTACGTGCGATAAAATGTCACATGAGTGAGTTTGTAATTTCCTAGTTCGACCAAAGCTGCTGTTTCAATCTTCTCTGGTCACCATGGAGACACCCACTGTCGTGGTGCCCTCACCGGCCTGTTCTAATGATAACCCAACGAAGCATTCCGTTACATTTTGGTTGATATCACCTTGTTTAATCTCCTTGAAATAATAAATTTAATTAATTGACAAGCTCGACGCTCACACTCCCCCAGTGAACAACATAATGTAACATAAACGCTTCCACTTTTCCGGCAAATTACTCAACTCCCAAAGTTCCACTTTTTTGCACGTGAAAAAATTTCAGATGTTTGGAAGCAAACTCCGATCATGGATGGAAGCAGTGAGACCTCGCAAAAAACAACACCGAAAAGAAAAACAAACTAAAGCAAATTTAAATCCTAACACAGTTTCCTCTAACTGGCAAAACGGAAACAGTTGTGGGTCTTCCCAAGATGATCTGGTGAGTTTAGCACCGAAAGTTTTCCGAGATTAATTCTCTTGAGTAGGATGACAGGAAAGGGAATACTAATCGGAAAATAACAAATGGGGTTTTATCTGAAAATGGTCAAGCGAGTCAAGCACCTGCGACGCGATACTCTGCTAATAATCTCTCTTCTCCCGAATCGGCATACTCGACTGGATACTCTACGGATGGAACTTCGCCAGGTGCTCCACCAGACTACTACATCAATATCCGAACAGGTGTCAAATATTTTCCATCAGAGGGTGAGCGCTACAACCACGAGAACCACTTAAAACATGTGCAGCAACATCGGGTACCCAATGGTACCGATTTGGCTTTGCGAACCAAGCCTCCAACTTCTTCCACTTGTCTGTCGCCACCCATCCACAGCAATCGCAGGCCCATCATGGTAAATTCGATGTTCTTAACTTGTCTAGTTTAAAGTAGATTTGTTGAGTTTGGTAACTTGTATCAGTGTCTGCATGCATTTCGATGTGTGAATGAAGTTCTCACTGGGCGGGAGTAATAGCAGTCGCAAGAGGTGGCCGTTCAGTCACATACAGCTCCAGCATTCCAGTGTAACACCCCGGTTACATCATCCAGATTAAGCGAAGTTGTTGCTAGCCCGGTTCTTACATCCCCGAGACAGCGCAACCGGATTAGGACAAATCCCTGGGTTCCGGGAAGTACGCTAAGTCCGGGACAAATTAGACAAGAAATGCCGAAAATTACAACGGCGGTGAATGTGACTGACAGCCCGTAAGGCTATTGATTTCTGGTTATTAATGTATCTCTAACGATGAGTTGCAGAATTTCTAGAAGGTTCCTGAGTCCGTCAACTTTGCGCGGACCGAGTTTGCGAAACCAGTCACTATCCTCATCTTCCTGTTCCTCTCTAAGCGGGGCAAGTATTCATTGGGATGCGAAGAAACCATCTGCAAGTGACGAAGATGACTGTACTCTCAACGAAATGATGGGAAAATACGACGAGAGTTACGTTTACGAAAAAGAAAATGATATTCTTAGTGATAGCGATCCGACTGATTGTGATACCGACATTGACACCGGACAAGACGGTGGAGATGAAGACGAACCAATTGATGGAGAATTTGATTTCATAGATAACGGCTCATACTTGGAACTGGATCCTCGGGAAGATCGTAACACTGGACATTGTACTTATTACAACTTTGAAGTCCAGAGAAAAGCCTCTCGGAGACGTACAACTCGCCGTAGTAAACAATGCAGTGAGAAACGGCGCCGATCAAGCTCTAACAAAAAAAGACACAAGCAAATTGAGCGTGTAAATATTCAGCCGAACGGCTCTAAAAGTGCGGGTGCTACTCCCTTGTCCGTCCGTCGAACCAAGCACCATCCAATGTCGAAATTGGCCCTCGACGATTGCCTCAAAAAACGGTCTAATTCCATTAGTTTCTCTCGCGACGATCCCTTCTCGACAATTGATAAACGGGATAAAGAGGCCGATCAAAAATATCGCGAATTGATAGTCGAGGCCGAACACATCTTACGCAGCATGAAGACAAATGGCCTTTCCCCTCGGCGAGTCCCAGGCCCCGCCAATAAACGCGTCGAAATCCTGCGAAGCGCTGAATGTGCCAAACCGGAATTATTCATGAAAAATAGACTGATCGAAGAGCCTGGTCCACCGTTTACAAAAATACCGTCCAGTAATTTTAATTGTTCCAGATTTAGTCCTAAGCGAAACCACATTACTAATTTTATGATCAGCAATTCGCCCGCTTTAATGAGGCGAGACATGGAGTTGCCGACTTCCCCTCTGGCCAAAAGACCGGACTCGCCGAAATTGCGAGCGAACAGGCGCAGTCCTAAGTACAGGAAAAAGTCGAATAAGGTCAAAGTGCAGGAATGCCCCACGAGCAGTGATTCCGACGGGGAAGGGAAGGTTAACGATGCCGGTCACGGAAACCAGACAGATTCCGTGGGTTTCGGATGTCCTCAGAGTGAGCCGGTGAGAAGGAAAGTGTACTCAGGACGGGGGAAAACTGTTGCGTTCAATCTTAATTACGAGAATATTTATAATAGTAAGTCGGGCGGTTTGCTCGGTGCGGGGTTATTGATTTTTGTTGCAGATTCGCCGCCCTACTCACCCACTAGATTTGAGGCGCAGGAGTATAAGAGTAGCGCGGAAAATTTGAGACAGCAGGTTTTAATGAACACCATTGCCAATCTGAAGAAAAGTCTTGAAGATCAATCTGCTTCTTTGAAACAGGTGTACCGAAGTTCCCATAATATACAACTCTAAGTTACAGCGTATACAAATAAATTTATAATTTTATACCGTGGATGTTGAAGAAAAACACCAGTAGAGTAGGCAGGTTTTATTGATTTCCCTTTCGTATAAGCTCCAATGTTGTTTAGTTTTTATTAGTCTACTGTTATTACAAATTAACCCAAATGTAGTCGTTTAAATATTTAAGCAGACGTATAATTATTGGTAGAATTTTTTTCAGATGAAGTAGGTTTTTCGGTTTGATGTAGCGACAATAGTAGAAATTAGTTGACGTAGTGGAATAATTGTAGGGTAACTTGTCGGCCCACTTCTCCTAATCCTTAATTGAAATAAGTCAAAAATAAATTTGTTTACGCTCATACAAAACCTATTGATTTTCAAAGTTATAAAAACATTGAGTAACCTATTGTCATTTTAAGTGGGCCGCAATCAATTATGTAACAATATTTGATAGAAAAATGTAGTACAATTTAGTATAATTTCAATGTGGTATTTGGATCGGACTAATAATCTGTTAATAACGTCTTTGATTATGTTGAAGCAAATACGGCCTTGTTATTTTTGACTTTAATTTTAGATATAGTTGAATTATGACAGTAAGTGTTAATTTGTTATTTCCTAAAAAAAGGAAATGTTATTTTGAAAAAAATAACACTAAAATCGAGTTTAACTGACTGAAGGGTACTCCAAGACAGAAATGGAGATTTCACGCATTCCCTGTTAAAACTGTGCTATATTTTTAATAGGTATATGTATTTTTATAGGCACTAATACAAATACGTAACCGCCTATATGTATACTTTCAAATCACAGTCGTTATTTGAAATGTGCCTGGTTTAACTTTCGATTTCAACTTCACAGCTAAGCTATCACTGTATTCATGTTGTGATTCCTGAATTGTTAAATTTTTCAAATGTTCATCTGTAAATATAATAAAACAATAACTTTCCGCTAGATTTTCTTTTACCTTAAATTCAAAAATTTATTTTATTGCAGCGAGGCTCTAATAACGTTCATTTTGAGAATAGGCCTGCGGATCAATAATGCCGAATGCAACAACAGATTTTCTCTGGCGTAATTAAATACATCTCTGAAACGAAACATTTGAATAAATCATTGCGAAAAAATGTAAGACCACGCTGATGTTAACTGGTTGCTTCATGTTTGATTTTATAGCTCATAAATAAACGCCAACGGAGAAAATGTCTTATTTAAGGGTGCTACTGAATTACACCTTCTTTATAAAGTCGATACTGGGGGAAAATGCAGTATTTTTATTTTGTACTTTACCACGTTTTATGCCATCTTGATCCTATAAAACTGCGGCTGAAAAGTGCAATATCGTAAAATATTAGAACCGGCGCATCCACCATTTTCTGCAATATTGAAACAAGGCTTAAATTAAAAAACTAATTTATGACGTCGATTTGAGACTAAATTAACGAGAATAAAAAATAAAACAAATGCTTTAATAATGTTAAAGATCACGTTTTGTAGTACTGCAGTTTCGACCTGGTGTTGATTAAGAATAATCCGTATAAATTTATCACTAGTGAAACTTTTTCTTTGTAAAATTTAACGAGAATGGAAAGTTTTATTAATGATGTTGTTGTGGGGTGGTATCAGATAGAAAGGCTTGTTGGATGTTATCGTTCTATCTGAATTAGAGTCAGATTTCGTGCTATTTTGATGTGGTACAAAATCTGAGTATCGTGATTGCGGAAAAAAGTACGTGCGAATCAATAGTAGAAGTATGTCAAGAAACGACGACGACGGCGACGACGACGTCTCCGCAACGCTATCGATTAGGCGAAAATGGAAAGGAAAAATTTGGCGGAGTGTTGAATGATTTTGGGAATGATAAATAAACAGCGATTATAAATGAAGACAACAAACGTATATTTGATATTTATTTATATGAATTCACAGTGTGTCGATTATTAGTGTACTATAATTGGGGTACATGGTGTGGTGCAAGTAGAATGAGGGCAGGGCTGACCGCCATGGTCGAATCGCTACGTATTTATATCACATCTTCATATTGTAAGTCGCGGCGAGCGGCGTCGTGGCGGTCCCATGGCGGAGGGATGGGATGGGTTGACTAGTGAGACAAGTAGCCCTTATTATTACTTAATCTTATGCCACATTATCCTAATCCTAGAAGTGAGATGAACCATAACTTCGTTATTACACAACACTAATATTTAAGAAGTGAGCGACGAGTGACGTCCAAGTCTGATTGCTATGAAATGCACGCGGTAACAAAATAACGGTTTGTAACGTCACTGTCCCGATCTGGGATTGGTCCGTTGACGACACCGGTCCACGGTCTAGCACTTTATGGAACTGACGGTGCATCGGTGTCGGAGCGAGGAATGATCCGAAGAGGGCGTGTGGCCTTAGCCGCCCTTCCGACTTCCGAGTTATTGTCGACTGTCGAGTCTAGATCTCGTTAGGCCGCCGTCAAAGGCCGGAAGAACGCTACCCGTGGGGTCCCGGCCCGTCCTGATCCGGCGCTAGCGACGATCGCTCGTCCTTTTCACCCTGCTGTTGTTGCTGCTGCTGCTGCTGCTGCTGCTGCTGCTGTTGTTGCTGCTGCTGCTGCTGCTGCTGCTGCTGTTGCTGTGGCGGCTGCTGCTGAGCCAGCGACCGGTACAAGGGAGAGTTTACAAACCGAGGGTAGCTATCTCGATGCATCAATGTGTAAATCTGCAGCTGAGCGTCGTCGAATGTGTGCGGCGTCGGCTCCACCATGTTGCGGTTCACGATTTCGCGAACTCGAGCGTCCAAAGACACCTGAAGAAATATGACAAACTAAGCATTTCAATATTACAAAAACCGGTTTTACCGGTTTAGATCGGTTACAAAGCTTAAGAAACAGGTTTAAACATTCTGAATTCGTAAACAGGACGATAATAAGAGAACATTCTATTGACAAGAAATAAACGTGGGAGTAGGAGATTATTTACTAGATCGACATCAAAATAACGCGTCAAAAAGAACTAATTACACATCACTCATATTTCAGCAAACAACTGAAAATAGTTCAAAGATAATTAATATAGATTTGTCTGAAATCTTCCCAAAGGCAGTAGAACTATCTAATTTTAGTTAGGTATCTAGACTCAATGTTTGAATTAAGCAAAGAAGACAGATTTCAGCTAGTTTGTAAGGCCAAGTCAGTAGGTGTATTTAGATTTTGGTATACTTATTAGAAATGACAAGTCAGTACAACGACCTGGGAACATGTCATGATCCAAATATTAAAAAAGCAACTTGTAGTTAGTGAAAACGTGACATAGAAACAGAAGAAAAACTCGGAAAGTTTTGAGAACCTGGAGAATTTTCGTAACTAAGAAGAGATTTATTGTTTTTCCACGATTACTAAAATTATGGTTTATTGCAAAGCGGTTGGAGCTTTGCAATAAATTTGCGGAATTAAAAAATACTGAAAATTTAATGCAACGGAAAATTTTTCATAATTTAGTTGAGTTAAGTTTCGGTCGATATTGAAGTTGATCATTTTCCGATAAAACTGTTTATGTGTATATGTGATTAGTTTTGTGGTAAATATTGGATGATGTAAGAGAGACGGTCTGTTGGATTTTGTGACAAATTCTGGTGTATTTGAGGGCATGAACTAACATTGTGGTCTAGTGAATATATGATTTCACCTAGACAGCGGTGGCATATATCAAAGGGTTAAACAATCATGTTTGCGTACAGCTATTTCGTGACTGGTCCTATAAATTTGTGTGTATAGACTGAATTGCCTCGGAAATAGCACAGGAGTGGTGGAATTTTCTTAATCGAACGCAATCTGGTTATTGTCTAGAGCTAGACATAGTAATATTGTCGTAGGTCTTGGGAACTTGAATGGTTCCATTAACCAAAAGAGTAAAGAAAATCGATGTCTTACCTCTTTGGGTGATAGAATCGAAATATAGTCTTCGTATATGATTCTTGCTTTCTCTTCAACAGCTTCAGGATTGTTTTCTTTTTTTAAATCTTCACATGCCAGCCAGAATAATATATTTTCTTCCGAGTATTCGCACCGTAGGAAATCTCTAAAAACTTTTCGTCCAGCTAGAAACGAAATAAAACCAAACTAAATCTACTGAAGACCGACGAATGCATGCCACACTTACCGGGGCTTCGCATAAGTTTATCAAAAGATCTACCCCAACTTCTGATTTCCTCTAAAGAAGGACTGGAAAGCATTTACGTTAGAATCGTAATTGCCAATCTTAGCTCAAAGCTGTTCCTTAAAAGAGGCAAGGAAAGAGATATTTTTCTTGATTCGATGTATTTTGAAAATTGAAAAAACGAAAACGCGTAAACTAAAAATTAGATAACATATTCTTTTCTTACCGGAACAGCCCATACAAAAAAGAACACTACTCACGGTGGGTCTCCATCATAATTTAAAAGATCTGAGTTATTGGAATTTCTTGTAGGGCCATTTTCATCGTTTCCTTTTCCAGGGGTTGAACTGGAATCAAGCAGTGATGTCAAAATCGATATCTCGTGTCAACTATAATTTGTTTTGTGCTTTTATTGTGAATGGAAGTGCTAGTCGCGCATTGCGGTGTAAAATGTTTGTTTGAAAATTGTTTTATTTTCACTCATACGATCGGTCGGACGATTACAGTAAAATTATAAATGGTCTGACGCTGTATGCAATTAACAAACTGAATAAAACAAAAACACTTTTCCCATTTAGCACCCACCGCAAACCTATTGTACGGTACTCCTAAAGGTGGAGTAAATGAACGTTAATTATTCTATTACGTCCAATGTAAACAAAAATAAACATTAGTAGATTGAAAAAATCAAGTAAGAGGTCTGTGGCCCTAATGTCGATTAAATTAAATTCTGTAGGCCGTGCACCGAGTGGAAATAATTTATGAATTTGCGTAAGAAATATATTTCAGTAATATAAATAATGCGGCGATCTCGTTTGAGTGTTAGGATTATGGCGGCGCTTGAGTTTATTTGTTCAAAAAGGAGCACATGCGATATTAGTCATGTCGGTGTCGATCGGGTTGTAATTACCAGGAACAGCTGCAGCAACAGCACCAGCAAAGGCAACAGGGCTTGGGACGCAGTGGGGCGCCTTGGCCAGGCTGAGGGCCGTTTTGGGGGCCTGACTGAGACCCCGCCGAGGTCGGGGGACCTCCTCTGGAGTTTGGAGGCGTAGCGAGACTAGCACTGCTAGATCCTCGAAGTCTGCAACCTGCCCCAGCTGTAGCTCCTGGACCGGTCGCTGGCCCACCCCCAGGCCCCGCTCTGTTTTCCGTCACCCGCTCAGTTACGCTACAAGACATCTGCAAACAAATCCAAGCTTGATTACTCTTGATTAAACAACATTCCGATCATTTACATTCAGCTAATTTTAGTCCATTCAGTGAAAATCGCTTGCCTGTCTTACATTTTATAGGTTTATAATACAGTTTTATTATTCGGCACTGCTGCTGTAAAAATAACGATATAATCTGTACAGTCACGCTCGCAAACTTCACGTCAGGAATATTAAAAATGGCTGATCTCAGATCTATACTAAAAATTTTATTTCGCGAATTCGCGCAATATTGTTCCAAAAATTGCAAGTCTCCCCCGAAAATATTTCAATTTTGCCCATGGAATTGTTAACTGATAAAGACTAAAACATTGATAATTACTAATAACATTTTCATGTATTACAACTTTGCATCACATACAATATTATCTTCCAATTGACGTTTTGTGTAGTCAATTTGGCATTGTACTGTCTAACATTGTTCCTATATTATACAATACAATGAAACTGTAGAATCACTCCCATTGTTGGAAATAAGCGCTGATAAATCCAAACATCTTATCACAGGATTAGGTCCAGCTTTACTGTCATTCTACGATTTCATGAACAAAACAGTTTATTTGCAACAAAAAAAACATAGTCTAAAGCACGATTCATTTTTTTATATACCTACAAATTTAGTCACGACAACGTTGATGTAGAAACGTGAAATACTCTAATTGCTTATTGATTAGTACTTCACTTTACTTAAACAACACTTAGGAATTTCACTCGTTTGTATATGAAATTTTCGGTTCAATAATGACGGTGATAATAATGGTAATAAAATGAGAAAAAAAATAAACAAAAATAATAAGTTTATTGAAATTTGTCTCTATGTAATGATTTTTTTTTGTTTTTTTTTTGTATAGGTATATATTTATTTACGATATATTTGTCTAGGGTAAATTAGTTCTAGCCAGATGTTCGAGTTCAAGTTCAAGAAACAATTAATTTTAGTTTGGAATAATAGTTTCTAAAGTTTGAATAAACTGATTCAGTTGTCGCCTTTGTCCTATATTATTTACTTAACACCAAACTTTGTATAATTTAAAAATGAAATATGTAACTAACTTAATGAAAATTTAAAGGAACAAATGAAAAAGTAATGTAAAATTCTATCTAACTAAAAGGCAAATAAAAATTCATGTTGTCTTTTAGTATGTTATTCGGAATTATGAAGCCATATTTGAGCTCTAAAAAAAGCTTTTAATGATGACATGATTCTATTGCTATTAAACTGGTCAAATAAAAGCACTGCAAACCTGTATTTACAGAATTTAACAGATTTTAATAATTTCCATATTCAAATACATAGTAATGTTGTAACATTCCAGTCCAGTTAAGCGATTTCAATATGAGAAAATTCATTAAAAAATTTCTATAATGTTGTATGTTTTTTCTGCCATCTTACGACTGCCCTTCTGCAATGTAGAGATTTTTTGTACCGCAATGAATTTCCTTTTGTCTGTGGTTGTTTAATTCAGAACCGTTTGCGTATTTTGTTTATATCACGCGAGAGTTAGTGACGATGTTGAAATAATCAGTTGGGAGTAACTATAATAACTTCTAGGCAAGAGGTATCGAAAAGTTTGATTTGGGGAGTGGAAAAGATCCGATCCCCGGAAGTGGGTCATAGGAGTGATAGGTCGATATTCCGGTGGTGGTGGGTCGGGCCTCGATCGCGATCTCGATCTCGATCTCGGCCTCGGTCTCAGCTTCAGCCTCAGCCTGATCGTCGGCGGCCGGACGTGGTGGAGTCGTCATCGCGGCGTTGGGGGCGTCGAAGGCCGGGCCGAGAAGTCGGTGGCGGCGTCGCCGCCGCACTTGTTGCGGTCGCGCTCCCGGGCCGGGCTGCGTGTATTGATCGCGGGAGGGGTGGAAGCGTGGGGCTGACGTCAGCGCCTACCTTTATCAATGGCCATGAAGGTAGCTGTCGGCACACGTGCCCGCTGCAGCCGAGCCTTGGGCCATGCCCGGAGGTCCTAAAGGGCGCGGGCCATCGGCCACGGGCTGGGGCCCTTGATGCGGGTTGCTCACTGCCGCACTCGGACACTGACACTCCGCCGCAGTCGCTCGTTAGCCCGGTTGTCACACCTCACACCCATCTCGGAACGCTGGACGACGCGGTTATTGACGCTGGACGTCGAAGCGATGGCCGCGAGTACGGGAGAGATCGCGAGTACGGTCCCTACGTGGACTGATAGGTTGCGCTCGGACGTCCCGAAGCGGCGTCGTGCGCCGATCCCACATGGCGCATGCCGATGCCGACGGCGTCGGACACCGCCACCGCCACCGCCACCGCCACCGCCACCGCCAACGCCGCCAATACACCACGTCGAACGACGCTACGATGCTACGACGCTACACCTACTTTCACTCGACGCGAAAACGCGATACGCAATAGACATCTAACTCACAACTTAAGCACATCACGCACTTTTACTCGCCTATCAAAACAATACACCACTCTAATTAAACAAATTTTTCGTTTTAATTCGAACTCGTTCCCGTTGCTGCTCAAAATATGTTCAAAATCTCTCATGAAATACAAACAAATTTTCGGAATATTTTTATTTTATTAATATATTTTTTGTAAATTTCTAATACTCTACTACGTCTAAAACTTCCTTCTTCAATCTTTAAATTTACTAATAGCATTAAAACCGAAATGGCTTATTTAAAATTAAATTTATTTTGGCTCCGTATGTATACTCCAAGTGATGGAAAATGTTAATGTGTTAATTTAATAAGTGCGATACAAAAGTACAACATGTTAAATGTCGTTTTTACGTTAGACAATAATGAAAGTGACACTAACTACATGTTAAATGTTTCTTATTGGCTTTTATATCACACTATTGTTCTATCAAATTTCACTTGTTTTCGATAACAATTCGTACTTAAGATTCAAATTCTAACAGTTGAGAGAATTTACATCAATTAGCAAAACTTCATTAAAAAGAAAAACAGAAATCATGAATATATGAGTGTACATTGGGGAATATATGAACGTACACTGATTGCTCACAAGATGAAAGTTTTATTAATATGTAGTATCTAACAAACTGAGGAAAATTGAAAACTTATGATTTTATCATATCAAAGAGTCTGATTGGATTCTACAAAACAAATGATAGAGAGCAACCGAAATCCAGCCCTTAATTTGCATTTTACAAAGGAATTAATTCGTGTTATGGAGAGTATTGTGATTATTCACATATTGAATCTAAATTTACAAATGCAAATGATTTGTTATTTGTGCAATTAATGATTTTAAATAAAGAGAACACCTGTAGAATCGTATTCATCATTGATTTAGTCATAGTAGCTTAAGCATCGATTTTACTAATGAATGAACCAAAAGGGAATAATTGTATTAATTGATTAACTGATGCTTCCACTCAAATGGACATACAAAATACTGACATATAATCGATAACATAATTCGCTAAACGGAAATTTCTTGACAATTTTTTAGAGAGAATATGATAAAATGGGTCAAACAAAGTAGAACATTAGGAATATTATGATTAGGACGTAGGTTGTCCGACTGTAGCAGTCTCACACCGGGGTTGCTGCTCTCATCGTCATCAATCATTATTACTTATGCCCAAATAAAATGGAGCATGTTTTAGAGAATGGATAATTTGGTTCAAACATTTTTGACGTGTGTTTATTTGGAACAAGGATAACTAATTGATTGATTCCCCCGAGCGAAATCAATGTAATTGGGTTAATTTTATCTCAGTTAACAGTTGATCCATTGTAAATTGTCAAATCGTACAAGTTGCAGATATGTGCATGTCGAACAAGTAAAATCGTACTGTAAACTTTGTCTTTAGCACTAACAAACTCTTTGGTCTGTAAATTCCTGCACCTGATCAAACAAATTAGAAAGAGGCAAGGATGGAGTTGGTTGGTATAAGGCGATGATGCAGCAGTCTGATTGGCGACAATACCCACATCGACAGCGGTTTTGGCCTACGACCCACATGCACCACGTCGTGGATCGATATTGATATTTGCGATTGCGCTGTTTTGTTGACACTCTGATGTTCCTTAAAGAACTTATGCCACTAATGACAGACTCGTTTAATTTGAAGCGACGTTAAATTATAGGACTACTTCTTTTGATCAGATCTACCTATTTGGAATTCTCAACTAGCAATTTTTTGGTTTATGTATGAGCTCTCATTAGTCATTAGTCATTACTCATTACAAAGGGAATATCCTATTAGATGATAAAATGCTAAATTGGGAAAATTTTGCGATTAAAGACTAAAAGATTAATGAGGTACTTTGTTATACGAAGCAGATTTATTGACACATTAGGTGTGCAACTAATTCGATAAAGTTCTCATTAATATTGTCCGGGAGTCCTTTATTTAACATTCAATATATTAAACTAATTACCCTAATTAAGTTCTACAAAGATGATCCATGTCGGCTTGGAATTACATAAAATTTTCCGTAGTCTGCAACTCCATAGGATGAAGTGAAACAAAATGCTAAAAAAGTGATTTAGTTTGACCAAATAGTATCTTGGCTACAATAGATTATTGCTTTATTATCGTCAATTAACTCCTGTTGGGAAAAGGCAAACCGGTTTAGGACCCTTTTGAGAAGCGTACAAAATTGTATTTGCTCAATTGAGTGTATTTAAATTTATTGAAAGAAAATTGTTGACAGATGAGAGGTAGAAATGAATGAGAATGTTTTGATTTTGATCGATTGTTTTGTGTGATTGCACTTTGTATGATGATCCGCGTCAGGTTTGTTGTCCATATCAGGTGTAGACGTAATATAAAAAGGTGAGTTTGTAGAAAATAAATGTTCGTCGAGTTCCGGCACATCGGTGTTCTTTTGAGTCCGTTCAGCCTTCGGTGAGCTCACCCTCCCGTAATTCTGGTTGCTTGGCAACCCCTGCCAGCCACCCCTTAAACTTCCCCGCGAGAGACGAACCCCCTCGCGCAATAGTTTTTATATGATAGCTCCGATAGCTTTCTTCTAGTGGATGGTGAAGCTTGCGCCCTCATCCCTACGAGGCCCTTAATTCTCGGATGCATCGTTCGGCTTCGGAGTATTAGAGAATGTAGGAGTCGGGGGCGTCGGAATTCGTTCGTCCCCATGTCCCTCGCGCTAACAGCCTTGTGCGTATAGTAGGGTGAGATCTGGAACGGCCGCGAAAGGTGGTTGTGGGCCGGGCGGGGTGATCGGGGTCGGGAAACGGGGAGCGATAGTGGGGTGGCATGGGGGGGGGTAGGGCCGGGGGCGGAGGGCCCCGGGCAGCGGGTGCCGCAGTGTTGGGTGGGTCAGATATCGCAGAAGCAGACGTCCCATGCGTTCGTTACGCTCTCCATAGTCCGTACTATAGTACTAGTGGTTCGTGACATGCAGTGATCGGTGCATTCGACAGGAGAAGCTGTCATGCTGCCCTTTGCCGACACACAAGTGGTAAGATTTCTACCCTCTGAAGGCCACCGTGCTCTGCATACAAGCGGTTTGCACGGATGCAACTTACAACTTACCACCCTGCGCGATTTCCGCTCAATTCGCTAAGACCCGCGCCCCGCGAACTTGCCCACTGCTTGCGCACATTCGGTTCAATTTTTTCCTAATTTTTACACATTTTCATGTTCACGTCATGATATACAGACCCACCCCACACCCTCGTCCACACGACGACACGAAAAATCAGTCGCTCTGTCACACCGTTTGGATATTTTTGTGATCCATTACCAACGCAACTCGCGCATCCGATCAAATCACACATTATTCAATAACCCCATAAAACATGAAACTATACCAAATTTTGATATCCGGCCCAGCCTCGACCGCAGACAACCACAAATTATGCCCATTCTACAAGCAATAAAAAGATACATACGAAATATTACATGTAAAAATTAATTTCCGCTCCAATAATAAACCTTAATTGGTTTCGCAGGAAAAAAATAGGCCTCATCAGTGAGGCTCTTTCGCTACTATGGAGGTGGCAATGCCCATGTCGGGTACTGCCATCGATTGCTATGAAGACATGTTCAAGGAAATAACCAGGAAGCTTTACGGCGAGGACGGCTTGCCTGAATTAACTGGAACCGAACGACTCCCCACAAACCAGGATCGTGGCTTAACTCCGATTGATTATGACGTAGACAATCCAATTTTAAAGCCGGAAGAACATTTAACTGCATTTGGCTTAGCTGCGTTAATGCAAAATGGTTTCCCCGCAACAGGAATACTCAATTCGACTTTTCAACAACACAAATCAACAACAACAACAACAACCGTTGAAGATAAGTGGACCGCCAATGAAGACGCTCTCCAATGGACACAATCGAAAATTGCCACTTACAATCCATCACAGAAATTGTTTCGATGCGCGGAATGTGATTGTGTCGGATATCTCCCAAGAGTTGCTGAACATTGGTTAGGGACTCATTCAAATTTAAGAGCTTTTCAATGTCCACAATGTCCATATGAAAGTGCGTGGGCAAGGTGTGTACGAATGCATTTGAGTCGACAACATAATATCAACACCGACGAAACGTCAGACACTTTGGCCAAAAATAATCCAATTTTGCAAGAAATCACAAAATACCTTCAAAGGCTCAAAAATAAATTAGAAAACAATTGTTCGAAACCACATATAAATAATTCTCAAATATTAGACGATTTTCAATCCTCTTCGAGTTCTACAAATAATCATCTCAACAATCAAGTGGTTTCTACAAATTCCGAAGCAACCAGTAGTTCGACCAAAAGATATACCTGTACCTATTGCCCCTACGCTACCGATCGCAGAGATTTATTTACGAGGCATGAAAATATTCATCGCGAAGAGAAACCGTTCCAATGTTACGTCTGTCAGAAACAATTCAATAGAGCGGATCATGTTAAAAAGCACTTCCTTCGAATGCATAGGGAGCACCCTTATGATTTGAACAGGATACGCCGACATCCTCCGAAAAACGCTTCAGGAATGTCGTATTATCAAAAATACAATGCAAATTCTACAAATCAATCACCGGATTCAATATCTTCGCTGGCAAATATTAATTCTCTTTCCATTCCAAACGGATTTAATAACATATCGCGTAATGCTAATAATATCAGACCAGGTAATAGTACAGATATGAAGAACGGAATTACAAATATTAAATCTGGGAATATTTCTAAAGGTAATGGAAAAAAGAAAGGCGAAAAACGCTTCACTTGTTGTTATTGCTCTTGGTCGGGGGTAGATAACTGGTGCTTAAAGCGTCACATGAACACTCATTTAAAACCATTTGTGTGTGGTCTATGTGATTACAAAGCAGCGAGATCAGAAAGATTAGCAACCCATGTACTAAAAGTACACAATAAAAGAGCTTGCGGCAAATGTAGTTTTTTGGCTGACGATCCCGCCCAATTGACAGTACATCAACAAGAGCATCAGTAAGTACGATATATTAAATACAACACGCAATAAATGTGTTATTTTTAGTCCTTTGGAACAGAGAAACCGATCTGGAACTAATATTTTGAGAAATACTTCCTTCAATAATAGCACGGCAACATCATCATCTTCGTGCAGGTGAGTACTTATAATTAGCTCGAATCGTGTTTAATTGTGTTTGATTCTAGTCAAAGCCAAACAGGTTTGAAGCCTCATGAGTTGAGTGCCGCTGCAGCTTTGCTTCAACACAGTAATCGATTACTTCAAAACGACAACAAATGGAAGAATCACACTCCAAAACAACACGGAGCTGCTCGTCTTTTCAACTACATGGAAGCCAGCGATGGATCAGAGCCAGAATCGGAATCTCGAGGAGCTGAAGATATGAGTCGGTTGAACTTGAATCATCGAATTCAGTCGGATTTTCTTGAGGCGGGAGATGTTGGTAGCCAGGTCGACGAAGAAGAGGGTGAAGAGATGGAACTCCCTTTGTTCGTCTGCCCCACGTGCGGCTGCGAGTTCGAGGACGACATGTCACTTGAAACCCATCAATACACGCACCGTCACAGCACTACATCTCCCGCAAAATCCGACAACTCCAAAGAGAATGTCAACCCTAATTTAAAGTATCGATGTTGTTTGTGCGATTTTGCCTTTGAGAATCAATCTTCTGTTATGGCGCACATGGTATCTCATTCGAGCCTAACGACTGGGGCGCAAGCGAAGTCGACTTTGACGAAGCGTTCTCGGAAACAAAGTCGACCGAAAAAAATGGTGTTGCCGTTTTGGGATTTGAATGAAATCGAAGTGTTGCGGCACCTCAATGGGAACTTAAACAGCGAGATGCAACAGGCCTCAAGTTCAACCACGATGGAGGTGTCCAAGAAGTACATGGCCAAAATTGTCGCTCGCAAAGGACTGTATTGCGTTCTCTGCAAAAGCTCCAACGTGAACAGATATCACACTAAGGCGAGCTTAGCATTGCATCACTACTGGAAACACTTAAACAAGAGGTTCAAGTGTGAACATTGCGACCTACATTTCCGACATCGGTATCAGTGTGTGCTACATGCCAGTCGTGAGCATATAAATAAACCACCGATTCTTAAGTCTCAAACAGTGCCTATTAAAGAACCAATTCATTCCACAGTACCTGCTTCCCAGGACGCCCATCATTTCTTCACAAATTCTCAAACTGTTACTGTACCTGACTCATCATCTAATGCGCATAAGATAGGGATGTCGTTTTTTGACCATTCATTCATACACCCTACCAACGCCATTAACAGTCATATGCCAATCATCATACCTACTTTTCCACCAAATTAAACTAACCTTCTGCGTTACTTTTTACTATCGACAACTTGGCTAGGTACTATAAAAGTGACCTTCAAAAATTTTCTTTACGTGCTTGTATCGTAAGTATTTTCGGAACAAACTTAAATGCAATCATATTTTTTATTAGTCTAAATTTTCGTGCAATATCTGTTATTTGGTGATGTTTATTATTATACTTATTTACTTTAAATATTATAAAACAAAAGACTGCAATATTTTGTTTCTTTGTACTATATGTTTAGAAAACCTATATGTTTGTAAGTATGTTATTGTTTATTCTTATTACTTTTGTTAACATGTACTATTTATTATTCATGTCATGTAATGTGTTTTTTTGTATTATTAATAAAATTGTAAACCAGCAACTCGTGTTTTATGCAATGACCCCCACCGTGTAATCAATCATACACGCAACCAGTAAAACACACAAAGTTCTCTCAACAAAGCTGTTTATTTATTCAAAATCTTGTGGAAAAACAACCCCAACTTCTTTCCTCATTAAATCCATCAGCTGGGCAAGTTCAATTGATTCAAGGTGAGACATATGAGCACTTTCTATTTTACCTAAAATGCAAGCCAAAAGTAACACTAAGAAACAAGACATTGTTCATTCCAACCTGCTTTTATACATTGACGAGCTTCTTCAGCTTCAAAAGCCAACCCAGCACTATTCTTATGAAAGAAAGCAACTGGTGATTTAGGCAACTCGTACTGGTAAGTTTTCTCGGGCGTAATAAGTTGAGTGGGACACCAAAAATCGGGCATTCTGATTGTACCTTTGGTACCAACAACAATTCCTTCATTTGGTAAAGATATCCTTGCTGAAGTGCTAACAACTGCCATCTTGCCATCAGGATAGGTGATAATAACACCGGCACTTTCGTCGGTTTTTTTGTCATTCAAATGACCATTGACGGCAATTTTGATTGGACGCAATCCACGGAAAACATATTGTTGGAATTGCAATATGTAGACGCCCAAATCTAAGATGGCACCACCTCCCATTTCTATAGCTCTTTTTTAATAATAAGAATATGCATTTTTTTTAGTAAGGGTCTTACTTGAGTCTCTCAACATGTTGTAAAGCGTGTCCAAAATGAACTGAAGCAAAAAGAACTTCACCAATAGCTCCAGAATCAATCAATCTCTTCATTTCCTTGTAAGCTGGAAAACAGCGAGACCATATTGCTTCCATTAAAAACAAATTCTTTTGATGTGCGAGTTCCACAAGTTTCCGAGTTTGTTTTTCATTCATAGTAAAAGGTTTTTCACATAAAACATGCTTTCCATGCTCTAACATTAATTTTGAAACTTCAAAATGTTGGGGATTTAAATTTCCAACATATACGATATCTTGAAAAATCAAAAATAAATATTTTCGATGAATGGAGAAAAAAATGGCTTACTTACCTACTTCTTTGTCTTTTGCAATCCCTTCATAGCCTTCGTAGGCTTTTGGAATTTTGTGATCTTTGGCAAATTTTTGGGCATTATTTAATGATCTAGCACCAACTGCTACAATTTTATGGTCGGTTTCTGGGTATGTTTGAACTGCTGTCACAAAATCGTGACAGATTCTGCCTGCTGAAACTATACCCCATTTCAATGCCATGTTTGGTATTACTACTACCTACTGATGGAAAGTTAACGCTATTTTATAATAAAAGTTATCATTATCATAAAAGTTATGATTTAGGTTAAAGGTTATGCACTTAAAAACAAATTTGATTTATCAGTTTATTGATATTTTATTGTACAAAAATATTAGTAAGTATATACACTCACCGGCAAAATTGTCGCATCAATTTTGAATTAAATTTTTTTATTGAAATAACGCTTAAAAAAATAAATGCATCAAAAATTAATTAATTAGCTAATTAACGTTAAGTTAAACTAAAATTACTACTTAAACTTCTACAATTAAACTACAATTTAATGAACGTCAAAAGAAATAAAACAGCGAATTCCGTGCGGATCAGTTTTTTAGCTTAGATAAGCTTTTGTTACATTCGGAGACAATCATTAATACCTAGTATTGCCTCCTCAAGCCTGGAAAGAAGCTCAGTTTTTAATTGTTGTCTCTCGAAAATTAGCAGTGATTTTGATAATTTAACATTTATTCAGTAAACAATGAATCTACACCAATTGTTTTTGAAAAATCCATAGTCGACTGAGTTACTTGATAATGCTACTATCCTACATCATCAATTTTTGTACTATTTCAGAACCATTTAGGCATTTTAAATCTTAAAATTTAAGTGATGCGATAATTATGCCGGTCGATCAGTGTATCTCGTTATTTATCCTCTGGGAAAACAACCCCAACTAACTGTCTTAATGTATCCATGTGATGAGCCAACTGGATTGATTCCGCATGAGTCAAAAGAGGACTTTCGGTTTTACCTAGAAAATAGAAATGTATAAAATGTAAAAAACATTTCGTATGTTTTATCTCACCGGCTTTGATACATTCTCTAACGTGTTGGCTCTCATATGACAAACCGACGCTTTTGTGGAAATTGAAATGAATATCCGTTTTTGGCAAATCAAATTTGTGCGTTCTTTCGGGAGTGATAAATTCAGTGCAGCACCAAAAATCTGGAACTCTTATTATTCCTTTAGTTCCAATTATTACTGCTTCGTTAGGATATTGCGCTTTTGCTGACGTTGTCAAATTTGCCACTTTATCACCGGGATATGTCCAGATAGAACTTGTATAGTCATCGGTTCCTTCACTGTTCAGACCACCAACAGCTAGAACTTTCGTCGGAGTAGCTCCTTTGAAAACCAGCTGTTGAAACTGCAAAACATAAACTCCCAAATCAAGTATCGTTCCACCACCTAGTTCTTTTAACCTAGAAGTGATTTATGTTTCCTTAACTCACTTAAACCACAAAAATATTTACCTCATTCTCTCAACATTTAGTAAATTGAATCCAAAAGAAGCATTCACTTGAAGTACATCCCCAATAATGCCAGAATCCAAAACCTTTTTTAACTCCTGATATGCAGGAAAGCATCTACTCCAAATAGCTTCCATCAAAAACAAATTATTTTTTTTGGCAATATCCACCAACTCGCGTGTTTGTTTTTCATTCATTGTGAGCGGTTTCTCGCACAGGACATGTTTACCATGTTCTAGCATCATTTTAGCCACTTCAAAATGTTGAGGATTTAGAGTTCCAATATATGCAATGTCTACAACACAATAATGAAATAGAATAAACCAAGAATTTTCCTTACCAATATCTTTGTCTTCAGCAATTTTAATATAACCTTCATAAGATTTAGGAATTCCATGGCTTTTGGCAAAATTTTCGGCACTTGACAATGCCCGAGCCGCAACGGCTACAACTTGGTGCTCAGACTTTGGATGAGTTTGAAGAGCAGTGACAAAATCATGGCAAATTTTGCCTGCACTTACAATGCCCCAACGTAAAGCCATTATAAATGTTTCAAAAGACTGTATTTTTTTTTAGTTTATTTAAACGTTTAATGTTGCTTGTTAATGTGGATTTTTTTCTATTTTTCAAAATCAGATTTATCAAATACTTTTTATGTAACTTAGACACACATGTGACATTCACATGTAATATCACAGATGTAATATTATGTTCTAAATGTCAATAATGTCATACAACACTAATCAGTAATGCAGTGTTGCCAAAATTGTTGAAATGAAGCAAGAGGAATAAAGTTCATAGTTTATCACGCCCACGCCTTATATGCAGGCAACCAGCGCAGTTTCCGCGTTTCGGGTTGGTAGAAAATAAATCAATAATGTTGGCATAAATAATAATAAAATATTTATTGGTTAATAATGTACAGATCAAAACATAATTCTCAATATACTGTGTATACCTTAATTTTACCTACATCACTGTATATCATATGATCCTTCGTAATAAAAAAATGCAATTAAATCGAATAAATTGTACAAAAACAATTTTTGAACTGAATTTCTAATTTTGCAATAAGTATCAGGCCACTACCTACTTTATATAGACAATTATTTGCAACAATGATTCGCAACTGGTAACTAAATCTATTTATAGTGTCCTAAAAGATTACGAAAATATCAGTATGGCAACCATAATGCGTTGCGCCGATTTTATCGAATAAATCTACAAGTTCGTGAACATACACATTGATATCAACAAACAAGAACTAAGTCCCTGCTTGAAAATTATTGCATAGGTGATATTTGTAAGGACAGGTAGATACGTATTTTCCAATTTTTGGAAGCAATAAAGCGCTATACAAGTAAACTATGATGGTAAAGTGCTCTTTTGGCACAGACATTGATATTATATAACGTTTCCTATGACCAAGCGCGAAGGTACTTATCCTTGAGCACGTTGTCTACAAAATCATCAAGGCATAATTAATTTCGATCTCCAACAAATGAATCAGGCTAAGGATTAATACACTGTCAACATTGCCAAACTGGTGGTCAAAATTTATATATTTCACATTAAATTCCTAAATTCTATCCGATCGATCGGCTACTGACTGATTTAAAATATATCAGGATTATCGGTGTATTCCCTCTTCCAGTAATTCCCATTGTAGATCCAATCCTCCTGCTTGGTGTATGGATTAATCCCCGAGTTAAACCACCTGGAACGAAGCAATAATCCACAACAATAACTCATTTTCAGCACATTACCTGGGACTCCACTCTGTCCCTTTCTTGCTTTTGCGGTGTTTATTCGCATCTCTTTGTTTCTCCTCGAGACGGGTTTTTTCAATAGCGGCTCCATCAATATCGCCCTGCTCCAACTTTCGTATGTCCGGTCGAAGACGTGAGTCGGTTGGACATAAACTTGTCTCCATTCCAGGTTCCAGTTCATTTAAGGACATGGCGAATTCAGTAAACTGGTAATACTGAAAAAAAAAAAGTAAAAAAATGAATCATTTAACTACTTGTGCTTACGTCACTGCTTTGCATTGGCCGAGGTTTAACTTTCCAGATTGTTATCGAATTGGAGATATCAATAGAGTAGGTAGAATCGCTTTTTGGAACCATGCCATCCGGAATGTCAGGAGGAGCACATTCATCCATACTCTGGAAAGGTTGTCAAAAATATGTATCGATCGATCGAGTAACTTACCTCTTGACTTGTGTTTGACTTGAAAGGACTAACTTTCAAGCTATTCAATTTTTGCAAAACTTTCCTGGAAGTGTGAGATGGAGAATCGCTTGGACTCTTACTCTTGTCGCCATCGCGCTTAAATTTGTGCGAATTTTCTTTCAAGTAATCCTCGTAGGATGTATAGTCTGTGCATTTAATAAACTCGGTCCATTTTCCGTAAATGAAAAATAGTTTACGCTTCGATTTATCCATAATGTAGCCTTCCACTCGATGCAAATCCTTGGAATTCCATCCTGCGGGTTTGAATGTCAAGTGGGCCTTATGTCCAGTCGAGTGATTAATGATTTCCATCGTCCCACATTGTTCCATCCATAGTTTTCCAACAATAATATTGTGAACACAACACTGAACATTGCTCCAAGTGTAGGCCTCATTTAGTCTAAAATTCTGGCTTACTAACTGACTACAAAAATAAATAATATTACTTAGGAAACTCAACAGTGACTGTGCCTTTTGGTTGAATTTCGACACTCTTTCCCCAAAATTTTAATTTTGGGTGGATTGAACCGTGAAATACCCAATCTTTGCTTTCAGCGTGAAAAGCTGAGACTGGTGGATGATGACTGACTTGTTCACAAATTATTTTAAATTCTTCTCTTTCTAACTCGTAAGTTTCTCCCAATAGAGGATTAAATGGTTTACCAAGACGTTCCCAGTTAGATGCTAACGCAAGTACCTAATAGTCAAATTGTTGTTTCCAGCGCACTTGGGATTGGGAATTTTTCTGGCAGACGAATTAACTATTTATTCAGACATTAGCTACCAGAAGAAACTCCCAATTCCAACTGCGGTAGAAACAATAATTTGACAATCACTTACCTAGAGCACTGACGGCAAAACCTGTCAATTTTTTTGTTTACTATCTGATAATAATCGAAAATTATACTACCTATGACATATTGCATTCGAGTTATGGGATCTTGTTGTTGCGAAGCCAAACGAAGCAGATGTGAATATTCCATATATTCAGCCATCCTTTGCAGGAAGCTTAATGGTTCATTAAATACCACTGGCATTGTGATTTTGCTTAATTCTTTTCCAATACAGTTTTTTAATACTGACCAAATGTTGTAATCATTGTGATACATCGGCACTGGCAAAACGAGCCTTCAAGATTCGAATGTCATTTTTGTTTTATTTTTTTATTTTTTTTTTACCTATATTCCTTCTTTTCAGTTTCCATTCTGCTCTAATCGAGTCAATCCCCCCAAAAAAAATTAACAGTGAATCGCACATCCGATCAATTAAGGATAGTCCAAATTATCAAATAAGCAGCATCATATCCTTTGATTGATCAACAAAAATGCTCCTAAAAAACGTTCGAATTGGAGCTGAATTCCTAAATATTGCACAACCGAATTACCACATTTAACAACAAACGAGCCAAATATGAATTTATTTAATGACAGGTGATGTTAAACCGAGCGATGGTCGATATGAAACAATGGACCTATGCGTTAAAAACAAAAGAAAAACCACAAGCAGTATCGATTCAAAATTAACTCTAAATGACTGACTAAATAACACCTACCTGGACACCAGTCAAACGCATTCACATTTCTAAAATTTTTCAACTTTGGTTCGAATCGATTAGCACACCCTGCGTCCCCAGAAACCTACAACCTTCTCTGTTTGCCACCAATCGCCCCCGAAACACACTTCAAAAGCGCATGCACCGATTCGTCTAACAGAATTAGGCCCCAACAAGTGTTATATTATGTTAAATCTACACCCTGTTTACCTCTAAACCTCGCACTCAAGATCACACTCAACTACTAAATTATCACAATCAAACAATGGTCAAAAAAATGGTGGATGCGCCGCTTCACCGAATAATTGGTGATTTTTGATTAAGAATCAGACTTTATTATATTTAGAGAAATCAATAAATATGTCAATTTCTCAAGTGAGAAATGTTACTTCCTAAAGAATGTAACAATATACGGAAAAATAATTCATAAAACATTTTTCAGGGAAAATTGTGCAATCGTAGCAATATTTACGCTTGTTATCAATTTTTTAAAGGTGATTGACTTCTAGCCTTATTTTTTGCTAAATCTGCGTATTGTGTAACAACATGTGTTGTTATTTTAGTAAGACCTTGAGAAAGCAACGAAAATAAGACGGATTTGGTTCATTTGTGCACCATACGTTTCTCAAGTTACAATAATAAAGTATTAAAATCCCATTAAAAATATTCTTTTGAACGTAGATTTTCACTGAACTGAAAACTCCACTCAGTTTATTCAAGATTTTACATTCCAACTACAGCAACTAAATAAATAAACATCCCTTTTTCCTCGCTTGAGTAATTAGCCTTGCCTTCACAGTAACAAAAATTTAAAATAAAAACAAAAAATCCAAAATTGAGTAGATAGGTATTTTTTCCTTTTTGAGTTGTAGTGAAAAGGCCTATCCACTTAAATTTTACTCTGTTTATTTGATTTAAAGGTGGATTAAATTAAGTTGATTTGAAAAGCTTTCGGCTGTGAGGATGACTTGAGAAACAGCAAACAAAGGATGTTTTTCTTAGTCCTTTGACATCATTCTTGAGTGTTTGTGGGTCATCAAAGTGTTAAAAATAGCACTACATATAAAATCCGCCATCCATTTTTTCTTCGGTGATAAATTGCATTAATCTCGTTGCTTGTAAAAAACGAAAGGACAGAAGACGAATGGTTGATGAGGGGTAAGTAGGTCACGACATAGGAGAAATACCTACGCACATGTCAAGGGTTGAGATATATTAAAGAAGGTAAGAAAAATTGAATTGAAAAATTTCATTAAAACGATTTGTGGGTGAGACAGCAATTAATAATAAAAGTGATTTGTATGCGATTAGTGATTAGTGGGAAGTGTCTGGCTTTCAAAATAACGATGTCTTTATTAGTGCATGCAAATTGAATTTGATCTAAAGGCGCCGTCCGTATTAAATCTTGGATGTCTTCAGCGTGACGTAGAAAATAATTAAGTAACTTTGCTCTTGTTTACAAAAATTTTGATTGCTTTCACAGATACTAATTACAAATAGTTTCGGGATACGTCAATTATTATAAATAGACTTCAACAATATATCTTCAAAAATTGGTTCAAATATTTCCACTTACCCACCTTTCAAATTACATCTGATATCTCTGAGCTATAAATATTTCAAAAGGTTTTTCTTAAAATAAATTCTAATAAATTCTATTAAAGAAGTCAGTTTAGTCGGCGAACGCTGTTAGCCGCAATAATTGACACTTCCTGATTCTCTCACATTTTAACACATTGTATGACTGAACTTTAATCAATTTGGACCTTTCCGACAAAGATTAGCTAAATAGGAAACACAAAGGTTATCAAAATCTAATTAATCTTCATTTCCAAATAATCAAACTTATTTAGCTATTTTTAAATTTGAACGACTTAAAGTACAAACCTAAATTGTAATTAAATAGAGATTTAAAAAACAAAACTGGAAATTCCCAAAGAAGCGTCGTGTTTTTCTAAGTGGCCAGAAATAGAAATTTGAACAAATTTCTTGACTTGGCCCGAGCTAAGCGACAGTTATTGCACTTTTGTCCCCGTTTTATTTTCTCTTGTTTGGTGCGGAGTAGCACAATATGACCCGAAGTAAACCTTTTAAAAACAAATGAAACATATAGGTGAGGTGGGTCATGTCGAGGAAGAATAAACGAGTCAAAGGTCACTTTGCCCACATTCTTCGCCGTGGCCTAATGGGGGTTAACAGATTTACCGAATGAAAAAATTAAGATAAATTATTAGATGAAATAGAACTAACATTACGTGCTCTTGATCTATTGCCCTTGATGTTGCCAAATCTGGGCTCAGAGCAGATTGGGAACGCCCTAGGTCATGGAAACCTCCAGCGCCCCTATAAATCCCAATTAAAAATACAGCGTTATGCAACAAATTAGGGTCATTTATCAGAGTTATCTGAGAAATGCATTTCGTAGTCCCAATGTCAAGTTCAAGTTTGTAGCGCGATACCATCGAATGCTAGTTGAGTTCGCAAAAAACACGTGTTGAACTGGGACATAAATAAACATATTTTAAACTATTTTCCACCCACGGGAAGTATTAGTGAAAAATATTTGTACATTCGCGGAGGTCGTCGATCTGTTAATGCCTCGTCGAACCCCCACAAGGGATGACGCAGTGATTACTGAACGATAACAAACGAAATCAATGCGACTTAAGTCCTTGACTGGACTTAAGTTGCATCGCGCTTCAAATAAGCAGCACCAAGTTAAAAACCTAGCAGTGTTCGTGTTTTAGTGGCAAAGTGCGGGCCTGAAAAACTTGACTTGACTTAGTAAAATGAAGAATGAAGAATGTAAGCTCCCGATCCAAGAAGATCATCGCGCTTTTATTAAAAAACCAAATTCTGCTATACATGACAGAAGCAGCAAAATTTTTGTTATTGCTGCACTCATTCTACTTGCCGCAATGTCGTTAATGATTGCCATCACATTTATTTCCATTAATGGGATGCAAGAGTTGAAGGAAGAAGTTGATTCACTTAAGGCAACGATTAAGAGTCTCCAGGAGAAAATTGAGGAAGAGATCAATGTAAGTTTTTCATAATACTTAATCAGTTTGATTCATTTCTTGGAAGCTGATCTATCATTCGTTGATAAATTGATAAACAAGCAATGCTAATGTACAGATCATCAAAACAACATGGGAAAAAATCTTTCATCTCTGGTAGTCGCGATTATAAATAAATTATTACAAGAATTTGAGTTGCTGTATTTTGTCCTTGCATTCCAGTTGTGTGAACAATAACAGTGCACTAGGAAGATATCAACCCAATTGTTCTCCACAAAACAAACAGTTTTTTTTTGATAATGATGACTACTTTTCGGCATAATTTTCTTATACAGGAAGCTCGTGGTTAAACAGATTAAAGTTATAATGCGTTTGATAAAAATTTTAGAAGCTGACTGATGTTGGTTTTATTAGTCATTAAATTCTAAAGACTTTCCGACAAGTAATGTAATTTTTAATATAAACAAGTTAATTATTTCAAAAGCAAACTTATTTCTTAAGTGAAATCTTGAACAATTTCAGCATATTTTATTATCAACTAAATTAAAACATGTAAATATTTATATTGTATAATTACTCAATTAGTTAAATGTGTATTGTCATAACATAAGTAAATAGGTAGGCTTCCACGAAAAGGGTGATTTCAGTTTTGACTAATTTCTATTTACAGTAAAACCACACAATGAAAAAACAGAAAGCGATTTAAAACGAGTATTTTTAACAAAATTCACTTTGATTTTATTGAAGTCCATTTTAGAAAGAGTGGATACAAACATTCTTTTTATGTTGAAATTAATTGGAGTATTATATGCCTGTTTGAACATGTTTTTTAATCTTTTTTTAAAGCATTAATTGGATAAAAGTCTTTATAAACATCCGTTCAACTAATGTCAGAAACAGTAAATCATTGTAATTACACAAAATCCAAAGTTAAATACCAGTATTTGCTCGAATTCAATTGTTTCTTCAGAGATTTCCTTTTGTTGAAACTACTGACGCCGATTTTATGGGTATTTCGGGGCGCTACTAGCCTGACTATTTTAAATTTGATGATATGTCATTGAAATATAAAATAATAATTTTTCCTTTCACTTTTATTAGTTCATAACCTGGGCAAATAGTCCATTACGAGTACAAATTATAACGAACGAGTAAAGCAGGTACGGTAAAACAATAAAGTAGATTAAACTGAATGGGACCCACTCGGATTAAAAAAAAACGTATTATCCTATTAACCTAAAGAAATAACTGAAATCTTGAAATAAAATCATAATAATTTTTCATGTAATCGCAATACGCATGTACACATTCTAAGTACACCCATTGTTTTTTTTTTGAAAAAAAAAAACTAGTTTAAAGCGGTTTATCAAAGCTCGTATAACTGAATCTTCACTGTAACAACAATCAGATAATTTTGTAGTAGATGAGCGAAAAAATGAGCACGCGACGACAATTTGAAAAATCGGCGCTTGTGGCTGTAATTCCATTAAATGTTAATGTTTCATTCCGAAATACAGGATGAGAGGTTTTCTCTGTATTAAGCCAGCTTGGCCTGAAAATGAGAGATAGGGAGGTCCGCTATTGATGTGATTTTAAACTGTCCTGCGACATTGTTTCAATGGGTGCCACTTTCAACCAAATTATTTTTAGAAAGGTTACATAATGTACAATGTTATTGATTTATCGCCGGATCAAAAATAATCATCCTTTTATGGAAAATGACCGTCAAAACGCGGCCCATAAACCCACATTTATTTATTTTCAATAACAACTAAGCACTAACCTATTACAACAAGCACGAATGTAGTGACGTTGCCTTTTATCATCTCACCTGTAATTATAGTGAAATTCTCTCAGTTTCGTACAATTTGGTTTTCATTTTTAGCGCAACAATACTAAAACCAACTTTAACCTAAACGACGATTATCCGAATTGGGACGACACAGCAAACGAATATTACTTGGATTTTGACGGTGCCGATATATACGACGATACTTATTACGACCAATTGGAATCTGATAATATTTCAAAACTCACAGGAGAGCCATACACAAAAGATGCAAAAGAAGCCACGGCACCTCCAAGAGAAAAAAGGAGTATTACTGGATATACAGAAGACGAACCTACTGTCAATGCAGAACAATACGGTGAAGAACGACGAAGAAATAACACTTTGAAGAAAAACTACCCTCATTATTACACCACACCGCCAAGGTACATGTTTGGAACAGCCTCCAGAAAAAATATACTAACATATTAACCATTTAAAAATTTTCAGCTCCTTCAGATTCCCATTTTATCCAGAAACAAAAACACATTCTGAAGAGCAGGATTGGACATCATCTCCCAGACCTTTCAACTCCAGAAAGTCTCGCATTATGCAGTCTGAAGGTTCTCCAAGCACAAGGGTATGTTACTCCTCCACATTAGGAATTTAGGAGCACATTAACTTTTCAAATCTTCTTTTCTCCAATTTGACAATTGTACAAAAAAGTGGCTTTCACATAGACAAGCAAAAAACTTGTGAAAAATCAAAATTGTTTTATTGATTATATTTTATCAAGAAATCATTAAAAAATAGAAAGCTCAAAATGTTATTATTAGTTTTTTGTGTTTCACAACAAGTTTTGATATTATGATATTAGGAGAATCCTGACTTCGAATTTATAACCGCACATACCAGACATCGCCAACGACGTCTCGAACTGGACGAACATCAAGTAAGAACTGGCAGAATGCGTCCTTTGCCTAGCGCTCATTTTTCTGGAGATACGTCTAAGTACGTCTACGGTCAACACGAGAATTTCAACGGTAACGGCCACCTCCGTCATCCTCATACAACTTACGTTGATTGGGTCGAAAGTGATTGGTTCAGTAAACTCGGCATGGACCAGTACTTTTCTTTTTCCGACGGACTTTTGACCGTCAAAGAACCAGGATTATATTTCATCTATGCCCAAGTAGAGGTTTTTATTTGTCACCAACTTAAATAATATCCTACTTTCAGATTTTTTATTACGACATACACGACACGAATGGCTTTAGGGTGTACAGGAATGAAAATGAAACTCTTTTGCAGTGTACTACAATGACACATTCATCGGAAAGGGTAATGAAAGGCAATACCTGCTTTACCGCGGCGGCGAATTACTTGAATGAGAATGACAAGATTAGTCTGGTGGATTTATCCGAAGCGAGATATTCCTTATTTGAACCTGGAAAGTCATTTTTTGGAGTCATCAAACTTGGAGATGTTAAAATCAAATAAAAACCAAAGCTTTATGTAGGTTTTAATTTATTAGTATTGTCAGTTAGTTCTGATATTTCTGACCAAAGGTTGCAGTACAATAAGTACGTAAAATGTGTATCCTTAATGCTTGCCATATTTTATTGTAATGTATTAATGAATTTTGTATATATTTATGTATTAGATTTTTAAATAAAAAAAAAAAATTAACTGAATTCAAGCAAGCTTCTAGAACTAACAAAAAGTCAAGTGATAGAAAGATCCCAAACGTATAGTAAAGCTTCTCAAAAAGGGTAAACAGAATAAGAAAACCAACATATCTAGACTTAGATTAAGACAAATACTTTTCTTGATTGCAAAAGTGATTTTGAAAAGTAAACAAAAGCTTCATACGTGCATTTAACACATACTTATAACAACACATGCAATAACCATTTTTGTGTACGTTTAATGTCAAAAGTCAGCCGTAAACATTCATGTTTTTCAATTTTTTCCTTTTTGAGTCAAATATATTATCGACCCGATGCTCGAGACGCTATGCGTCTGCGTGTATATAAACAATCCAGCGTTTCGATTCTAAGGGTATTCGTGCTGTGGAAATTCGTTTATCATCATCAAATTTTGACAAAACCGGCTGTATGAAGCATTAAGGGTAAGTTGGTTGTCGTCAGCAATTTCCTGTGCTTCCTAGAACAAATAAATTTATTTTATTTGGCTTAATGTCAATGGGTGGTTTATATTTAGAAGATAATTAATCTTTTATTTGAATAAAAGTGAGCTTTGATTTTGATCAATTTGCTTAAGGCAACATCAAAAAATTCATTAGTAAATTATAAATGATGTATTTTATAAATAGCAAATCAAAGAAATTAAACTCAACAGGTTTCTTTCATCTTTAACTCATTTTAAATCAGCATTTATGATAGTAGAAAGTTGTGTAATTTTTGCTTTGCTTTAAGAATGGGGTTACACAAAATCTCTAGTGTTGGAAGGCTGTTACTGATAATAATTGGATTGACGTGGGCTCAAGAGGATTCTCTTCGGAGCGCATTAAATGCAATTGATCGACGCCAAAGAGATTTATCTGAATTTTCTAGATATGACGATGACAGTTTAGGAGAATATGGATATTCGTTAGATGGTCCTGATGACCTTGCATTTTTATCTCCATCTGAATATAACACAGGTGAAACTTTAAAAAAATATCCGAAAATTTTATCGAACTTAAATTGATTTTAGATCGTGACCTGGACAAGAATCCGGCATTCGAACAATTTTTATTAGATTATCTGGAAGACGGTTCTTATCTCGATTCAGGGCGTGCTAATCGTGATGATGATGTTAAAAAGAGAATTTCCTCCTCATTTAGAGAGCGCTTGGAGGAGGATAAAGAACGACAATTAGAGGAATTAGCACAAAGTTTTCTGCCAAATTCCGAAAATTACCAAGAAGGGAACGATGACGATTATAGTCAACTAATTAGAGAACTTTGGGAGAAATACCGAAACTATCCTAATTTATACAATCATCCAAGGGTTTACTACAACAATGAAAACAAAAAGAGGTCTTATTATCCCGGTCTTGGATTGGACAGCATTGGATTAAGAAAACGCAACAAATACTACGACTCAGACTTAAACGACTCTCCTTATTTATACAACTACAATTCAAGAGATGATTTCTATAACAAATATCAAGATGACGACGATAGAGACACCGATTCAAATTATTACGACTGGACTAAAAACAAACACCATAAAAGAGAACGGAAATACGAATCCAGACAGCGGTCGTATCCAATGAAACGCTTTCCCGTATCAAAGAGAAGCAGCAGCTATGAACCCCCGCAATCAGAAATCACCCACGAGCATAAACGTTCAACAACCAAAAAAGATTCAGTTGAAAAGACCGATCCAAAAGTAGCCAAAGACTTGAGTAACATTTTCGGAACCGTTACAACCGAAAAACCCGCAACCTTCAAACCCGAAAAATCCAAAACGGCCAAAAAAGAACTCGCTAAAGAAACAAAACCAAAAGTGACATCTTCGAAAAAAGCAAGCACGTCCAAAGAAGAGGTATCTGGAATAATAAGCGAGAAGCCTCTCCAAATCCAGAAAAAATCAATCAATTGGTCTGATTACTTCGGCTTAGACCGGCGCAAGAAATCCGATGACGAACTCGACAAACAGTGGCTGTTGGAACGCTACCATAAAGCAATCGCCTTGGCCAGTAAACGAAACGCCGAATACCCACTCCAGTCGTTCAAAAACCACGACCAACCGAGCAAGAAAGAGTCGGACAAAAAGAACAAATTCGAAGAATTAAAACTGTCCGAAATGGACGCAAAACTGAAAAACATGGAGGACACAATCATCGACGATGCGCTTAAATTCACCGGGGCTCACGAGGGTTCTAGCGATTCCCAAGAAATCCAAGAAGTGAAGGACCGAGTTATTTCGCGATTAGCGGCCGCTTACAGCTTGGAAAAGATGCGACGGGCCTTAGGCGAATACAAACTAAGCGTCGAGAAGGAAAAGGAGCGATTAAAGCAACATAAAAGCGACGATTATGACATTTCGGAAGATAAAAGAGTGTCAGTACCGAGAAAGCAAGCTGTCGACGAAGATAGAGAGAAAAATCCAGAGGGGGATAATAACATCAAGTGCTCCCAAGGCGACGAAGACTGCGAAGAGCAAAATTATCGAGCACCCTCTGAGATTTTAGAACAAACAGTTTTCGGTAAACAATGACAGGCGAGGCGTGTCTTTATTAATATTTTCGTTGCAGAGGAGTGTCCCAAAGTTCAAAGAGCGTGCAATGAGGTAGCTACGGCTCTGAGTCACTATGCCAGAGTTTTTGAGACGGCGTGTAACATGCATCAGATGTGTCTCCTATGTGTAAGTTAGTTTTTAGTGAAGGGATGACTTTTGATTGATTTCTTTCCAGAGTAATAATAGCTGGTTTGCCCCCACTCGTCAATGCAACGTCCTATTTTTGACCAAAGTATTTGAATTGTGCGATGGAAAACAGGAATGTCAAAAGGAGGCCCAAAGGTCGGTCAGATATTTGTTGGATGTGAACCGGTCACTAAGGTTGGAACCTTTGGGAGAGTGCGAACTCGCTTGTCCTGACAGACGATAAATGAGACGATCGATGTCCAAAAGGGTCGTTAAAAACCCTTTAACTGATTTCTCTCAGCCGCCATCTAAACTGTATCGATATTTACTGACAGCCTTGATTTATTTCAATGGGTGTATTATCATTGTAACTTATTAAATGTACACATAGTAAATGTTGCTTCAGAAATGACATTAACACTGAAGTTTGTTGTTAAATATTTATATTCTATTTGTTTATTCGAAATATACAGCGATTTATCTTAACACATTCTAAAACACGTTCAAAGTAATAAATTCCAATTTAATTAAATTACTGTACAGCTTTAAATTCTCATTGTTGTATCTAAATTTTTTAGAAACAGGGATGCATTGAACGTGATTTTATTATGAGCAATTGATTGGAGTCGATATGGTGATTTCATCAGTGCCCTGGAACGATCGTGACAATAATCCCAAAATATCTGATTAAATTAATAAATTTTTGACAGGGCTTGTTCAGCATTTAAACCCACAATTGAAATTGCCGTATCAAAACCATCGATTTTGCTTAGAAAAAAGGACTGTGCTATTGTATTAACGGTTTCAATATATTTTAATGGTAAAATAGACAATTTTATTTGATGTTGAATCAGATTTTTCTTCTTATCTCACCTAACGAATGACCAAATCCCCTCTAAAACAATACTAGATTAGATATAACAGATACCAGATATTGCGCCACAAAAACACATTCCTTTTTCTCCTCCACGTACAACAAATATTGTGAAACAAAAGTCATAAAAGTACTTTCAAAATCGAAAAATCAAAATGTTTCCAACGGGCGAAAATGACCCGTCCGTTGAAGGTAAGTGTCCAAAACCACCGTCAACTTCGTTTTAATTGTACCAGATGATTCACATTTGATAAGATCGTCATTTAAACCATACAAAACAATTCAAATTTTCAGATATTAGTATGCCAGTTTTTTCAGAAGGGTCATCCCCCGTTGTTTCCGAACCCCCTTCATTAACCCGGGAGCAAGGTACTGTTTGCGCAAAACACAAAACAAGACAAACATAATTATTTCCAGAACGATTGAACCAGGGAACAAGACGGCCAATTCCAGTCTCCACCATAGACTGGCAAACCTCGATGACCTCACACTTTTCACCTCTGCACGGCTTAGATTTTTTGAAAGATGTGCATCAAATAATAATACAACAAACTGTTGAACTAACAGACTGTAAATATATTTAGTATTTTATCTTTTTATTTTAAAGTTTCTTCCAGTGATGGCAAGTCTTGAATCGGAAAACCGTTACACAGTTAAAGTGCCAAGAGGCGAAACGATTTATTATGCGACTGAAAGCTCAACATCATTTCAACGAACTTGTTTTGGATCAAGTCGAGCTTTCACAATGAGACTTTACGACCCGACACAACAAGAAGCTATACAATTTAGACGGCGGCTAGCTTGTGGTTCCTGCTGCTCTGTTTTCTTCTACTTACAAGTCGGGAGAAAAGATTAAAATAACACTTGACTTTATTTTATTATTTCAGGATCTTGAAGTTTGGATTCCTCCTGGAGAGTATTTGGGGAAAATAACGCAAAAATTTAATGCAACTAAACCGTGCTTTGTACTTTACAATAAACAAATGGATATTATTTATAGGATTGAAGGACCAGAGTCTGCTTTTGGGTGCATGTGGAGCAAAAACCACAATTTTCAGATATTTACCAGCGACGGATTGACTCAAATTGGAAGTATAATTCATCAGTGGGATCAAGTTCAAGTCGCTTACAATTTGTACATGCAAATGCCAGGGCAAGAAAATAACACGAGACATAAAGCACTTCTTCTTGGAGCCGCCTTTCTTCTAGTAAGACTTCGAGGGGATTATTTGAATTAATTATTAATTTATTTTGTTTTGCAGGAGTATATGTATTTCGAAAGTGCCAAAAAACGAAAAGGCTGTAAATGTATCTGTTAAGAAAAACTCAATCGTCTATTGAAGTTTGATAAAAATAATTGTTCCTAGAAATAGTTTTGGTGAATATCTATCTACTGTATTAACCAATAATATGTTATTGTATCTATTTACTCATTTTTATGTACGTATATTTAGTGTTAATAAAGTGTATTTTTAAATCTTTGATGAAAGAAAAGGCAGCGTTTTTAATATGTATTTATTGAAATTGCTTGTAGAACCACAGCTACAAATAAACTTTAAAAACTATTACAAAAAGTCGCGTTAAAATAATTTAAAGATGTACACAATAGACAACAAAAAATGTACACAAAATGTATGTAAAATATTTCCAACTATAAAATTACAGTTTGCTGCTTACATCCAAATAAATAACAAAACCCAAGTAGAGCAATGACGTAACAATAAAAGCGTCCTACATTTTAATGACAGATATTAAAATGATCGATATTTACATTTGAAAATGTACATGTGGCCAGAATTCTAGCCTCAACTGTGTAGCTATGGGCGTCCGAAATGCACTTCGCATTAGACACTAAAGAAACTAATGAACCAGATCAGTGTAAGTACCTAGTTGCAGAGGGCACGCTGTTTGATGAACAAACATATAAATACAAGGGAGAACTATATTACAATTATGTTCAATGACTAACATACAGTGACACTCATAATAATGTGGTGTATTATGGGTAAGTAAATGCAAATATACCGAAGCGTGAATTTCTAGTAATTTACATCAGGTATATAGTTTTACATAAATATTATCCCAAATTGGACAGAACGGTTCAAATTGGACAGGTGCAGGTCTAGTATTTATTTTGCCGAAGCCAATATCGGCTGGACGACTAAACCCGAATCAAATGGGTGATTAACATAATCACTGAGCAACAAACAAACAGTAAAGACTAGATAACATTGCGTATTAATTTACATAATCATATATTTTAAAAATGGAATGTAAAACGTTGCAAGTGACAAACTTAATGCAGTCTTACTCGTGACGAAATAATAGCAAAAAATCATCACTACAGACCTATCATATCTTATCACTATATATTCTACAAACACACAGAAATTGTTTAAATACTTTATGTAAACTACATTCTATTACAATTATATATTTATATACTATATCTGTTCAATTATACAGCACGCAAAACCTATAACCCACAGACTGTCTCTACAGCCAATAATAGACTTCCAGGGTTTCTGTGGAAACTAACAGCAATTATCACAGAAAGAAATTCTTAAAATATAAAAACCAAGGAAAATTGTAAAAAATAAAAACAAACACAAACAATTTATTTAATCCTCAAATAACCCGTTCAACTATCAAGGTACGAAAGCTCTTGCCTCCATTATTCCAGAAATAACGTGAAGAGCTGATAATACTGGATTATTTTGACAAGATTAAAACGATTTCTCCATTGACGCTCATAAATTGTGATTTGATATGTGCCACTGTGTTACCTAAGCTACGGCACATGTAAAACTACCAACTAGGTGGGCCAATTTACACGATTGCCGGTACATAAGTAATCGTAGGAAATGAAAGAGGTAGTCGTTTAGTCAATTGGCCAAGTCAAATCGCAAAAGTGCAACCAAACAGCAATGCAAATCAAAAAGAGCAAAATCAAATAAAAAACCATCTTTTTAAAAAATAGTTAGGAAGTTTCTATGCCACATAAATGGACGGCACAGCTACACACATGGAATGTGTTTTTAACACACAATAATACATAAAATCGGGTGGATTATTGGAGGGGACTAGTTATTGTGCCTATTTGGCTTTAGAACTGGGTCTTGTCCCCACACTATTCAGCCCTTCGCCTCGCGAACGCGACCTGGGAAGGCCATCACCTACAATATCATTCATGACTACCAAATATTAAAACGAAAAAATCATTTACCTTTCCCAGTCGCACACTTATTGTTATTGGCAAGAGAATCAGCCTTGTAAGCACGCATTGCACGTCCTCTTCGATCTAATATCAACTTATCAGCACGTACAAACATACCGTATTTTGGCCGACAGCTGAAATAGCGGACTCCTTGGACACTTCCATCGTTTTTACCTTTCGGGGCATCAAGCTCAACGCCAATCCAAGTGCCAGAGGCAAATTCAGTGCCGCCAATATAAGCAACAACACCTGACGAATTGTAAGGTCTTATAAGAACACTTTCGCCCAATATGACCCAATCCGGGACGGGAACATCTGACAATTTTGTTAAATCAGGTTTGGATCCGAAATTATTTTCTGAATCATCTAGAAACACCCAATTAGAAATTTAAACGACACTGTGATAATCACAAACCTTCTAATCGATCAGTCGAACTGTCTAATCCTTCGTCATCATGTATTAAATTCGTGTTAATTAGACTTTGTTCAAAATTTTGAGCAACTTTACTTTCTGATAATTGTGGTCGTATTTGTGGGAATGATGCTCGCTGTGAGTGTTGCGTTTTTGATGATTTTTTTCGTCGTACAACTTTTCCGGGTGATAAATTTGTTTTGATTACTGAGCTTCCTTCGTTGTCACATGGAGGTTTATCTTGGTTATTATCAGAATGATTGTCAATGCCATTGGCGACGTAATCGTCGACATTTTCATTGCTTTCACCACTTTGTTCCTCACTGTAATTGCTTTCCTAAAAACAAATAAGTCAAATATCGGCAAATACAATTCGTAGCGACAGTACTTGATAAGTTTCACTCGAACTATCAGTTGCTTCAGAAACCGGTTGTAAATCATTCGAAACCGGTTTTGCTTCTAAATCCGGTGTTTCATCAACACTGATACTCCGTAACGACATTGAATCGTCACTTGATAAATTTGTTGATGAAACTGCTTGAGAACCATAACCACTTGAAGTCGTAGAAGGTGTACCAGATTTGGGAGCTAGTTCTACAAGAGAGTCTAGAGTTCGTGAAGTTGGAATTGTTCGTCGTCCGTTCGTTCTACTCCTCACATTATACTACAAGTAATTATTAATTTGAGTGCATCGAAACTCGAATCGTCACTTACAGTAACTTCCTGTTTTTCATCATGACCGTCTTCACATTGCTCTTCTATTGTGTCATCACTCAAAATATCCAAAGAATGTTTTCGAGGTAACGCAGGTTGTTCTTCATGAAGAGTTGTCATTCTTAACCCCAACTTGGTATTGGCAGGTGAAGTAATACCAGGAAACACTGAAATTTTATCGAGTTAGACAAATGACAAAGCAGAATTTAAGTGCAAACAAAAATCAAACCAACCTACAAAAATAAAAACATGCTAAAATCAACATAAAACAATAAAAAACATAAGCCGAATGTAGGAGAATGACGACATACGTTTTGAACTTCCTGCAGGTTGTTGTAATCGCAAAGAGTTCAGATTTAAGCTGAGATTTAAGAAAGTCGGCCGAGCTGAAATATTACAATAAATTAGTTGTTGTATTACAAACTTAATTAACACGGTGCTGCTTTGTATGGTATTTATAATCAGGTCACACCTCAAATAATTATTATCTATATATACAATCACTAACATTTAAAATGATACATGTACCATTTTAAAGTCAAAGAGACCTGTTTTAGTCTAACAAAAAACAGAACATGCAGATATAGCCAATTATACATATCGGACGTTACCTAGTAGTAATTCAATACTAATTTTATAACTACGCATGCTCACGATGCTGTTTTAAGGATACATTTACTTAGAATAATACGGGTATCACAGTTTTGCCAATTCGTTGGATCTAACTTTACACCCAGTACTGTTTTAAGTAAGTCTCTGTGACTTTATTACAATTGTTAGATGAAATGATTCATCAGTTTGTTACTTTACGTTTACTTTCTTTAAATTCGTATTAAAGCATAGCATTAAAGCTTTACTTTATTAGTTTAATATAGTACTGATGCTTATGTAAAGCTTAAATTAAAATGGCAAATTATAACCAAAACATGCTGAATATGTTGTTTTCTACGGTTCTCTAACACTACATGAGAAACATAGTTTTGAGATGAACTACGACAAACTATGAAAAGATGTCAATTATCTAAAATGAATTAAGCCCTGACCTCTCCGATGAAAGCAACTAAAACAAAACACTGCAATCACATTTGCCACTACTGGATATATTAGGTGCTTTCTGTCGGAATTGGAGCTCTAATATGACGCATGAAATACTGTAATCTCAAAACTCATGTTACAGACAAGCAGACGGTTCTTTAAACAGTCATGATCTGTATCCACCTATAGCAATCTCAATATGCAAGCCTCCATTTTACCTGAAAGAATGGAGCCTTGTGGTTGCAGAAAAAAATTCAATCCAAATTAGTCAAGCAAAAAATTTGACAAGTTGGAAGAGCCTCAGGCTCCAACATCAATAAAAACACCATATTAGGAAACAGAGAAGCTGGTTTGAACGAAAGAAGAATTCAGTGCACATTTTGAAATGTGAAAACATAAAGATTAACATTTAAAAAGTCTTAGCGTGATGAGCACGTCTCATTAATTCAGTTAAACATTTAGATGTTTTGAAAAAAAACATACGACCCCAAGTCAGCAAAGACCAAAGCGTAACCAGCATTGGCACCAAATTCTGACAAACAATCTAAATCTCTGAAAACTAGCTATTAACTATTCCTCTAAAATAAAACATTTATATTTTAACTAAATTCTATCGTTTTTCATTAGTTTTAATTATAAATAAAACGACAGAGAGCTGGAACATACCTATGCCAAAAGGTTTTGAAGGAGTGCCTTCAGAATCCTTCCCGAAACTGCTCCTGGGTCTCAAAGGAGTCGTAACTCCGTGAAGTTCACTGTTCAGTTCTGACACACTCTCAGAACGAGACATATGAAGTGACTCGGTGCTCATATCTAACCTCATGAACTAGAAAAAATACCAATAAAATAGTACAATGAAATCAAAATAAAAGCAAAGAGAGGACGTACCCCATTCTTTGTTTCCAAAGCCTGATTGCAAGAATGTACAAAAGTCAGAAAGAATTAACATAATAATGTAAAAAGTAGTTACCTGGGAGAAGTTAGGCACACTTGCAGTTTTTCTCATCAGTGGTTGCCCTTTAGCTTGAAGAAGTTCTTTCACAGCTACACTTTGCCTCAAACGGTCTAATGTTAAAATGCTTTCGACGGCACTTACACCACGAGTATATTTTTCTGCAATGAGAAATATTACTCTTGATAAAATAAAGGAAAATATCTAGTCACCGATGTAAGTCTCCCCATCGCACAAAGATGAATCTTCTCCAGAAGCCACAAGCTGGGCTAAAGATTCACGATCTTCCAACTCTTCACTAGCTTTGGGTACATTTGAAACAACCTCGTACGTAACACCACATTGAGTTATGACATCCGAACGAACAATTTTTCGTTTAATTCGATCGGTAATACTCTGTCTCTTATAGATATTCAAAGATAAACGTTTTCTGAGCACTAAATCCATCTGTGCTGGGTGTGACAACCTCACTGTGATTCTTAAAATCATATAGACACGTTCCATTGCTACGAAAAAAAAAATGATTTGTGTGATTAATTTCATTAAAACAAAACTCACGTTCTGTTATTTTATTCAAATGAGAACTGTTATGAATCGAAGAGTCCCAACTAGCTACAGCACACACATCTTTTTCCAAATGATGCAATATGTGTAGACTGTAAAACGTACTACCAACTTCTTTAGGCAAGATCGAGTTAGCACCAGCAACAGTAACCTCAACTCCAGATTGGTGTGTACTAAAGTCATCGGCTGGAATTTTTATTATTACCGGAGTTGTCACAAAGTTGTAAGTTTTACCATTTAAATCTAAAAATAGAACCGGAACGTAAGGTTCCATCCCAGGTGGTGGACTCCACACAGCAGGAGCACCAGGAATGCCAGCTCCAGGTTTCGGAATGATTACAGCATTGCGTTCTTCAGTTAAATTCACCCATTGGTCCATTAGACTCTGTTCTCGTTCACAATCCTGGTCAGTTTTGTTTGATTTCTCCAAAAGTTTTTTGATTTGTTGCTCTAAGTATTGATGTCTCCTCAGAAGTGCCTCGTTCCATTTTTCTCTCAAAAGCGTCAAGTCTTCCTCTTGATACGAATCCAAATGTTTTTGGAGACGACTTCGTACCATTACTCCTCCAACTTCAATTTTGACGATTTCCTGACAGATTATTGGTAGTGTGCCTGAATTTTGAACCGGTTTTACTCTGACTTGAATTCGTCTCTGTTGGCCTTGACGCAATTGATACACTCCGCCCGCTGAAACTTCATTTTTGGTGGTAACTTCAACCGGGGCATATTCTCCTTGTTCGTTCAATTCTTGGATTTCGACCCAAAGTTCGATTTTTCTGGTCAATTCGGACCATCGATCGACTAAAGATCGAGCTGTGGCTAATTGTTGCTCAACTTCCCAGCCGGGTTTGTGCTTAGAAAATCCAGCACTTCTATTGCCCCAAACTTCAATAGAAAGTGCTCCTTCTGCACAATGCTCAAGGAACTCTTCAGTTACAGGTACGACGAAGTCTTTTACATGGTCAAATTTAAAAACAGTAGAATCTTTAGTAACAGGCAACTGGAAAGTGGAAACGTCCGAGTTTGTAGGTACCACTATTGGTTCAGGGTGATTCCAAAAAGTATATTGACAAAATACGTAGTGTGAAAGAGATAAAGGTAAACCAGATGCTTGTTTGATGTGAACGCGGCAGGTAACACTTGGAGTACCATGTTCCTCATCATCGTGACTGCTATCAGAGGAACTATCTGAAGCAGCTTCGCATATCCTATCTTGTGGGAAAGTTCCGGCAACGCGACTAAGTTCAACCTTAATTAAAACGATTAAGCAAACATGTTGTGTTTTGCCAGACAAGACTTACCTGTAAGCGACCGGCAACTTCACCCTGTTGACTTATTATAGGTGTATGGTAATCAAGTTTGATATCATGGAACAAACATTCAAGGAAAATATTTGCTACACCAATCAAATTGTGATTTTCTTGCGATTCGAAAAACGGATCAGGACCTTTGACTGGTGATTCTTTTGAAAGATCTTGTTCTTTCTTCTCTTCGTAGAGTTCTCGCATGTCAATAATTTTATTCTCTAATTTTTCCATCGACCATACTTGATTTTGTGTTCCACGTTTGACTAAAATGGCAGGTTCGCTTACAAATGCACCTTTCTAGAAATTGATAGGAGAATAGAAAGCGTGATGGAAATAAAAATGTTTTTGTTTTACCCTTCTATTGGGACTTAAATTGTCCGGAGGTATTTGTAGAGTAACACTAAATTTCGTTTGCCGTCCCAATTGTTCGGCTAAACAGTTGGCTTCTTGCACTAGGGAATTAGCGTGATATATACCTTCTTTCAATTGCCCTATACTCCTTTTAAACATTTCATCTCTTTCTTGTGCCCACTTTTCAACTCTCATTTGTGTCGTAGGTGTGCAAGGAGTTGTTTTTCCAAAATTGGCTCTCAAGGGATCATAAGAATAGGGAGGGTACGGTGTTGAGGGTGACATAATGTTTCTCAGCTGTTGGAATTGCTTTTCATATTCCATTCGTTGTTTTTCCAATGCGACTATAAACGAGAGAAATATTTTCGCAAAGAAAAAAGCGAGATTAATGATTCGTACCTTGTTTATCCTCTTTGTGTTGTTTTTCAAGACGGGAGATAGCAGCTTGTATCGGATCGTTAATAAGTTCATTTAGCATAAGTTCGTCACGAGCAAAATTATAATCGATATTTTGTGCTGGTGTTTGAGGTTCCGAAGTGGCAGCTTAAAAGTTAATCGTCAAGGCGACAATTGACGCGATTTGTTTCAAACTTACAAACTGATCTCGGGCAATTTACTCTAAAGAAATGGTGATTGCCCCAAACTATCCGATCCCCGTGCCTCAACTGCGTCCTTTGGGTAACCTGAGAGCCGTTGATGTAGGAACGTGCGTTTGCCACAGGTTCTAAAAATAATCCGCCATCTTCGATGGTAATTATGCAATGTTCGGGCTGAATCCCCAAACCCGACAATTGTATATCGGGTTCCACCCCCGAATCGGAACTCCTCGCTCCAACCACCGTTCGTTCTTTCAAATAATAGACGAGGAGCTCGTTAAGAGACGGGTCCGCGTTCAAATTAACCAAGTAATATTTATTTTTCTCCACTCTGATACCCGACGCCTGTATGCTAATTCCCATTTTTTCGAGGGCTTGCTGTCGTTCATTTTGAATTCGTTCCGTTTTCATTAGTTTCTCTTCCCACGTTTGAGACACTTCTTTGTATAATTTTTCACTTTCGCTCAATTTCTGGTGAATATCAACTCTTTGGATATCACCGACTGGAGAACCCTGAAATCGCATTTACATAAAACTGACCGAATTGATTATATTTAGCAATATTACAGTCGCATGTTTCAGCATTTCCTTCAACGTTTCGACTTCCTGTCTCAATTCTCTTATGATTCTAGCATTTGGATCCTCATTGACTACGGCGTGATTGACAATTCTCTTCGCTCGATCGGCATACCGAAGAGTAGACAACGTTTCTTCGTAATTATCAGCTGCGGGGGAAATTGCCGCAACCATGACCGTTTTGCTGTTACCACCCAAATTATCTTTCAATATCCATGTTAAAACTGAATCACGGTACGGTACGAATTTATCTTTATTTTTATTCCCTGATGATTGATCTGCCAATTTTGATATAACTAGACCTAACGTTGTTAATGACCTGAAACAAATTTGTCAAAAACGCCTTGATTGCCATTTTCACGATCATTACTTATTGATATTGGAGCCTTCTTTTAACCTGTCACCAACAGCTCCAGTTTTCACAGCCCGTTCAGAACCTGCTAAATCTACCAAAGACATGCGACTAACTTTTTCACCTGTTACACCAGATTTTGTATCTACCAAAGTCTGAGTCAAAACAATTGTAAATACTGCATGAGATCTAGACGACTCGCTGTTCATATTTGTCGCAGCTACTGTCCTCGATTTATTACCCTCAGCCATCAAGTTGTCAATATCCTAAGTAGAAGAAAAATAATAAAAGAGAAATTTTCCCCAAATATATAGATTTCTACCTTGAACGAAGTCACTGCCAGCTGTGACAATCCGTCGACATAAGGACCCAATACATTGTGTTCTCTTACTTTTAATGATTGCTTGTTCGTTTTAGGATCTAACAAATCGTGAACCTGTCAGAAATCCAAAGTAAGCAGAATTTGTTTTTCCGAGATAAATCAAATTTTACCTTTTCGTTGTAAATTTCCATGTAACTTACTTCAACTTTGTAAGTAAGTTCAGAGCTTTGCTGTTTTGCAATTAGGCCAAACAAGGCATCACATAATCTCGGTATAATTCCTTTATTTTCTTGTGAACCCATCATTGTATATGATTTACCGGAACCTAAACAGTGAATGAAATCAGTTTTGGAACGTAATTCCCAAGGGAGTAAAGAGAAACTAATGGAAAGTTAAGGAAGTCTATATTTTAGTTCGAATTGCATTTCCGCGGTTTGACGCGGTTGGAAAATTTGAACATTGGGTAAATTAGGTCTCATTTCGTTGAATTTCCTTTCGTGCAAAAGTGAAGTATGAGTCACATCAGACACATCGATAAATTCGAGAAGTGGCCAAAAACAAGAAGTAGCATGTAAATAATGTCGAAGGTCAAAGACGCGCCCGATCGATTCGAGAAATAGTGTGAAGGTTTAAGAAATTTCTGATGAACAAATGGTCACGAGAAGTTTAGTTTCCTTTGTTACTCTCGAGGTCATTTCCGAATATGCAAAAAGGACACTATAACGTTTCGTGTTCTCCACTAAAGTAGACCTTTAAAGTTAATTAATGAAAGATATAAAAGCGGGGTGTGACAAATAAACAGGACACGCGAGCAAAAAGTGAAAATAAGGAAAATCAATAGTTGCACAATTGCAAACATGGATGGAATAAGTCCGAAAAGACTCCTTTATCCCGGTATCAAGCTAGTAAAAAGCAACACATGACCTGAATACGAATTTTCCAAGCTAGATCAACGTAACGTAATCGGAAAAATGAATGGGTCCGCTTTACCGACCAAACCCGGCTCATTTCTCACTTTAATCGAAATTAAGGAGGATTGTTATGCAAAGTTGAGTCCGCATTTAATATTCATTTGGAGTTTTCTGTGTTATTAGAAAAGTTTGCAATTTACCTGTTTGGCCATACGCGAAAATGCAGGCGTTATATCCTTGGAACGCATTGTCAAGGATATCTCGCCCGAGGCAATCAAAAACGACTTCCTGCGAAGCAAAACCTTCCATGGTTGGATCCACCGAACAGAAACAATGGTCGAACGCAAAAGACTTTGGCGGCTTCCTGCAAAAGAGGATTTTTCTTTGAAAAAAATTTACAGAAGCAATCTTTATGAATTTTCCACATGCAAAAACCTCCGCGATCATTACAAGAGTTCCATTGTTTGCAACGAGATGAATCATATCGATTATTCACGGATATAGACAATCACTTTTGGGATAACTAAATCAAATTCGGTTTAATGGAGACCGTCTGGAATATGTAACGCGTGAATTCTTTTCCAGAAATAGAAATACTCCGGAAATAGCGCTCGGGACTTGAGAAGACCGGAAACAAGACAGTTGCAGTTAAAATTTCTCTTCACCTATCATATTTCACCCCGAACCTAATAATTATTTCATTTCACTTTCCTCATCGATCCCACCTTCAATTACTAAAATGGTTGTTTGTTAAACGTCCTCGGTCTACATTATTTTCACTGCATGTGCTAACCGAAATCGATCGTACGATGACACCAAACAAATTTCCCAAGATTACAAACCCTCTGTCAATAGAACCCTAATTACATACTTGACTCAAGCAACGTGGTTGACTTCCAGAAATAGCATTTTAATGAAATTCCGATGCAATTTTTCGATTTTACATATGGATTACGCAGCCCACGTCAAATTACAGATATCATTTCAGATTAGTGAGTATGCGCTCTATTTGTGTTCTTTGAGGAACTCATAACTGTATTTCACAAAATGTGTAACTTTTAAAATAGCAATCAGCATGACGATTTTGTAACGCTATTTAACTTTCTCGACTTTCGGTCCACGCTAATTTTTATTGTCTATGTAGATTGGATCGACGATTCTTTCTACCTAAATTAATTAACTGGAGCTTCGTTACGTTTATTATTTTATTGGAATCGATACGAAAATCTAGTTTTATCCAGTATTCCGGGAGACAAAGCAAGCCAATACATTATTATTTCAGACTTTATAGTTTCTAATTCACTTCCTCTATCCATTAAATGTGCATTTACAGAACACTGTTAACCTAACATTTTCCTAACTGTTACCTCAGAGATTTGTCTGAAACAATACAATTTCCTTGCCGATTCCGTATCAAAACTTTTCCCACAACCAAAATATTTACGAGTGATCCTGTGTACAGAAGTTTCGCCCATTTCAAGTATTGCAGCTACATTCTGTACCTAATGCCCTTTTTTGAATACAATTTTCAAATTTTCAAACTTACAAAACACAGAGTTTTTCAATTAAGGCTGCTTTTGTCGCAAGTGTTTGTATAACGTGTAACAGAAATAAGTATATAAATTTTAACCACTTACAGAACTCACCCAATGCAACACTTTATATGTAGTATTTTTGCGAAATCTACATTTTTTCAGTCATTTTGTCCCTTGGACGAGCCGTTCAGTTACAGAAATAATTACCCTGATTATTTTTAACAATTTTGACGAGGTGTCTTTGCAAGTTTCGACATAAATTCAAGTTAAAAGTGTTTTCAGGTGACAATTATTATTGTAGTTTGATATCCGAGTTGTGTTTGCATAATTTTGTGTTAAAATGCCGGTAAAATACAGTGAGTATGTGGATATGCTAGCCTATGGTTCTTAAAAACTGTTTCAAATGTTCGTATTCTTCGAGGTATTATTATGCACAGTTATTACATTTTTTGTTATTATCTTTTCATATTGTATCGATTGTTTCCGAGTTATGCCTTTTTTATTTTAAAAAGTCAAAAAACCAAAAACACGTCTCTAGTCGAAACTGTATCTCCAAGCAGATTGCGAACTATTTCCTTATATTGTATTCCGAGAAAAATGCGTGTCTTGCCGAAATTACAACTCCAATTGACTCAGGATTTTGCGTTTGCGTTTTCGAAAAAATAATAAAAATGTTGCATTTGGTGAGTTCTGGCGATTAATATATTTATTTCTGTAGCGCCAGTAAGTTGTTCTTAAAAAAACCTTCCAAACATCTTAACTTCAGCTTTGAGTACAGTTCGCGTGTATTTGGTGGCTTTAATCCCGTTTTTTCTTAAGAAATCCACACTGTTCAAAGCCTTTGCCCTATTTCTTAACACTGACTTTGACAAGACGCACTTACAAATAATCGAGATTTAAAAGGAAGAATAGATATAATCTGACCAAAGATGTAACCTATTTGACAAGATTTCTCCAAAAATTTATCAGAAACCATTTCGAAAAACAATAGGTTATCTTTATCATGAACCAACAAGAATTATAAATACTTATTATACCTTGTATACCTACTTCTTACTCAGAATTTGATCGGTTTTGACTGTCAATTTTATATATTTCTTGATTAAAAAAAAATATTTTTCAAATTCATTTCCAATCATTAAGTAATTACAAATTTTGTTCAAAATGTAAAAATGTCGCGATATCAAAAATATAGTCACGAATCTGTCGCAACTCGCAAAGAAGTTTGGAAAAATGTTCATTTATCTGCACTTCCTAAGTAAGTCAGTAAGTTTTTCAACTAGATATCTGTGAGACCCAACGAACGAGTTTGAAACTTCTGTATGTATTTTATTACATGGGTGATTTTGAGTTTGTATGAAACTTCAAAGTCAAAACCCCTTTATCATAAATCTCTTGAAACAATTTTAGTCAGTGCTAAAAATAGGTAAATCAACAGAAACTTGAACTCGAGCAGAAAATAAAGTCAATTTACTTTACTTATTTCAAAAATTGTAGCTTGTATATCTTTACTCTTGTGAAATAATTAAGAAAGACCGTAATTCTCAAGAAAAGTAGTTTATTTTGTAAATACAGAGCAAAAGGTATTCGATTCAAAAACTCCTTTTGCGTACTCCCCCACGCTTCTTCGTGCTGCTCGTGGACTTTGACTTTCTTCAAAATATCCAGAACGTGTTAAAATTTACTAAGAGAATTAAGTCCGAAACAGCTGACATAAATCCTAATAAGTGTTCCAGCATCTGATTATTTTCAGGTAAAGCGACCGCTGCAATAAAATCTTAACAACCCACCCATGTAAGGTTTCTTTCCAAGCTAAACCTTTCTCTGTATCTCCATTCTGACTTTTAAATTTTGTATACCTAAAATCACGCAATCGCAGCCCAAATAAACCTGCATCCTAGATTAATTCAAGTGTTAATGTTCATCTGAATTAATCTCCAAGTCTCGGTGCGCGCACTTTTCTGACATGCGAACATAATTATAAAAAAAATATCATGTAGGTGGAAAGTTTCCTTTATTTATTATTCAATTTAGCTCGCACCTTAAGGAAAATTGCTGGAAAGTTTTAAAGTCGTGAGGAAATGACTGAATTAACATAATACACATTTCCAAACAATAACTTTAATCTGGGGAAGAATTTTAAATTAGCAAGGTAAGGTTCCGGCACCCCATCGAGTGCAATTAGACGGAAAGAGCTAAGTACTCGTTAAAAAATAATGGGCACGCAGGTGGCCACTCTGCGTCCTTCACTATAAAACCCCTTTATCCTAGAAGAAAAGTAACTTTATGATACCTACATCATTGGTGAATATTCTTCCAGTTTTTGCAAGTGAGAAACAAGATTTACAAACATTAGATTTCCCAGACGGCCACTGGAACTTTCGTCGAGGCAATCCAATTCCGACGAATATTTTATCACTTATCAGTATTTACAGAATTATTTGATTTAATCTTGACGTGGCAACATGACACGGATCAAACAATATTATACTTGAGTGATAATTGTGAAAGCAATTATTACAACACGCAAAAGAAATAAAATGCTTTAATAATAGAGCACTTTCTCCCTAATTTTTTTCTTGCAACAAACTGACACAATTTAGAAAAATTCACTCTTAAATTAATAATATGCAGCGCGTCACGTGACAATAAATAATAACCGACGATCCGAATAATCGATAAAGAAAGCCGCTTACAGATGTTCGCTTACAGCTACTACACTTGTTATCTAATGAAGTTTATGGTGGCAAACAATTGTTACAAGTACATACAGGCGTGTAAATAATTAGTAATTATTTGATAAAAATTACAAATTGAGAATTATTTTTTACAACGCAATCAGATTTTCATCAGTGTGGATAAAACTTTTTTTGAAATACAATTGAAGAGGTATACAGGTACAAAAATAAACGCTGATAACAATTGATAAGTTGGTAGCGTAACAACTATGTAGAGCAAATAAAAAACCGAACATATTGATCAAGTTCACTTGGATGAAAAATAGCAACACTGCGGAGTTCCTGAGACGGCATCGGCAGGTCAACTTGGTCGATTAATCAAAAGTGGAAAATGAAATTTTTCTTGTCTATTAATAATCATTTTGTCCCGAAGTGATTTGGAGCGAAAACCTTAGCAAAATAAATAGTCATGTTTTGGGAGAAGAAAAACACATTTCCCTTTTATTACCAAACAAACTGTTTAAATATACTGGAATTGTAAACTGTCACTTTTAATTACGTTAATTTACATTTTAGAATTGTGTACCTATTTTGGTCGAGTCAAAGGTTACAAAGCTATTGCGTGAACATGAAAAGAGGGCGTGTCCTTTTCCCTCCAAGCAATTTATATTTATCAACAATTTTTAAAATGTAGGTAATTATTTCAATGGCAAAAATCGCGCCATATGACATTTGTTCATTTTTTATGATTGGAGGTGAAATAACGTCATCGATATTTTATTTAAGTGGCGTCACACGCCAATAACAGTATTTTCTCGGGTAGAGTAGGTCATAGTCCAAAAATATAAATTCATTTCAATTTATTTATTAATGAATAACAAGGAAATCCAAGCTTTATCACTTTACTGAATTAACAATTATTTATGAACAGCCGATACATTATCTTATTTTCTTAACGTTTCCTCGAGGTCGTGTGATTATTGACATACCGGCCTCTAAAACAATTTTAATTAGATAACCAGTTCTAATTAGGTTCACGCGTAAAATAACAAATGAAATCAAGCAGAAAAAAGTTCTGTTGTAGTACATATCCATCCATTAAACATTTATTTTACAAATGCAAATGCATTTAATTTTTCCCTGGTTCTGTCTATTTTAATTTAGTAAACATGAAATATAATGTATTACAATAATCATTAAATGACACAAACTCACACGCAAACATGGGTAGTTAATTCTGCGGCTTTCCTTATCTTTTATCATTATTATAAAACAAAGCATTAGACAATATCATATTCGTCTCAAGACACAAAATCAGCATCACAAAAACAACAATTACAAAAAAAACTAAAAATATCTTTCAAATTAGACTTTCGATGTGTAAAAATACAAAAAAGTTCGAAAGCAGAAATTTTGAAATTTTGAAAATAAAATGTGAAGGTACATTAGTTATTGCAATAAATGATGAAAAATATTTCGAAATGTATAAATAAATATGAAAAGTTGCATCAGCAGTCTTGCAAGTCTTTGTATGGTTGACGTCATTGTGACAGAATTTCAAAAAAAACGCAAGGGTACTAAGTCTAGTAATTGTAAATGACCGGCGTAATAATTTCTCGATTTGCTCCAAGTACTGATTAAGTGAATGCCGAATGCCTGTTGGTATCAATCAATTAAAAAAACACTAAACATAAGTATTTGCATTTCAATCAATTAAATCGGCGATACAAGTACGTTTCAAAGTCGTTTACAGCGCCCATTATCGATGACAGCGTCTAAAAAGTAATTTATTGGAGGAGCAATGAGAGAAAATGGACGTTTCAATACGCTATTCACGTCCACAGTATAAACACCATTGGCTGAAATTAATACAATGACAGTACGGCACGAAACAATTTTTTGTTGAAAAGGCGTTCTTATCTAGTTTTGACACCAAAAACAAAGCAGAGCTCGACCAATAAAAACGCGTTAATTTACCAATCAGTGTTAAGACAATTTCTAGACCGTCAAAATATTTCGCGATTAAAAAGAAATTAAGTTTTGTTCTATTGAACTTGATAACTGTGTTAACTAAACGAGATTATTTATCGTGGTTGCATGAAAGGAGAATTAATTTGGTTTTTTCGGTGACGAGGGAGCGAAAATGCCTCGACAAAGTTAACAGCTGTTAGAAAAATCATATTATAACAATTATTTATTTTACGAAAACTTTCCATATAATTAATTTTACGTCCAATTTAGATTTCAAGTTCAGAACATGCCAGAAACTGTTGCAGGTTTCGAATTTTTTATCCTCATCTATTGATTTTCGAAATAGACACCGTTTCTATTTATAGCCAACAAAAAGCGCGTTTTATGTTATGATTGGACATACATAAATGTACTCGGTAATGGTTTTCTAAAGCTCATTTTCTGTATTATTATTTATTTGGAAAGAGTGGAATCTGCGTGTGGGGACCTCCTCGGAGATTAGTGCGCGTTCGAGTGTATGTTTCTTTCGGGATTTGATCGGATTAAATATTAAGTTGAGTGAGATTTGGAAATGTTTTTTGACGATTGTGAATTTCGCGAGAAAAGATGGGCAACAAGGGCTCGATTTATGTCGGATTTTGGCTGAAATGGCTGATGTTAATCTTGAAATAGAGGGGAAGTTTAATTTTGCTGAGGTACGGTATCTATCTGCCAAAATTTTCCATTTTTAGTGGAATTTAAATTCTGCTCGTCACCGTCTCGTCTCGTCTCTCGTCGCATAAACGGTGATAACTTTTGTTAACCCGGAGTGAAGTTTTTTAATAAACAATAACGGCTGGGAGTCTCAATCCGTGTTAATATACATAGACATTTGGGCCTTCTGACATAGACAAAGCAAAATTACGACGGGAATATTAATGAGAGAGAACGTAAGCGTGTGTAAAAGTACAAACATCATGTTTATTGGTGTAATTGCTGCGGCATCGTTTACTTCGGCTTTTTCATTCGCCCTTTTATGAATTATTCATAATTATTGTCGGAACATTTGTCTCGAAATGCTATTAGAATTGAAAACGTACTCGAACTCACAACACATCAGTTTCGATCCTTTCTAAACTTTTACGCACGAATTGGATTTATCGAAAGATGACTTTGTGAAAATATCACTTTTCCCTTTATTTTCCTTACCTTTCCATTTTATCCAGGGTCGTAGGCTGTTGAAGAAGAGTTTGTTGTTTTTCCATTTTGACAACACATTGTGTACCCAATTCGAGCTCTGCAAAAACAACCAAAACAATAACAAAATTTTCCAGGAAAAAAAATTCAATTTGCAACAATTTAGACGTTCTGACGTCTCACCTGTATGTTGCAATAGCAATAAATAAATTTAGTCATTGATGATGTTTCATCTGTTCATTATCAACTTTACGCGGAGGACAACAATAACAACACGAAAAATTTCGGTTTAGGGTCGTTTCAAAACTTGACAGAAATATTTTTTTTGCAAAAATTTTCGGTAATTTTACGTACCTCTACGATTAAAAGGACGGACCCTAACTGCAACTTTTATTTTATCTGTAGACATTTTGGTATTTCCTTTTTTATTACAACAAAATATATATTTACACTATTATCACACTTTCTTTGTATAAATAATCACGTTACTATCCATTTTCAAACATAGTAAGTCACAATAGAGCATTTATCACAACACGTACATTCACTACTTTCGCCATATTCGAGAACACAATATTGGACGTTGCGCAGACCAGACATTTCAGATTCTCGACTGCGCAAATTTCAGTTGTGTTTTGTAATTTACATCAACAATTCACCATTTTAACATAAAGCGACATCTACAGAACGTCAATAAAAGCAACCTTTTTTTTGGTTCGCATCTGCACTAAACGCACCCTGTATATCTATTATATAATAACAGGTGGCTTTAACTTAACTCACAAAGTTCACAAACTATAGTGACCTTCAACGAAATTAAGAAATAATGCATTTTAAACTTAATTTTATAAAAATAACAAATTTAGACCTAAGTAAAGCCTTGATTCCTCCGTTCAACTTAAAAAAATGTTGTCATATTTGCAACATAGTAGGTAGGTATTTTACAAAACATATGATTTTCTGCAAATTTTTAAGGCATTTTTCAAAACTAAAAAATAATTTGTGTAAATAATTTGCTCGCCAAAAAATTCAATGAAAGTATTAAACCACAACTGAACGAAACGACACCAAAATTTTAATGAAATGTCAATCGTCAAATGTGATTAAAATTTAGAGAAACAAAAAAACACATTCGTATTTTACTACATCTTCTTCTATGAACAACTTGAACTTTTCATTTGAACACATGATATAACTACATCAGTGGTAATCTCCCTTTCATGTATTTTCTTATAAGGGGCGCCTTATTTTTAGTAGCCCAAAAGCGCCAAATATCTTAGGACGGCCCTGTCCATTCTACTATGATTATTTGATTACCCTACAATATTAAAAAAAAAATAAAAACCATCAAAATGCCATTTTTGCGTAAAATTAAGCAAAATTAAAATGTAGCAAAGTTTGTGGTAATGTCGTCCTATTTCCCCTCTCGACATAGCTAGGAACAGTGGCGTACTAAGCAGGATTCCGTGGATTCCACGAAACACGGGCCCAGACCTCAAAGGGGCCCACACCCCGCAGGGGCCCTTTCCGTTGTCCAATTACAAATTACAAATTTAAGAAAGTCCAAAATATTTTTTTTATATTAGCTGTTAAAATTAGGTACTGAATACTAAAAATTGTTATGTTTTCTTGAACTCATAGGTATAGAAAATGTTACGCAGAATTAAATTCTCCTCCATTTAACAAAAAAAAAAAAAGAAAAATGGAGCCTTTCATTTAAAAAAATTGACTTATAAGTACACTGAAAAAAATTTTACTGTGAAATTACAATATAGATAATAGTTTTTTGTGAGCAAAAACAGTGACGTAAATTACATGCTCCATATATTTTTACAAAATGCTGTAATTTTTCCATTTTGTTGTAAATTGATTTTACAATTAAAAATGAAAAATACATAGTAAATTTACATTGGTTTTATTATTACATTGGTAAATTACATATTGCTAAGTAAATTTTACATGGTAAAAATAGGGGTTTACAAGATGTGTTTTTGGTCCTGAATTAGCAACTTTAATGCAACACTTTGTTACTGATAATATGTTATGTAAAACCACGTGACCGTTACAAAACTTTTCATTGGTTCTTATTCACAAGTGTTATGTAAATTAACTTGCTTGTGTTTTTACAAAAGATTTTATCAGTTTACATTGTAAAGTCCAAATTTAAAGTAATTGTGTGATTTTACAACAATTGTATTATGAACTTTACATTAGTTTTGTGATATTAAAAAAAATGTAAATTTTCATATCAGTTACTGCAAAAATTAAAATACAAGTATTATCTTGTAAATTTTCTTGAAATTTACTGGCCTTGAGTTGTAATTGTCCTGTAAATTTACAGCCAAAATATATAGATAGTTGTAATCCTTAGATCATTACCTTTAAAATAGTTTTATAGCCTTGTAAAAAAATAACATTTTTGTACAACTCAAAAACAAAAAACAAAAATTGAAAAATTTTATTCTTGATAATAAAACATCAAATTTTTATAGTACTTTATCATTAATCAATTAGTTTTTCCAAAAAATTAATAGTTTAAGCAAAAAACGTTTGATTCCATACTTTTTATTCACCTGGTATATTTTTTTGAATGATATAAAAATAATTATTGATTTTAACACTGCCATAGTAGGTGTGGGAAGGGGGCCCGTGCAGCCACGATAGAACACGGACCCGTTAAGAGTTTAGTACACCACTGCCTAGAAATATCTTTTTGTTCCAATAAGTTCATTAGTATTTCAGTTAAGGCTCCAGACTCCCTGAAAGCTGGCATATACCTATTACATGTACATTTATTTCATTGTAAAACGCTGATCTAATTCAATTTCCACTCGAGAAATAGAATCTCCTGCTTAAAAAATCATTGATGGTTTTGAGACGTAGAGATAAACACTCAACTATTACAAATACAATAAAATTTTATGATAAAGAAAATTAGTTTTTTTTTTGTACTTAACCATAAAAATTTATTTCAATTAAATATATTGAATTCAACTATATAGAAAATAATATATTCTACTACTACGGTCCAAATATTAATTTCTAAACATAAAAGTGTTTATCGTCATTGTTCTTAATTTCATAAATAAAATGATTAATTAAAACACATTTCATTTTATAGGTACCTATATGTATAAGCTTAGCGCTGACCTCAATTTTAATAATACTTGGTCCATTTAAAGACAAATTATTTAATACAAGAGCTGTTCATACATTTCTCTGCATAGCTCGTAAATCCTTAAATATACACCACATTAAGTTGTTGGTAGTGGAAATGTTTAAATAAAAATCACAAATCTGTTTAAAAAATGTAAGATCTTGATAACTTGTAAAATTTCAAGGATTTTTTCAAAAATACAAATTGAAATATGAATTCAACTTTTGTTAAATTACTGTGTTATCTTCTATACTTTTATGTCGTCCATATTTTTTATCAGTAACTCTATTTATCTAAGATCTTAGATATAAAAAATTGAACCTTTGGGTTATCGGACCGGCAAGGATTTGCTATGGTAAATCTCGATCATATTGTTAGAATTAGGTTTAAACTATTTTAACCTAAACAAGACTTCCAGGTTACGAATGTCAAAATTGATAATCACTTAACTATGAGTTAAAACTCATTTTACCTATGATCTGTTATAAACATAATTACTTACTCTGACAAACTATTACTACTTAGCTCTCTGCTTATTAATTATTTACAAATTATTATTAACTATTAACCAAATTTTCCGTAAAGATAATTTTGCGAAATCATTGCATTACATTACATTTTGTTGTAAATGTGACTTCTAAAAGACGTGAAAATAAAATTAAATACCACTATCACCAAGACGTTTGAAATTTAATTCAAGATAAAAAAACGCTAGATGAATATTTAAAATGATTCATTTAATTTTGAGGAAATTTTATATAGTTTCCACTGGTTTTATAATTTTATTTGTTTTTCGATGTGTACAATATGACGTGGTATTTAGTACGACATAAAACTTAATCCCCAGAAATGTAACAGTAATTAGATTAAAATAATAAATTAAATTTTTCCAAGTTGTATAACTTTCAATTTTTTCACAATACCACACAGATTGACTAAGTAAATATTTAAATTAGCACGTAAGTAATAATAATGCTTCAATGTTAATATGACAAAAAAAATAGTCCAACCATTTTAATCTTAATACAAAAAGATTTACTTATCGTATTAAGACAGCAGTGCTGATCTTGCAAGTGTGTCTTAGAATTAAACTGCCCTTATTTTGAAAAGTCTTAATTAATTATTAATTCAAAATAAAACTATTCGATCTAGTTTCACAATTAAGTTTATATACATACTTACCTTGCATGATAATAATTAATCATCAAGTACCCAAATTTCATATTTAATTGCTAAATGAAGTAGTAATCATTGATCAGATATTTTGTTTGCGTAAATGAACTTATCAAGACACTTGATTCAATTGAAAGCTTTTTGAGGCAATTTCCGTCAAAAAATAACAAATCTATTATTTGTAAATATCTCACAGTAGCGATAATTTCAAAAGAAAAATGTATGTTGAAAACCGATCGAGTTAATATAGCAGGCAGGGTATAGCACCTAAGAAAAAATCTCAATGAGATAAAAGCGATATTAATGAAAAAGTGTGTTGTTATTTAAGAAACTGCGACATTGTTTACTATTAAAATGAAAGTAACAGGAGTGGAACTCAAGTCTGACCTCATCACTTAGCGACACGTCGATATTTGATCTTATTACGTCCTGTCGTGCAAGGATATGGATGTGAAAATGAAACGCCAATTGATAATAATCGTCGATAAATTTTTAGGTAATCATTTTAAAACAATGTTAAAATCTATAATTTTGTTATTAACAACAACAACAAAAATGGTAACACCCTACCCAAAACATCACAATACTTTTATTTACACATATTTGGCTTATTTCTTAATATCTCAATCTCAGACAATCTATAAAATTTGAGCTACGGTACGGGAGACAGTTGAGGCACAAAAGGCGGCACTCGAGGCGTAATACAATTATCTCTAGATAACAACAAAAGTTCCTAACTTGATGTTATTAGTCGAATTCTCTAAATGCTGTATAAACCTAATAAGATTTAAGTAAACCGAAGAAAGCACGCACTTTGCAGGCTTTCTACGAAAACGGTTCGATAATAATGGTAATGGTAATATTGCAGTCACTGTCCATGGGACTCGTGGTGATCGTCGAAACCCAGTCCACACGGACGCTAATATCATGCAATCATGTCAATATCGAGGGTGTCGCCGTCGACTTGTTCTATGTGGCTGGTGGGTGTGGGCAGTCTGGGCTCGCAGAGGAGGCTGTCCTGGGAGGGATGGGCGGGTGAGGTGAGTAGTTGCTCCCCCGAGAGGTCGTTGGGGGAGGACAGCATAGGGTCGCCATTGACGGGCTCGTCGTCGTCCATCAGCTCCTCCATGGTCGACAGACTGAGGGCGGCGTCGTTGATCACATCGGGCATCTGGAAGGCCACATCCGCACCCTGTTTACGTTACAATCGTATTCTTTTGTGCAAGCCACGTACCTTCTTGTTGGGGTCTGACAGCATGATGGGGGGCAGAAGTACGCTCGGAGGTGGCTGGTTTTGGTTCTTCTGGTATGAGTTGTAGGGTGAGTTGTAGCCTTGGAAGTTGAACTCTGATAAGGGTAAACCGTGAGATTTCATCTGACGCTCGAGCTCCTGTGGTAACACATTTGAATAAAATCTTCTGTCGTCAATAAACTTATCAATTATAAGTGGTATGTGAATTTTGCGTCACGTTCGAGTATACTTGATTGAAATTGACACAAGTTATCTATTGTTAATAAGTGACAATTTTTCGATAACTGAGTGCAATTTACCTGGACTCGGAGCTGCAGCCTTCTGTTGATGTGTTCGATTTGTTTTTGTCTAATTTCGGATTGTTTTAGTCTTTGTACTTCGTTTTTGAGACATTTTATATATTCTACTGATGATTTTAATATCGTTCCTTTATTTGGTCGGACGTCTCGCACTATTTCATAGTAAGGATCATTATTCTTCGGCAAGAGAGTACCTAATTCTTTTATTCGATCATTTATGTTGAATCTTCTTCTACGCTCAACTAAAAACCAATCAAAACTGAACAATATATTTCGATTAATCGAATCATTTATTTTACTTACTCATATTATGATTATCTTTCTTTTGTCGGTCTTTTGCAAGAGCATGAAGTTCAGCATCGCTAAGAACAAAAGGTTCATTTTTGATATTTATATCATTTCCTGGTAACGAATTGTCCGATGTTTTAAAACTATCAGAAGCGAGGGAACTTGATTCCAACGAGAGCAGATCGTCAATAAGATCTTCAGCCTGGAAAATGGAAAAACAAAGCCCCTATTATACTCGTATTTTCCCTCACGCTACTAAAATTATTCTATTAAATTTGATGACATGAAGAAAGGTCATTTTTTGGTTTTCGAGGTCGGAGTTTTCTAAGCATGTAATTGATGGTTATTTCCATAATTTGTATAACGCAGTCGCTTCATTGAGCTAATAATACGTTTATACAGTTATCTAATAACAGAACAGCTAAATTCTTGTGTGGCCGACCAAATAAATTTCAATAGTCTTATTAACTACAGGAATCTTTTCATCGAGCTCCCTCAGCTATCACTTACATTTGATAATAGCTCCGCTAAACAGAGCTCAAAATAAAACGACAATTGAGTAATTAAGTAATCCTCTTCGAGCTATAAATTGATTTGTGTTAGGCCACCAAACGGAAAGTATTTGTTTATTATTTTCTTTGAATCATTGCAGTAGATGATTACGGTTTCCTTATCAGAATAAATACTTGTTCGATCAAACCCGAAGTTATTTTAGTTATATGTACAATAAATCCAACAAAGGTTGTGACCATATAAACTAAGGTCAATTCCAGCATCTTCAACAAATCTCAAAAATCTCACCGTGACTAGGCAAAATGTTAACGAGACGATCATTCACACAAAAAAAAGATAATAACGTGGTGAAATTTTTCATTTCGTCACCTTGAAAACGTTCCCTGCAATTAATGTTGAAATTCGGATTGCCGCTGATTGACCTTCTTGCACTACCTACCCATTATTTTTGGATAGAAAGTAAGACAACAATCGTAGCCCTATTTACATTATCACCCAAAAGAGATAAAATTATTTTTATTTCTTCTTATTTTATTCAAGATTAAACGGAAAAATACGCTACAAAAACATAATAAAATCTGAATTAATTTTTATATTAAATAATAATGGTTGGCGATAATAAAAATCAGGATTAGTTCTAGTACATTATGTACAGTCTTATTTAAAACTACGCAAACGCGAGGTTTTAACATGAGATTATCTCTAATCGATGAAAATATCCTTTTGAGATATTAGCGCGTCTGCTGCAATTTAATCCCTTCAATTTATCAAGTGAATCTGTCTAAAGCAAGTTACATAATTTCGCAAAGTTGCAATTAATCACTAAATAAGTCTCGAGGAATTCAAATTGTCAAAAGTTTAAGCTTATAAATGCGCAAGAAGGGCCAAAATGCCTTATCCTTTTTGCACGTGTCTTGAGTTGGTAACAATCCGTTTGTAACGCAACGTAATGATTTATTTAATGAGGTAGCATGGTTCTGAATAAATATTCTCGGACATGTTGGAAATAATTAAAATTTGTTTCGGAATATAACATCAGCGGGGAATGCCAAGAGGATGTTACTCCGAGCTGATCAGGATCACACCCTGTATATGTTTGCGATTTACGAAATAAATTTAATCAGTTTGAACGCAATTCAGATTTAATTATGGCATATAATTCAAGTTGCAGATGAGTTTGCATCACTAACATTGTAAATTAATTTTTATATAACTTTAGACTTTATCATTAAATACACAAGATCTGACACGGTTAATTTACGGCGCTTAAGAAATGTTTTTATAAAGTGTGTTCTACTCCGTTTCTGACGATCACAACAGAATTATGTAAATTTTCTCTAAAAACGTAAGGTCAGGAAAAATAAACCAATGGGCATAATTATACCGACAATAAATCTAAACGTTGCTTAATTTACATGAAACGTTTCCTAAGAGGCGGAATGACATATTCAACCGTGAAGATCAAACTCTGTGGTCCGTAATAATTAATAAAAATGATTTCAAAACATACGAAAAAAAAATTGTAATTGCTACGAGTTAATCAATGGGTCAATGTTTCCCACCACTAGAATCGCGTGTTGAGAAATTTGTGTTATTTTTTAAAACTCAATTGAAAGCTATTTTCAAACTAGAAAGGACCAGAATTGCAATTAAAACTATATCCTCAATTAAAACTACTTTGTTTCATTCACAAACACATGTACATAGGAATGCTTCACATCAACACTTGGACCATTCAATAAACTATTGATATGCAATCGAATCTGATAAAATATTGTAATATATCAATTGTGAAAGTATTTTGAAATGACGAAATCAGGGAAAATTTTTTCATTCGTCAACTGATAATAGAAATATATTAAACACACAAAGGCTCTAATGATCTCGTAAGTGCAAAATGGCGTCTGAATATAGTGTCAATAAACACTATTATTGATAGCATTATGCAATATATTGGCACTAAATCACTGGCACACTTGAAAAGAGAAGCTTAGCGCAATAAATTGTTATTCTAATCAAGAAAATTGTCAGAAATTCTTATTATGTGGTCGCTTAATTTTTTTAATTTGTTTTATTGTCTTTTTATTTTCGTGCACCAGATGCGAAACCATTTAGTAAAAAATTCCGTCAATGCGAAATAATTCATATCAATTAGGACCTACGATCGTCAGAATGTGGGGTGGTAAAACCGGTCAAAGTTCTTCGAATTATTCAATCAGGGAATACCTACAAGTAAGAAACCCTGACCTTGGTCAAATTCAGCGTAAAAGTGTGATTTAAGAAAAACACAAAACAGCAACAAGTAAAATACTGAAAATATCACCTGGGTATAAGCGGGGACTTTCGTAACATGAAATCAGTCTAGTTCTAGAACCAGTTCCAAGTCCTAAAGTTTGGAAATTTTATATCCGACCAAGAGTTGATTCGAAAGTTTGAGAACAAATCGGGGTTATGTCTTGTAAAAACACTGTTAACATCAGTGCCTTATGGCCAATAAAAATAATTAGCGGCCGACCACAATGCGTTATAAACAATAATATCCGATAAAAAAGATCCGTTAAAATGATCGTTATGTAACGTATTTTTAACAACATCCTGTAAATATGGGAATCAGATTCTCACACACAAATTATATTTTTCAATGAATGTGTGTGTAATTATACCACTGCGATTTTATTGGCGACGTCCTTGACCTACAAATCGCCGCTTGTTAAAATTCATAGTACACATTTTGCTTGGTAAAATAAATGTCATTAACCTAGATAGCGGAAAAAATCAGCTATTCTTATTAGGGGATGCACCTGAAAAACGGACACGCGGGCTAGGCGAGTGAGACGAAGCGTGGATTTGCGGCTCTACAGTTCATTTGTTTTACCTTGGACTAGCATTGTGCACTTTAAAACCATATTTCTTGCGAAGTGACTCAACAAATCTTAATTTGATTGCATAACGATTGAAAATGAATTAGCTCAAACTAAATGACAAAACTATATATCAAGTGTCTGTTTGCAACGTTTCTTTAATCTACTTTGCAATCTCAGCGTTATTTATTCAATGAAAACAAATTTGGGTTAGTGCTACCATATTTCAACTTGCTACGATCTCCAACCCCAATCGAATTTTTTGGATCGCTGATTTTAAACAAATTTTTGTTCCGGCTATACAAACAGCTGAAGGACGTTTTTCCGTGGTGTTTTTACCGAAATCCTTTACATAATTATTATCAAAATGCGGCATAATAAAGATATTTAATACTGAAACGACGACGTTTTCTCATGACGATGCTAACAAGCGCCTCATTTAGCGCATTTGGAGGTTTAACAAGACAAGCTACACACTTATTTGTTTAAATTTAACACGTCCATTCTAACACATAATGACAACAAGCAAATATCAAAACCGACATTTAATAATGCAACTCGTCAAATTCTAATAGCAAAATTTTTTGAAAAAAAAAACACAAACCAACAATCTGATAAACAAACGTTACTTAAGTGGATAAACTGTTTTAAACGTCATCCAGCACTTCATTGCTACTTTGTTGGATTCTTAATTGATAATGTAGATTACAGCCAACAAGGACGGCGTCTCTTAACTTTCTTCCAGACACTCTTCACCACTAGCGGAAATAATAGGTCGGTATTAAGGACCAATCAAATAATTGCACCAAACGACCGTTCGTGCAACAAATAATCAAATTAACAAAAGGCAAATAATAGAAAAATCACATAAAAAAATTAAATTGCTTGATAAATCGCTTTTCCAGATTTAAGTTAGTACCTTACATCTCCTGGTGATGATATTATAAACCGGCATTTTCGGTGGCTATAGGTGATTTATCCAAACGTAACCGAACCGGATTTAACACAACTCTAGCACATAGCAATAGTTTGGTGGCCGATTTGGAAGTATCGTGGTGAAACAGCAATGAGTTGAAACGCGCGCGGTGACAATTGACAGATCAGAAACGACTGAAGCTAAAGCGCGAGTGACGTACTATGCGATAAACACCACACAAGCGCAAAAAGGGTACTAAATCACTAGTTTTAAAGTAAGATCGGCGCGCGCACCACGTGTATAGTGAACTTCAGGCGGTGCAAGTAGTTTCGCAAACCTAAAATGTCATCGACAAGTGCAAATCACCCTCGACTATCACCTCTAGTGATATTTCGAAGAATATACAACGCCCACTTAGAGGGTCCCGAGTTTGATAGTTCGCCCACCGGTTTGGTTTAACCGATATAACCGATTAACTGCATCCTTTATTTGTAAAATCAGGTCAATGTTCGCATTAATATTTATTTATTTACATAATTTCATATTTTCCCATAGCGAATAAAGGTCGATTTTTACAGTCCTGTTTCCATAAAGAAGTGCATTAAAGCTTGGCTTATTAAGCCAATAATGACTTAATTATCATTCTCGAGTGTAGATAAATGAAAGTGATTGTGTTTTAGGGGTCACAAAATTTTCTGCTAACGTCAGACTCCAAGAAAATCCCAACGGTGAGAAAAATCAAAGTCCAGACGAAACATTAAACAATCACTAAAGAATTAATTAAGCCCACGACAAATATTGACTTTCTTCCAGCAGCTAAGTAACCTGGTTTCAAGCTTATTACATAGACTTTTCTAAGTATTTTCTTAAGTACCTACTTAACCCATACCTATATTAATTACGAAACGATATCAATGCGTGCGTTGTCACCTGTCGTGATAATGATCTCTTTTTGTATCTTACTCTGACTCACAATAATAACAAATGGAATAGAAGTTGAAAGTTGTAAGACGAGAAAATTTTGTGGGTTGAATAAGGTGGAGTCGTGAGAAGACTGGCTTTCGCGAATTTTAAATTTAATTCTTTATTTACAGAGGTGGCGCTTGGAGTTGTGATGACGTCAATCATTAGGCTATTAAAATTTGAAGGAAATATCCATATTTATGTATTAAAAAAATCTTCTTAATTCTTTTGTGGTGGTATTATCAGTGGCTGCTATTTGTGCAGTTACGAAATATGTTACGCAACGTAATTATATCCTTTAATTAGCTGTAGAGGACGCAGACGCTCTTCTCTTCAAACAATGCTGTTGATTTATATAGAGGAATTGTGCGGATCGAATTATTATTGAAAAATATCCATTCGGAAAACTAATAACACGTTTTGTAATTATAATACACTAGAATTATTATAGCTTCACGGAAAAGGCTTTATAGTAATAGCACCGACACGAACCATATGAAAATTAGAAAAATAAATTTTGCGTTTCAAGCATGTGTATATATTGTACATTCATAAATTTTGTGCAAATATTGATCATTAGGTGCTCAAAAATGTCGATAATGAGCAACAACAGTTAATAACTAAGAAAAAAAGCAAGGCAGTAAAACCTTATCGTCACTTTTGTAATTGTTCCTATTAAAAAAAAATGGGAATACAATAATGTAAGATAAAACGATAGATAATAAACGATTTTGATATTAATTAATTTTCCCCTCCCATTTTATTCGCATTTATGGTACCTCACTTATCAATTACTTGTAATTTACTACAGTGTAATAAATTGTAAATAATCCTGTTGTAAATTACGAACAAGTGTGTCTACCCACATTTGAGGTCACTATCCAGTCGAAAGCATGCAAAATGTAAAATCACACAAAACTCAAATCATTTTCATTGCCCTTGACTTTACAAAATTCTTCCATGGAAAATCCCGCTCATTGGGCCTTGTCGATTTTTTCAAAAGAAATCTCTAATTTCTCTAATCGCCTCATGAATATTTAGCAGTTCCAATAAACAAACTCTTCGTTCGGAATAAATTTAACCTGACATGTACACACTTGTTGAGAAAAGTCAACTCGTTGACAAAAATCCATTTTGTAACAATCAATTTTATATTCAATAATTGCTTGCCACAAAATTAAACGCTTCTTACATAACATTTTTATATATAATGCTACGCTACGCTTTGAATAAAACATGAGCCGCACTGGCACAAATTTGGGACAACAAATAAATTCGTCAAAACAAAAAGAAATCATTTTTAGCAGACGCAAATTGCTGCTGCTGCTCTAAGATGTCATAATCATGCAGCAATGTTGCGGTTGTGATGGCCACCACCAGCTATTATTTCAAATAATAATAAGTAAATCGACATGCGTTCATAATTGACCATGTACTCAATAAACAAAGCCTGATCCGATTTGCACTGGAATCCCCTACCATTGTTCCCACGATGTGACACGCAATCGAATCAATCGAAATAATACAAACCGCACAATTAATACTACGGCCCTATTAATATTAGCCCATAATTCATTACATAACGCGAAGGTCGTCTATCAATTTTAAAATGATTGCAACCGTAGATAATTTCTCAGTTAGGCCTGTATTACTGGTTGCCTGATCAACAATTTGTTGTCTATTAAAATAATTACAGTGTAATCTGTCTTAACGGACACCTCCTATACGGTTAAACAGACATTTTTGTTTGCCCCGTTTTGACCCGATGTATTTCAAATGGCGTTGTCCCTCTGTTAAACGGACTCTCTCATAAGCGGACACCCAATACGGGCTATTAGACGTGACGTCACAGACGCGACTGTCTGAAGCTAAACATACAGTGTTGCCAGTTGTGATACTAGAGTACCAAATTGATACTAGATTTTTTTTACTAGATATTTATATTTACTTGTAAACAAATAATAATTTATATTCTCAGCCAAATACACATTATGTGAATGTTAATATATTTTATTTTGTTTTGTTTTGATACGACCTATCCACTCCTGTCGTTTGCAACATTCTGGCAATGCTGTAAACATATTTTTGACGTACACAGAAAGTGAGGTTAGAACAGATTAAATTACAGAAATGTTGACTACAATTGTTAAAACCATTACGAAACGACACACATTTTTCATAGCAACTATTTCCTTACAAACAAGCTCCCTACACGTCCAGGATTCAAGAAATAAATTTTTATTTGTTTAGCTTCAAAGGTACAGTCACCAGTACCTTGCTGACGTCACACTAATAGCGCGTATTCGGAACGTTGAATTCTAGTTCTTTGTCTTAAGCGGACAACATGTCATGCGCTTGTATGACTAACCGTCAGAAAATTAGGGGAATCACATATATTAAAATTCAACCTTAGCAGTGGTGAAATTCTGTCCATCTTTGTGTTCTTATGTATTACATATAAATACTATTTGTATTAAGTTAACAAAGAAATACCGAAGAAATAGACTGCCCAATAAAGAATATTATGCAGTATGTCCCCGGATTGAGTTTACAAGGAAAAAAAAATGTTATCCTTAATTTTATGTTGAAACTTCAAAGAAATAACATTTTTTGCTTAACCTGAAATGAGCAAACTTTATTATTCTGATTCAGTAGGAAGAACAGTTAATTTTTCTCTTGATTTTGGACTTATAAATAATTTTTCTCTGCTTTTCAAATCTCATTACATTGGCGATTTTATATTTTTTTTGACAACGATGTCACTTTGAAAATTAATTAATGAATTGAATAATGATTGTTCTTGTTAAAAATGACTGTATTTTTTTTTGTTAAAGCTAGATTTGCTCATTTCAAGAAGCAAACTACTACTTTTCGTCAAAAAGTACTTGATAAGTCCTATTATTGTATCAAATACTATATTATTATCTTTTTAATATTTTGTTATTTTGTGTTCATGTACACTTATTTCTTTTAAGCGGACACCTCCATTAACCGGACAAAAAGCATGTCACCGTCGGTGTACGCTTATGGGAAATTTCACTGTAACATGTTTAAAAAAATTTCGATAACTAAACCCCCCCCTACAAAGCCAAATACATAATAATTATAATTGAGGAACCTAAAGACATTGCCGATGAGAATCTAATGAGCCCAAAAATCTTTTAAAACACTACAAGACCAAGAAAAAAATTCTTAATGGGTTTTTAATCATTTTTAAACAAAATTTTAAATGATAATATAAACGTCTACGCTGTAATTTAGCTGTACATTTAAATTTAAATAAAAAATGACGTTATTAATTTTTTTGATATGTTTTCCTTTTCCTTGTTTCCTTTTATCATTATTATTGTTAATAATAAAAAGTTGACCTTAATTTTGTCGCTTCTTTTCACAATTTTTTGTGGAACGGTATAATCAAAGCTTAATAGTGTAAACCAGTAAATAAATTTGGTTACCCAATTTGCTGCGAAAAGGCCATGTGTGCAACTTACCTCCGAGGTGCTAGTGGCGCCTGAGCTTAGCGCTGGCGACATAGCAACAGCATCAGGACTGGGGCACGGAACTTGGAAAGGATGCGAATGAACAAGTGATTGCTGCGGTATCAATGGGCCGACGGGTACGGCGCCCCCCATTCCGGGAGCGCTGTGTGTCTGTTGCACCGGATTTTGCAAATTGTTCAAGAAATGTGCGTTGCCCGGAGATTGGAATGATTCGCTGAGGTACTGCCTCACTTGACTCTTTTGTTTCTGTATCACATGGTACCTAGTAGGATTTGCTAATTTTGTTTGAACTTGTAAAACTTGGGGAGGAACCTCTACCGCTAAACTGTGCAATGGCACTTTCATGGCTGAGGCTGGCGGTCTTTGTTGCATGGCTTGAGCTTGAGCTTGTCTTGCTCTTTCTTGTGCTTGTCTTTCTTGTTCCATCAGTGCTTGGTCTCGCATCAGTTGGAGTTTTAACTGAGTTCGGGATAATGGGGTTGCGGTTTTTAGATTCGGCGGACTGGAACAAACGATAGCGAGTTTGATGGCTCCGAATGTGATAATTACACTGAATTAAAAACGACTCACGAGACGCTGATTTAATTATTAAAAGTTGGAAACTATACATACAATATAGTTAATACGAGGCAATTGTTTCAATTACTTAAACAAACACCAGCTTTTTAAGACTTTCTTAATTATTGCAGAAATCCGACCGTACAAATTAAAAATAAGTATATTATTTTTATTTGCTCGTCATTTCTTAATAAAACAACTCCACCGCTAACGCAAAGATCAACAAAAATTACTATTTGGTTTTTTGGCGCTTAGTCAATATGCACATCAAACACAATCAAAAAATGTGTATAGTATTTGTTGTTGACGTCAGTAACACGTCCCCATTAAATATGTAAATGATAACATATGGGGAATTGCTCTAAATTATGAGTCATTTTAATAATCAGCACACAAAGAAAAGAGCATTTCACACAATCCTATTTACTATTTAAATTTAATAATCCGAGATTCGCTTAATTGAAAATTTTCATACAAATGGACTTACATTCGAAAATACAATGATATTGACAAATGGCATAATAAATAAATAAACAATTTAGTTAGCAAGTCTGAATCTACACTAAATCTTCTAAAGTTAACGTCGCATGACCCTCTAATCCAAAATAATGAAAAGGTTAAAATAGTTTCCAAACGCACCACTTTTCCTTATCGCTACATCCATTAATTAGTAATGTTATCATATATTTTTGTTTAACTCAAATTTCGTTGCAATATCTTCCTAATTAATTTACTAAAAGCAATCAGAATATGATTTTTTCATATTTAGCAACATATTAAATAAAAATAATTTTGAAATCGTTTGTAAACATCTGTGTAACTGTAGAAGCACATGGGGGCGGGGTTAGTCGCAAAATCTTTCCGTAACTACAAAAGCCAGCTTGCTATAATGTGTTGAAAAATAAAAACACAATAAACAATGCGTACAAATTTCGATATGTAGTAAGTTGACTTTCTAAGAAATGATATCGAGAATAATATTATCTGTAATTGGAGAGACGTTAAAAAGGTTACGGATTTTATAACCGCGTAGAACGCATTGTTTTATTTGGGAAACCGATGAATCAAGATTGATGTAATTGTGGTGAGATTTTCGCGTCTATAAATGGCTTGTTTTGGGGATAAATCGATACCCTTGATAAATTATTGGCGCGATATTTGTTCGGCCGTTGCCAAAGTGGACGCACGTGTGCCAAAATGATGGTTTTCTTTTGTCCATTGAAAATTGAAACATGTAAGAAATTGATTGAGGGAATTTTGTGAACAAACTTGACATTTTAATTTGGTACACGACAGCAATAAACCAGTTCTATCTTGCATTGCACCATGGAAAATTAACATTCCTTCTCTAATTAAAGGGAGCAAAGCTGAAAGAAAATAAGAAAAAAAATATATCTCAAAACCGTACATCCTTTGATAGGGCTGAAGGTATCAGCGAATGAGTAATTTTTGCCATAGTAAACAAGATTGGAGCTTTGTTTAATTTGAGGAAATCCTTCAGTGCAGAAAGGTGATGTTTGGCAATACTTCAAAAAGTTTAATATTAGTATAGTATTTGGTTTATTAATAGCAAGCGTAAAATTCTTCGACATGATTGTGTTTAGCCCTTATCCATTCTGATTTGTGTTGGTACAATCACCGGCCAATTTTCGAAATTGTTACTCTTGCCTCAATGACATCAACTATTTATTAAACAATTAAATCAGCGGCTCACGTGAGTTAGGCTCTGGATAATTATTCTTTGGCTCACCTTTCGTTTATAGGCATTGTTTTAGAAGTTAGTTCGTAAAACTCTTGATTTTTCGGGGTACCCAAGAGATCATCAAAATCAATCGCACTTTCTATATCGAAATCGTCGGACAAGAGAGCCGACAGATCGTAGCCTAAATCAATACCAGATTCAGCCATTTTTCACAATTCAATGCACAGATTTGTTTGTATCAGTTAGGTTGTGTCGCTCGATGTCATATCTCTTCTTATCTGCCGACGTACTGTTTTAAAGACCGACAGCCAAACATCAGCCGAAGTTTATTCAAATCGAACTCGAGACTGAGTTTCCCTCATAACAATGTCATGGACAAAGTCGACTTTGCGCACGCAACATACTTAAGTGGGATTGGAACGCTCCCATCTATTCAAAAATCGCGCTATAAGCAAAATTTTTGCAAACGATTGAGACTCAGCTAATTTATTAAAAAAAATATGACACATCATTGCAAACATGAAAACCATCCAAACTATTGTATTCGCCACAGTTCTAGTGAAACTGGGACGACTTCAAGAAAATATCACTGATTTAGATGAAAAGTGGGAAAAGTTTAAGGTAAAAAAACTTGACTAAATTCCTGTGTAAACACAATTTTTTAGCAAGCATACAATAAAACCTATTACGGATATCTTGACACATCGAGGAAATTAGCGTGGCAGTCTAATGTAGAGAAAATTAAGAGGCATAATGAAGAAGCCGATAAAGGACTGCATTCCTATTACATAAAGGAGAATCATTTAAGTGACATGGTAAGACTACGTCGACTAAAATGACTACATCAAAAAATGAATTTCTTTCTTATCATCGGTTATAATGAAATAATGAAATAATAGCTGTCTAAAAAATATACAGCCATAAATACTAAAAATTATCAACATATATGTACGTTGTATAAAAACTACAACTTTTTTGAGCTAGAGTTCAGAAAAAATGAAATATTTGTATATAATTCCGGATTAAGCGGTAATCGGTTCCGGTTGCTTATTGCACAATTCCAATTCGATAATTTCACATTGTCTAAATTCTCATCAGTAGTTAATATTTCTCGCATTATTTTGTATTCAATTTTTTGGTCATGATGCACAATATCGATTTGAGACGTTGATAAAACTATCTCAAGTATGATTTCTAAGCCAAAGGGAATGTTGTGGGCATGGGCGCCCGCAGAAATTTTTCTCAGGGGGGGCAAAAAACAAAAACACACTTTCGATAGTACATGTGGTTGGTGGAAAAGTTATAAACGCTATCACTTTCTATAGAAAGTCTAGCTTACGTTTAAAAAAATGTCTTATATCCATTTTAAAAATATCACCAAACATAAACACACGGACCCACCAACGAAACAAATAACTCTTATTAAAGGAGTAGATTTTTCAAGTAGCAAAGGCAAAAACCAGAACGATACTGTTATACATGGTAAACTAATCCACAAATTCTAAGTTTTCAAATATAGGACTTACTAACTAAGAAATAAAAGCGTTTTATTTGTTTTGTTTATACAATAAATTCGTTCCTCGAATTATCGTTTCAATAAAACGTCTTGAATCTGAGCGCTAATTTGCCGAACGTAAGGCATTCAGTGTCATTCTACATTATAAAATATTTTGTAAACAGTCTTTTCCCATTGGAAGTTCAACAAATCGGCTGTTGAAAAAAGGAACTTCCTAAAAAAATTATTTTGATGATCCCAGTAGGGGCAACGGCCCCCACTGTCAGGTGCGGACTCGCAAGTTTTTATATGGAGTGCTAAGTTGAAATGGGGGCCCAATATACAGTACAATAAATAGTATATTAAAGAACAAGTTTCATAAGGGTTGAGTGCGCCAATGCCATTATAAAACGAGTATTTTATGCTATTTTTTCTAATTTGCGCCCCTTTTTTCTTATTTTAATTAAAAAAATATTTATTTTTGTCGCCTAGAGAATTTTGTGTTAGTTGGTATCGGTTCTTCTTCTTGGATCTTCTTGGTATGGAAACGATGAACAAAAACACGATTAGCCCGTCACACCAAACTTTTATTTTAATAGCACAACGCGTTTCAACCACAAAACTTTTAAAGTTTTATTCTCACCTGAGGATGACCACTTTGTGGTTGAAACGCGTTGTGCTATTAATATAAAAGTTTGGTGTGACGGGCTAATCGTGTTTTTGTTCATTGGTATCGGTTGGTAATACTCGGCGCCCACCTGTTTTTTGAGTCATTTCTGCCGTCTGTCATTAAAAATAAAATTTACAAATTATTAGTTATTAATGTTACAACATAATAATATTAAATACAATATGAGAAACAGAATTTAGTTTGCACTCTGCCCGAAATTCCCGAAATTGTCGAAGCAACAACGCAAAATTTGTTACCTGACAAGTCAAAAGCGGCATCCAAAAACTAAATAACCCTAAATTCATTAAAGCACAGTGTGCTTAAGATAGCCATAAACGTATTATAAACGCAAATTAGAAAAAATATGTATAAAAACTACTTGTCATTTAATGTAGTAATTTTTTTTGAAGGAGTTTGTTTCCTCTATTGAGATTGTGACGTCAGTTGAAATCATGATGGTTAAATAAACGAAAATAAAGTTTTTATATGAACGTCTTCAGAGGCTGCTTGTAATTTTAATTTTTGTTTTTCTTTTCGTTTCTGTGCACCAAATTTATACTTATATTTAGATTTTTCCATTATTTATGCCCACTAATAATTAAAAAAAAATAATTAAAGTAAATTAAATTAAGTAAAAACGATATTTTATATCGGTTGATTAAAAAATGTGGACATAATTTTAATTACGAATACCCCTCTACAATGGAGAATAGAAAGTACAGTTTTTGTTGACCCACCTCAAAAAATAGAAAAATTACAACTTTCCAAAAATCGCTATGAAAAAATTATTTTCTGGAAATATTTTTGTTACCGTTTATCCGATTATTATTAAATTTTGCAAAAAACACATTCTTTGATTTGGTGTAAACGGAAGTCTTGTAGAAGCTATACATTTCCGGTAGCAATGGGTCCTCCCAGTTTTGGGATCATAACTTTTTTTCGGCTTATTAATTTCTGTTTTTGATACAGCCCAATCATTTTTTTTTATAAAAAAAGGTAGTTTCATATCGCCAAAATGTACCGTTTTCGAGTTATTTGAGTTTAAACTAAATTCTACACCGCGCTGCAAAATCAGAATTTATAAATTTTGAGCGTACCTTGGAAACAATCCACTACGAATGACATCGCTGTCAATGCTGTCATATTTAATGTAAATTTCATTAAATCCAAAGGAATATTTGTTTATTTCTTGATGATTATAAAAGCTGTAATTTTTCTAGTGCTTGATGAATTGAATTAATAAATACTGTGCTACCTATGCTCATTTGTGGAGGAGTATTCGTGATTAAAATTATGACACAAATTTTTGAATCACTTGTATAAATCCACGCCGAATTTTTCTTACATGAGTGTAAGACCTTATAAACAAAATTGAGCTAAAATCATTGAAATTATAGAAATTATAGTTTTATTTTTTATGATGGCAATTTTTTAATTCCTTCAAACTAAACACACTTAGCTTCTCTGAAAAACGCGTTTCAGCACTTTATGGATTAGCTCTA